CAGAAGAGCCGAAGCGACGCACCAACCGTAAGATGAAGACAGATGCAGGCAGAAACATTTAAAGTGAAAAGAGCGGGAACAGTTTTTGAACGGGTTCCCGCGCCGCACGGTTTTTGAATTCGGTTGTAATAAGGGAATGTAGCCCTTAGAGTACATGGCAAGTCTAGGTCCTTTCCTATTCCCTTGTACTGTTATATAAACTCGATGTATGCATGCTATTATAAACTCTGTCATTCACATTCACTGTGACCTCAGATTCAAATTTCCGCTGCAACAGTACTCCGCGATCAATCCTGAGCGATCCTTCGCTAAGTCCCACTTGGGATTGTAACACCTTGCATTTGTTTGTTTTCATTGTGCTCAACCCACGTGCTTCATGTATGCCCCCTGGTTTGTAGTTTTTTTACCATAGTATAGGCACTCAGCTACCTTGGAGATAATTACTTTCAAGTTCTAGATCTATGTGTGTGACGATTATATCAATTATCTTTCACGTGTAACGTATCTGGTCTGCGAAAGTTGATCTTCGCAGCGGAGCGCGGCGCCAATCTCCCAATCCGGAATCGAGCTTTGTGTCATCTCGAGGTTACTTCAAGCGTTCAAACTCGTAGTAAGAAGTGCCTTGAAGAACCTTGTGGGTCGTATGCTTTGCAGCTCAAAACGTACCTAGAAGGTGTTTTCATAGTCACAAACCGTTTTCTGCTCCAAGGGCGGTTCTCAAGCACGCCCTTGCTCGCCTATCATCCCCGAAGTCCCTTGAGAATACACTCTGCCTCGAAATCAGAATTGTTCTGCTTGCTCTCCTTGCAAACTACTTGTGGAAACGTTTCTTGGCCTTCAGTCTGGTCCTGAGCTTTTGTGACTCGCCTCGTGCTAGAGCCATCGTTAGATCCGCATTTTGTGATTACGTATCTTTCCTGCTCGATCTTCTCTTCTGCCTATCTTGAGGTCACCACTTGGCGTTATTGGGTTACAGATCTACATCACCGAGCGACGCGTTGACTGACCTACCTTCTATTCAGGTAAAAGCCACTGAGCGTGTGAGGTACTGATCCATCCACGTCCAGAATCGACGGTTCCTTTAGTTCCTTCGTGGTCCGTGATTTTGGTCCGATGGCTGGAGTACTATGTCGATCCATAAGAACCAAGAAATCCAGGATACCGTGGCTTGCGCTGATGCTTGTCGCGTTCCTAGCAACCTCCACGTGGCAGCGCGCCATTGCTTCCGCGAAACAGCTTGAGGGATTCGACGAGGACGAGTTTGACGACGCAGCTGACGAGGAGGAGACGGAATTCGTCGCCCCGCAGCGCCCTCCGACGCGATCCGTCACGCTCGAGCCGGATCAGGGCACAAAAGCAACGGCTGGATCTGATCGAGATTCCAAATCAACGGACAATACCGCACCCGACGGAACAGATTCCGCTGGCGGCAGCGGGGGTAGGTCAGCAGGACAAGCGGCGGACTGGGATGACGAGGAGTTTGAAGGGGTGACGCCTGGTGCTGGCGCTGGTGCCGGGGGAGCAGCGGCCGGCGGGAAGCCGTTTTTTGGCAAGCCTGGATCCGCGCAGCAGCAGGCGCAAAAGGCTCGCGCGCGGAGAATGTCGGTTGCGCGGAAGCCGTTCCACCCGCGGGACTTCATTGCGGAAGGGGTTTTCCTTGCGTTCCTCGTGATTTTCGCGATCAACTATTTCGTCGGCAAATGGCAGAACGAAAAGATTGCGCTTTCTTTCGCGAATCAGTTTGCGACGGAGGGTAACCTGCTTGCGAAGAACTTCGCCCTGATCGGAACGGGCGACACCAGCGAACCAATCCTCGTCAAAGAAGGCCAGGCGACGTTCAAGCTGTACGCGAGCGGGCGAAGGTTCTGCGAAGCGATGTTGGTTACTTTGAACCTGCGAAGTCGCCACGATCTCGCGACGCTCGCATGGGACGCGCTCCTTTCGTCAAAGAAAGATCAAGTCGACGTGGACGTGTACATGAACGAGGAGGACATGGCTCCGCTTGTACTCGCTATAGTCCCGCGCAAATCCGCTAAGGCGTTTATAAAAGAAAACGCGGATCTCAAGGAATTCGCGAGCATGCTTGACGCGGAAGTGGTACTCAAGGGGGGAGGCGGCAGCGGGAAGAACAAGTGGGCGGCAGACGAGTTGGCTATTATCGGGGATAGCAGGGAAGCGGCGTATGAGCTTCTGTCTGACGTCATCATTGATCAGGTACGAGCGTGTGACACAGATCTTTTTCGTTTTGTTTTGTTTTTTTGTTGGTTTTTTTTTTTCTTTCTGTTCCTTTCATATCAGCAAACTCTGTCCCCCCTATCTTCCCTCCTCCTCTTTTTCCCTTTCTCCTCACAAACCCCCTCTCTTCCCCCCCACCCTTCCCCTCCACTCCTCCTCTCTCCACTCACACCCCGCTCTCCCCTGCTCGTTATTACTTCAAGTCACACTCCCTTCTCCTGCCAAGGCTGTGTCTCTGTTCCCCATTCCCTCGCCTCGTGCGCTCCCGCCTTCCCCTCGCTTTCCACTTCTGCTGTGAAGTCACTTCCGCGGGTTGCAGGGAACGAGGACAAGTGCTGCATCTGCTGTGAGAGGAATTTCATTCATGGGCTCAGGGCCCTTAGGAACATTCTCTTCCGATGACGCCCGCCCGTGTGCCTATCATACACTGCTCTTGATTTGGTGGTTGTGCTGGGAAGAGATGGTAGGTCCGCAAGATTTGACATAAATGGAACAGTACTGTGTCAGATCCTGCAGACCTACCATCTCTTCCCAGCACAACCACCACATCCAGAGCAGTGCATCGACAACCATCACAACCCCCCATATTCCCTCGTCTCCCCAGCTATCGGGGGAAAAGTCCTTCCCCAAGCTCGCGCCTCTCTTCCGCGCGCTGCACTCCACGGATCAGCAACCCCACAGCAGGCGCTCACACGTTCTCACCTATCCCCTTCCCTCTTCCACCCCATACTCCCTTCTCCCCTCCCCCCCCTCCCCCACCTCTTTGGCGAGAAATTCTCTTTCAAAGATAGCGCCTCGCTTCTGCGCCCTACACTTCACGGACCAGCACCCCACAGGCGCAGGCACACACACCTTCTCACCTATCCCCCTTCCTCTGACCCTCTGTATCCCTTTCTCCCCCCCCATTCCCCCCTCCCCCCCCCCTCCCCCCCTCCCCCCTCCCAGCTCTTTGGCGAGAAATCTTTCCCAAAGATAGCGCCTCTCTTCCGCGCGCTACACTTCACGGATCAGCAACCCACAGGCGCAGGCGCGCACCGCAAGGTGCTGCGCTTCTCCTTCCTCCTCCCCCGCGGGGGTGCTGCCGAGCTGGCGAAGCTGATGGCGTCTGTGCCGTTTTTCATTGACGCCGTGGGGAAATTCCGACTCAGTGCCCAGGTGAGCTGCCTTCCACCCTAGCCGTTCAAGTGCAGTACCCTGTGTACCATGTAACCGTTCTCTCCTTCCTTCTGCCCCGGGGGGACTTTTGAGGCGCCTCAAAGGGCTTCCACTCTCGCCCTTGAAGCGCAGTACCCTGTGTACCATGTAACCGTTCTCTCCTTCTTTCTCCCTCGGGGGGGCGCTGCTGAGCTGGCAAAGCTGATGGCGTCGGTGCCATTTTTCATCGACGCAGTGGGAAATTCCGACTCAGCGCCCAGGTCAGCTGGCTTTTCTCTTCCAGCCCCTCTAAGCACAGTAGCCTGTGTACCCTACCCTGTGATTGCTCTGTCCTTGCCACCTCAAAGCTTTGCTGACCTGGCTTAGCTGATGGCATCGGTGCCCTTTCATATTGACCCTGTGGGGAAATTCTGACTCAGTGCTCAGGTGAGCCGATGTTTCTCTCTCTGGTCAATCTCTTGATTGGTTGTTATCATCATGAGTCGCTGGCCCACCGAAGCTGGTGGCGTCAGTGCCCTTTGCCATTGACACTGGGGAAATTTCGACTCAGCGCCCAGGTACGGTTTTCTGTTCTAGCCCCTTTAGGAACAGTACCATGTGTACCCTGTGATTTCTCTGTCCTTGCCGCCTCAAAACGCTGCTGACCTGGCTAGGCTGATGGCGTCTGTGCCCTTAGTTATTGATGCTGTGGGGAAATTTTCGACTCAGTGCTCAGGTAAGGCGCTGCTTCCCTCAGTCCCTGAGACCAGTCTGCCTTTCTGAGACGTCTCAAAGCACGAGGTTCTTAGTAAGTAATTACTTATGAGATCGTTAAAGTGCCCGTAGCTTTCCTTTTTGTGTAACAAAGATGGGTGTGCTGCTTTTGAGGCCAAGAGCGAGGCGGAAGCAGCGTGAGCGAAGGCAGCAGAGGCAGCACTGAGAGGGACTGAGACGCAGGAGAAGGTGCGGGAAGAGGCTTGCATCTCTCACTCACCTGCTCTCTGCTTTTCTATCCCTCCTCCCCTTTGCTCCCCCTCCCTCAATCCTTCCTCTTTGTTCCTGACAACATAGGCCAAGAGCAAGGCAGAGGCTGCGCGAGCAAAAGCAGCTGAAGCAGCACTGAAAGAGACGAAGGAGAAGAGGCAGGAAGAGTTGCAGCGGCGGAAGGAGGAGCGGAGGAAGGCGGAAGAAGCAAAGCTGAGCCCTGAGGAGCTGGCGAGGCGGCGCGAGAAGGAAAGGATGAAGGAACTGAAGCAGAGCGCACCGCGGGCTAAGATTTCGAGAATGCATTAATTGATCAATAGACGGGGAATTGCTTTGATCGATAGAGGGGAAAAGGGGTAGAAATGATGAGAGGGGGGGGGGGGGGGGGGGGGGGGGGGGAGTTGCGAATGCATAGCCTCAGAGCAAAATGATTGAATCTTTTGGGCAGTGTGGCATCGTCGTTGCATATGATGTGAGAAGTTGCTTCTTAGAGTTACCAAGTAACAGGCTTTTTATTACATACAGGCATTGCAGAGTGATACAGTACTCGCCAGCATGACCATTTTCGCTCCGCACGTTTAAAACATTGGGGCACTAGTGCGATGAGTAATTTGTACTGTACATGAGTACAAGACTTGATGCAATCTTCATACGAAGAATGCCCGCAAAAGGTCCATAGCCTGCAAGGAGGGACAGGCAGGACAGATGGCAGGTGCAAAACACATGGATTCATTCATTCCACTTCTTGTGTGGGTATAAGTTCCCTTGCACAACGCGCCGTGCAAACTGCACCAACTCCCGCAGAGTACACACTGGGTCCGCCGCACCTCATCCTCCCTGTTTTGGAGGCGCCTTAAAGCCAGGGTCTCACGTACCACTTAGCAATTGATGGTGAAAGTGTGGCTTTGATTGGTTGGCGAGGTGTAAGGTTCGAAGTGGGGTGAAGCGAGGGGTGCGAAGTGAACGTAAATCGCTGGGGGTAACCGAACCATCTAGGCTTGGAAACTTGGTTCGGAGCCAAACCTAAAATGCCCCCAAATCATCGAAAGTCTCAAGTACCCATAAGTGTTGTGCAATTGCATTTGGGGCAGTGACGCAAGCTGAGTCCCCAAACCAGCCAGAGACAACTTCGCGAGCACTAACTTGGTTACCTAGCTTCAAGTGCTTTGCAGTCGATGGCTCTTTAGCTTACATGAGACCCTGGCTTTAAGAAACCGCATCACCTGCCCTGCACTGAACTCACCTGACCTGCGTGGACCACCCCTAGCACTACCCCCCCTCCATGCATTAAACCCCCCTCCAGCACCCACCGGCCCCGTCAACCACCTCCCTCAGCGCTCACCTGCCCCAGCACTCACCTGTCCATCCCTCACTGCCCCAGCACTCACCATCCCCTGGACGTATCTGTCAGTCCAAAGCGCACCACCTCACCACCTCCCTGAGAGCACGCACAGCCCACGAGCTCCTCATGCTGCGCCTGTGCTCCGTTCCACACCCCCTGTGCTCCGTCCACACCCCCTGTGCTCCGTCCACACCCCCTGTGCTCTGTCCCACACCCCCTGTGCTCCGTCCACACCCCCTGTGCTCCGTCCACACCCCCTGTGCTCCGTTCCACACCCCCTGTGCTCCGTCCACACCCCCTGTGCTCCGTCCACACCCCCTGTGCTCCGTCCACACCCCCTGTGCTCCGTCCACACCCCCTGTGCTCTGTCCCACACCCCCTGTGCTCTGTCTCACTCCGCCTCCCCCACCCCATCCCGGACCCATCCAACACTCACCTTCCCTAGCACCCACCTACTCCAGCACTCACCTACCCTGCACTAGCCACCCCCACCCGCCCCTTCCAAAGCACTTACCATCCCCTGCACGTCTGTCGGAGCAAAGCGCACCACCTCCCGCAGAGCACACACAGCTCCGCAGCCCCTCATGCTCCGTCTGTGCTCCCCACCACACCCCGCCATCACCACCAGCGCCTGCAGCACCACCCTCACCGCCTCCTCACTCCGCCTCCCCTCCTCTCCACCCCCGTTTGACAATGAAGCAGCATTCGAGGCATAGGAGGCAAAGGCTGTCAGCACATGCACCAGGCTTGGAATCGCCTCTCCTATGCTCTCCCTCGCTTTAGCCGCTTCTGCTGCAGTACTGTCCTGGGAGAACGCTGCTAGTGCAGCGATCGTGGAGCAGAGAGGGAGAGTGGTACCCCAATCAGCAGAATCAAGGGAGGCTTCAAGAGTGAGAGTGAGGATGGGGATGGAGTCGTGAGTGAGGAGGAAGGAGCAGCAGGAGTTGGAGAGTGAGAGGCTCGCCACAGCCTCGGCTGCTGCTTGCCTCGCCATTCGAGCCTCTCTTCCCGAACCACTTCCCGAGCCTGTCGTCTCTCCCTCTCCTGCTTTCTCTCCGCTCAGGCCTTTCTCCTTGTCCGTGGCCCATCTGCTCGCCCCTTTCGCGAGCTGTTTGAGGAGCGGTTTGAGCGCCCCTGCTTGCACGAGCTGAGATCGGGCGTGCGGAGAGAGCGAGGCTGTATTGCTGACGATGCTGCTGAGTTTGATCTGCGCTGCTGGAGAGGAAGAAGAGCGCTTGAAACACTGGAGGAGGGGTAGTGGAAGGGCGGGGCGAAAGGGAGGTGAGAAAGGAAGGTGAGAAAAGAAGGCGAGGACGTGGGGGGGTTGTGATGGGAAGAGCGAGGCAGTGGCTGGCGCTGTGTCTGGCCTGGGCAGTTGGGAAGGAGGAGGAGCGCTTCAGATACCGTGGGAAAGGAAGTGTGTGGGAGGCGGGCAGAAACGGAGGCGAGAAAAGGGGGATAGATAGGGTGCGGGTGAGATGGGGAGAGCGAGGCTGTGGCGCGGATGATGCTGCTGACTCTGGCCTCGGCAGTTGGGAAGGAGGAACGCTGCTGGCACTGGGGGAAGTAAAGCGCATGGGAGGGAAGAGAGGGAGGTGAGAAAAAAGGGGCAGACAGGGAGGGGATGAAATGGGGAGAGCGAGGCACTGGCGCTGACGATGATGCTGAGCCTGGCCTGTGCTGCTGGGGAGGAGGAAGAACTGTTCCGGCTGTGCGGGAGGGGAGGAGCATGGGAGGGAAGTATGGGATGCGAGAAATGGAGGGGAGTGAGGTGGGGAGAGAGAAGCACTGGCGCTGATGCTGCTGCTGCTGGCTGTGCCCTGCGCCTGCTTTTGAGTCGACTCAAATGCTGGCTGTGCCCTGCGCCATTTGGGAGGAGGAGTGCTTCAGACATAGAATGCCCTGTCCTCCTTCATATCATATGATGCAATAAATACCCCTCTGTCCTGACCTGAGTGGTGCAATACAGACCCCCCTGCTGCTTCACAGCATCAGCAGCTCATTAGAAAGACAAATAAAGCTCACCAGAAGCTCACCAGAATCTCACCAACATTTCACCAGAATTTCACCTGAACGAGCAGAGGAAGGTGGAGCAGCAGCCGCTCCTGGCTCTCCGCATCAGCTGAGCGCATCAATGGCTGCATATGACCCACCACCAATCGCTTGAAGCTCACCCGAAGCTCACCCGAAGCTCACCTGAACAAGCAGAGGAAGGTGGAGCAGCAGCCGCTCCTGGCTCTCCACATCAGCTGACAGCCTCAGGAGCGCATCCATGGCAGCATGCGAACCACCACGTGGACTGCCACGTGGACTGCCATGTGGACTGCCTCGTGGACTGCCACGTGGACTGCCAAGTCTGCCATCTCCACCATCAGCAGCAGCCAGCTGCAGCAGCGCCTCTACAGCACCTGCCTCTCTAAAAGCCGCCCTGTTAGCAGCAGAGGACGCGCAGAACCACCCAATCACCCCAGCCGCCTTCCCCTGCTCCTCTCTCGTCCCCTGCAGCACCCTCAGCACCACCTGAGCCGGTGCCCTCGGGTCAATGGACATCACATCTGGCGCAGGTATATTTGATGCAGGTACACCTGGTGCAGGTGCATCAGCCTGAATGACAGACAAGCTCCTTGAATTCCTGGGACAGGGCAGATCTTTCTTGCTGCTGCCACGTTCTCTCGGACCCGGCAGCTCTATATTGCTGCCAGTATGCTCTCTTGGGCTGGGCACCTCTTTTCTCCTCCGATGATCTCTTGGGCTTGGCTGATCTTTCATGCTGCTGGCGCGTTCTCTTGGGCTAGGCACCTCTAACTTGCTGCTCGTATGCTCTCGTGGACTGGGCAACGTTTCTCTGCTAGCATGCTCTCCTGGGTTGGGTACGTCTTTCCAGCTGCTGAAGCATCCTCTCGGACTTGGCAGCTCTATCTTGCTGCTCGTATTCTCTCTTGGGCTGGGTAGATCTTTCCTGCTGCTAGCATGTTCTCTTGGACTCGGCAACTCTTTTCTGCTTGCATGCCCTCGTGGGCTGGATTTCACCTTATGACTAGTACGTTCTCTGGGGCTTATCAGGTCTCTCAAACTCACATGGTCCCTCGGACTTACATGGTCTCTGGGGCTTATCAGGTCTCTGGGGTTCACAAGGTCCCCAAAAGAATCTTGATTCTCTGGGATTGTCATGGTCAGCCCATGAGGCCCATTCCCATCCCGTGGATTCGTCCGCCTCCTGCCCATGCTCTGCTCCCTGCCGGTGTTCCCAGGGTTGTCCCTTGGGCTGTAACTTAGGCTGTTCCCAGGGTTGTCCCGTGGGCTGTAACTTAGGCTGTTCTGGTAGGTTTTTGTGTTTCCCTGACTGCCTTGCGCCCTGCTGCTCGTGTGCTGCCTAGGGTCAGACCATTCTGCTGCGTCTCGAGGGCGAGAGTGAGAGTGAGAGCGAGAGCGAGAGTGAGAGTGAGAGAGGGGGTGCGGGTGAGATTGTGTGTGTGAGTGCGAGTGAGAGTGGGAGTGAGAGTGAGAGCGGGAGTGAGGGAAAGGATGGAGGTGTGGTGGAGGGAGCTCTGGTAGAGAGTGCACAACAGGGAAACCATCAAAGGAAGTCTCGCCCTCACCATCACCACCACAACGACCAGCACCACCAGCAGCAGCTAATGCTATCTCGTCCCTCACTCTCTCCACCGGTCCTCCTTTGTTCACCCCTTGCCTCTCCTTCCCCCGACTGCTCCTCTCTTTCGCACTGCCGAATTCCCGAGTCGACGCAAACATAGACCTCTCCTCTCCTTGACAGCTCCTCTCTTTTGCACTCCCCGATTCTCTCCTCACGCCTCTCCCCTCCCTACACTCCGCCCCTCCCCCTGATTGCGCCTGCTGCAGATAAGCCTCCTCCAGATACACCTGCTCCAGCTGTGCGTTGATCAGCGCTAGCTGCTCACTCAAGCCGTCCGCCTGGAACCCACTCCTGCTACTGCTAGTCCCAGCACCACTGCTACTTCCAATCTGGAATCCACCGCTGCTGCCAGTGCTGCTGCTAGCGTTGCTGCCACTGCTGTCACTAAGGACGACCCCCTGACTAGAACCAATGAGCACGCCACTGCTTTTACCCTCCTTACCACCAGCTGCAGCAGCACCACCACCACCACCACCAGCACCGAACCTGGTTGCACCACTAGGGGCGCGAGGCGACCTCCTTCCCCTCCCTGCTATGCCATACCAGGCGTCCTCGCCCTCCCTGCCATTCGCCCTTCCTGCTGTGCCACCATGCACTGCACTTCCTAGACCACCCTCTCTTCTCCCTACCCCACCACCAGTCCCACTACTCTCCCTCCTCCTCCTCCCCACCATCCCATGAATCCCACTGCTCTCACTTCCAGCATCCCATCCCGAGCCTTCCACAGCTTCACGAGCCTCCCGAGTCTCCCGAACTTCACAAGCCTCCCGAGCCTGACGAGCATGATCCATGAGCCGTATCATTCCCACCTCTCCTACGTCTTTAATCTCCCCTGCGCCTCTGCCCATCCCCATGTCTCTAATCTCTTCGGGCTCGCCCAAGCCAGTCAAGGCCCACCGCTGGAAGCTCGGGTTGCCGCCCTTCTCCTGGTCCGCGTCGGCTAGAAGCCGCCTCATGGGCGGCAAAAACTTGGCAGCATCTGGCGGGGGACGCGGATTGGTAGCTCCCTCTCTATCTCTCCTCGCCGTGTCCCCTGTGCTTCTCCTTCTGCCCTCCCCTTCGTCACCATAAGAATTGTTCTTGCTGCGTCTATTGCTGCCACCAGTAACACCTGCCCCACCAATAGCACCTCCTCCAATATCACCTGCCCCACCAGTAGCTCCTGCTTCGGAGGGAGAGATGAGAGACTGGATGGAAAGAGGGAGGGTGGCAAAGGGGTGGAGTGGTTGGGAGGACACGTGGGGTTGCTGTTGCTGGTGATGCTTTTGCTCACGCCTCTCCTTTGTTCGTCGGCGGGAGGAGGCAGGAGCAAGAGGTTCAGCTACAGGGACGGATGAAAATGGCACTACTAACGGGTCTGCTGACAGCGGGGACGAGCCGGGCTGTGAGGATAAGTGGTCAAATAGAGCACCAGCACTACCAGCAGCAGAAGCATCTGCAATATCCGTCAGCAGGCCAGGAAACATCAGATCACCTGGTGCAGCAACTAGTGCGGAAGGAGTAGAGTGAAAGACGGAGGGATGAGCGTTAACCGCTGCTGCAGCATCAGCCCTTTCTGCAGCATTATGGATTTCTGCAGCACCACAGGCCATGCCCACAGGGCTAAAGAGGCTGGCGTTGACCATAGCAGTGGGATCCCAGGGCGAAGGAGGGACAGCCCATGGGGAGATGGGGGGGCTTGGCTGGGCACTGGTAAAGGCGAGGGGGTCAAGGGAGGAGAGGGGTTGAAAGGGGTCGAGAACGGTGAGATCTGGCAGGGGTTCATCAAGGATGGGGAGACCTGAGAGGGGGTCTAACGAGTTGCTGATTTGCAGCGGTGGGGGTGGGACGAAGCGGTGGGATGAACGGCGCTCAGTGAATGGATGGGCCGTGAGAGGAGTGGAGAGAGGAGCAGAGAGAGGGGCGGTGAGAGTGGCTGCATCCGCAAGCGAGTTTCGATCTTTTGGGTCTCTTGGGGATATAATATCTGTAGTAGGCGATTTATGATCTCTGGGCGATTTATGATCTCTGGGCGATTTATGATCTCTGGGCAATTTGAGGTCTCTAGGCGGTTTAACATCTCTGGGCGATTTGAGTTGGTCCCTGGGCGATACATGCGTGAGCGACATCCCATCCTTGCCCCCTCTCCTCTGACCCCTCACAGCAGCAAGGTATTCTGGAGTGATAAAGGCCCTCGCTGCTGCTGCCACTGCTGCTGCTGATGGCGATAATAACGATGATGCTGGTTCCTCCCTTATTCTCCCCGCACTTGCCCTCCCATCCTGATCCCTTGCAGTTAAACTCCTGCCCTCGCCTTTCATTTCCTTATCGGCTGCAGCTACACCGCCTCCCTCTGCCTTTCCCTCTCCCTTCCCCCCTGCCTCGCCCTGGCCCTGCCCTTCTCCTGCTTTCAGCTGCCCCACCTGCTGCTGCATGGCCCGCAGGAGAATGGTGAGCTGCGGGGAGTAAGGGGAAAGGGGGAAGGGGGAAGGGGGAAGGGGGGGGGGGACGATTTTAGAGACGTCTCAAAAGTCAATGCTCGACTTTTCCTTTCAGTTGCCCCACCTGCTGCTGCATGGCCCGCAGGAGAATGGTGAGCTGCAGGGGAAGGGAGAACGGAGAAAGGAAGAAGAATGGTGTGGGGGGGTAAAGGAGAAGTGTGAGCAGTGAGCACGGGTGGTGGGAGTAGAAACAAGAGACGAGGATCATGACAGCAGCACTTGGTGTTTTCTCCCTCCTTCACGCCACCTCACCTGCTCCACCATGCTCGCCCGCTGCTTTTGAGAAGTGTGGGCACGGGTGGTGGGAGTAGAAACAAGAGACGAGGATTATGACAGCAGCACTTGGTGTTTGCTCGGCACAAAACAAGATAGAAACGTTTGTCCACATCACACCTGCGCCACCATGCTTGCTCGCCCGCTGCTCATCCCCTGCCTCCTCCGCCCGACGTGTCCCAAGCGCCAAAGCCTCACTCTCCTCCTCAAACGACCCCCTCACCCTCTTCTCACCAGCTCCACCATCACCATCCATGCCATACTCTCTTTTAAGGCGCCTCAAAAGTTGCTCCACCCATCCATGCCATACTCTCGCCTTTTGAGTCGACTCAAAATGCTCCACCATCCATGCCATACTGGAGAGTTGCGAATAGCAGAGGCATGGCACCTAATTGGGGCCCACTCGAAGTTGCTCCACCATCCATGCCATACTCTCGCCCGCTGCTCGTCCGGTCTTTAGTCCACACAACATTCGACCACATTTATAGTTTACTGCAAAACCAGCCAGCATTTTCCACTCCAATAAACCAGCCATATCACACTGACCTGTTCCACCATGCTCGCCCGCTGCTCATCCCCTGCCTCCTCCGCCCGTCGAGCCTCGAGAGCCAGAGCCTGCCTTTCCTCCTCAAACGACCCCAACGAGTCCAGACCCAGCAGCATCGCCAACCTCCCTGCTGCATACTCTGCAGGCGAACCCTTCCCGCTGTCGCCCCCCTCCTCCTTTCCCTTCTCTCCCACCTCCTCCTCCTTTCCCCCTTCCTTTCGTTCTTTCTTCTCCCTTCCTCCTACACTCTCGCCCTTCTCTGTCCCACCCAGCCAGCTTCTCCCTCGCATGCTAAGGGCGTTTCCCTTCACCCAGAACGTGTCCTCTACGAACCCTAGAAGTGCCGCCATCGCAGCATCCTTTATGCTTTCCGTCTCCTCCTTTCCCCCTTCTTTCTCCTCCTTCTCCCGTTTTTGCCCCTCTTTATCCTCCTTCTCCCCCTCTTTCCCCTCTTCCTTCTCCTTCTCCTCCGCCTCCTTTGAACCCTCCTCGTTTGAACTTTGCTCATCTACACCTACCTTCTTGGAACCCTCCTCTATTAGACCTCCCACCTTTGAATACATTTCTGCATCCTGGCCCTCTCCATTCGCATCTCCCCCTTCATCTCTCCCTTCATCTCCCCCTTCATCTCTCCCTTCATCTCCCCCTTCATCTCCCCCTTCATCTCCCCCTTCATCTCTCCCTTCATCTCCCCCTTCATCTCTCCCTTCATCTCCCCCTTCATCTCTCCCTTCATCTCTCCCTTCATCTCTTCCTTCCCCTCTTCCTTCAACACCTTCTCCCTTGGCATCTCGCTGGGCCGCGCCCTCAACCTCTCCCTTCTTCCCTTTCTCTCCCTCGCCTTCTTCCTCCGCTTCATCCTCCATAACCTCTGCCCCCTCTTCCCCCATCCCCTCCTCTTCCTCCAAACCCCCCTCCACCTCTCCCGCTTCTCCCAATGTATCCTTCCCCTCCCCCTCCCCTTCCACCAACTCCTCCTCCGCCTCTTCTGCTTCTTCCACGGTATCCATGCTCTGCAGGCAGTATCGCCTGTTACTGCTGCTGCAGCTGCTGCTTCTAAACATCACACTGCTGCTGCTGCCGCTGCCGCCGCCGCTGCCGCTGCCGCCGCCGCTACCGCTGCTGCTGCTGCTGCTGCTGCTGCTGCTGCTGCTGCTGCTGCTGCTGCTGCTGCTGCTGCTGCTGCTGCTGCTGACGCTGCTGCTTCTTCTAAACATCAGACCACTGCTGCTGTTGCTGCTGCTTCTGCTGCTGCTGGCGCTGTTGATGGCATCACTGGCGATAAAGCCATCACTACTATTACCACTGCCCTTGCGCCGCCTGGATTTTCTCTCACCCTTACTGCTTCGACTGCTGCTGCTGCTGCCGGTGGTACTGCCACTACCACTACTACTGCTGCTGCTGCTGCTGTCGTTACCAGTGCGGCCAGGAGAGTCATTGCCAGACGCAGATGCTTCATGGGAAGAAGTGGCATCACCAGATGCAGCGGCATCACCAGCAGAATCACCAGACGCAGCGGCATCACCAGGGGCAGAGGCGTCACTTTGCACAAGGATCTGGAATTCCCGGTTGACCTGTGGCGATAGCAGCTCTGTGAAGCTGGCCGCTTGTATGTGCTGCTGAATCGACGCCAGCTGGGGTGTTTGAGGATGGAGGGAAGGGAAGGGACACGGAAGAACAAAATATGATGGAGTTGAGCCACTGCCAGTCAACCTGCGGCGATAGCAACTCGGTGAAGGTGGCCGTTTGCATGTGCTGCTGAATGGCTGCCAGCTGAAAGCGGACTGTTGAGTCAACTCAAAAAACGATAGCAACTCGGTGAAGGTGGCCGTTTGCATGTGCTGCTGAATGGCTGCCAGCTGAAAGCGGACTTTTGAGTCGACTCAAAAAACGATAGCAACTCGGTGAAGGTGGCCGTTTGCATGTGCTGCTGAATGGCTGCCAGCTGAAAGCGGACTTTTGAGTCGACTCAAAAAACGATAGCAACTCGGTGAAGGTGGCCGTTTGCATGTGCTGCTGAATGGCTGCCAGCTGAAAGCGGACTTTTGAGTCGACTCAAAAAACGATAGCAACTCGGTGAAGGTGGCCGTTTGCATGTGCTGCTGAATGGCTGCCAGCTGAAAGCGGACTTTTGAGTCGACTCAAAAAACGATAGCAACTCGGTGAAGGTGGCCGTTTGCATGTGCTGCTGAATGGCTGCCAGCTGAAAGCGGACTTTTGAGTCGACTCAAAAAACGATAGCAACTCGGTGAAGGTGGCCGTTTGCATGTGCTGCTGAATGGCTGCCAGCTGAAAGCGGACTTTTGAGTCGACTCAAAAAACGATAGCAACTTGGTGAAGGTGGCCGTTTGCATGTGCTGCTGAATGGCTGCCAGCTGAAAGCGGACTTTTGAGTCGACTCAAAAAACGATAGCAACTCGGTGAAGGTGGCCGTTTGCATGTGCTGCTGAATGGCTGCCAGCTGAAAGCGGACTTTTGAGTCGACTCAAAAAACGATAGCAACTCGGTGAAGGTGGCCGTTTGCATGTGCTGCTGAATGGCTGCCAGCTGAAAGCGGACTTTTGAGTCGACTCAAAAAACGATAGCAACTCGGTGAAGGTGGCCGTTTGCATGTGCTGCTGAATGGCTGCCAGCTGAAAGCGTGGAGGGACGAGGCGAGAAGAAGAGGCACGGGATAACAGGGGATGATGGATAGGTGAAAGGGTGTATAGAACCGGTGCAGGGAGGGAGGGAGGGAGGGAGGGAGGGGGAAATTGCAGGATGGAGGGAGGGCAGGAGCGTGGCGGGAAGGGAGAGAGAGATGAACGGGGAGAGAGGGGGGTGGAACGACAGCTAGAATTGCCTAGAGACGAGTCTACCTGTTAGTTTGCGTGAGCAGGCAGGCCGGCACGGACAGCTGTTGAGTCAGACGCGAACGAGGAAAGAGACGATACAAAATGGTGGTTCAGATCAAATTGATCAAGGACACAACTTACCTGCTCTCTTGCATCAGCAGGTAGGTTGTCGGTCGGCAGGGACGAGAGGCACGCTGCCAGGTCGGAATGGATGCTGCTGAAGTGGCTCGCGCTCATTGGTGAGTCTGCCACCAGCTGATAGTTGGGTGGGATGAGAAATGGGGGACGAGGAAACGAGAGGTGAGGAGGGGAAAGGAGGAGAGAAACGTAAGAGATTACTAGTCATACCCTCGAGTTTGCTCCCAAAGCAGACAATTACATCCGAAATATTACCCAAACGACTCTGAAGTTTCACCTGAAGCAGCCTGCTGCGTGCGCTGATGCATCGCTGCATGACCCCCGTGCATCGCCGAAGCACGCCCTCTAGCGCCTGAAACGCCGTCTTTGCCGCATCCGTGCACTCTCCCCATCCGCGGTGGCTCTTGCAGCTCTCTAGAAACGCGTGGATGAGCGCCGCGGATCGGATGAGAATGTTGAAATTGCTTACGTAAGCGCCGCTCGGATGTGCGTCGTCTTGTAAGTGGAATGCGAATTGAGAAAAGGTCATGCAGCTCGCTATAAGGACGGCTAATACCGGGTCGTCTCGCTCCATTATACACCTCGCCATCCAATCCTAACCAAGGTCAAGTCATCAACTGCAAAAAAATTGATCTACATGAGACCCTGGTTTTAATAAACGGCCAAAATTGTGCACCAATATTGAAATCGACGGCCGTTACTACTCGACAATGTGTCGACCATGGACAAACGTGCTCACAATTCGGCAGTTGGATATTCAATCACTCGCTTCTACTAACTAGTCCACGCCTAGGGATCCGCAACTAGTACCTACCTTGCTGCCTACAAAGCCTACTTGTCTCTTGAACACCGCAAAGAAAAGTCTTGTGCTTGTCTCCAAGTCTTCAGCTTGACACCGTAGGTATCCAAACCGAACCAACTTCACAGAACCCAGCTTGACCCATTCCAAACAGCTCAGACCATCCTAGAAGTTCAAAACTTCTTGAGACGTCGTTGGCTGGCGGTGCCTTTTCCTCCTCACTTTTGGGATCAACGGGCACTTTCGGGCGTGAGGTTCAAAATCTGAAATGGTTTCAGGTGGTTGAAAGCAAGGCAGAACGGTATTGTGCGCTTCAGCTATGGCTTTCTATTCGTTGCACTACACTGTCCCATCGAGCCCCTCCCTGGTCAATAGGGCGCATTGCGTCATGGAACAATAATATCTGCTCCGTGTCACTAGAATGGACGGGGGACAGCGGAGCAGACTTGAGGAGGGATGCGCCAATCGGAGGGCAGGGCGATGAGAGATATTCAACCAGTGACGCGACAGATTCGACAAAAGCATCTGACGGAATGCAAGATTCCAACGAGTGATAATAGTGTACACAGTACACGATTACAAGCCACTCCAGGAGTGCGCTAAATAGAACATATTGACAGGGGCTTCAGGGTTGCAAGTCCTAGTGTCACCACTAAATACACTGCTAGGTCTTAGTGAGAAGTATGCTGCAGTTCGAGAATATCCTGATGTAGGAATAACAAACGAGTGACACGTCGACAGCAGCAGCCAATCAGCAACGAGTTCCTGATACGCCTTTATGTCACTGCCTAAGACCTCTGAGGTGGCATTTGTGCTAATGGCATTGTCACTCAGCTTGTTAGAATGGCGGGGAGTGAATGGGGTTGTAACAACCTGCATGTGACATAACCAGGAGTAAAAGGAGTTTGGAGGGGTGTGGTAAGAGAACAGCGAAAACCATCATCACTCTAGCCATACCAATCAGACATAAGCCCGACCAAAAAAGCCTCAATAGCTTCATAAATTGTGCTGGCGAAGCAAAAAAAAAAAAAAACAATCAAGGAGCGAACGGATAGGAAATTTGAGGACAGAGAGCAACAAGGTTTTGGGGAAAGAGACATGGTAGAAAGAGGGAGAGGAGGAAGGTGGGGGGGGTGGGGGGGGAAGGGGGAGGGGGAAGGGAAGGGGAGGGGGAGGGGGTGGTAAATAACAAAAACTGATACAATGCGAAGATAGAAATGAAACTGGTAAGAATATCCTTTACACATCGGTGTTGCCAAGTACCCACCTTATGTTGATACTGTTGATCAATGTCTAATTTAAAACCAGGGGAGATGCTTTATCAGAATCACCTTATTTTGATACTGTTGATGCATGGCAATCTTAAAATCCATCGAGTTTGTGATAATCAGCCAGCGCACTTCCAGGGGAGGGGGGAACCACCAGTCCTCCACTGCCTTGGGGGGGGGGGAGCATGGGCACAGAGTGGGTGGGTAGGAGACAAGATGATGGAAGGAGGGGCGGTTAATCTAAGTTTGTGATAATCAGCCAGCGCACTTCCAGGGGAGGGGGGAACCACCAGTGCTCCACTGCCTGGAAGGAAAGAAGCACGAGTCGAGTACGGAGCGGGCGGGTAGGAGACGAGTGTGGGAGGAAGAGGGCCACTATTGGAAGTTACCGCACTTGCAGTTGAGGGGGGAACCGCCAGTGCTCCACTGCTTGTAAGGAAGCACCAGTACGGAGTGGGTGGGGAGGAGACAAGAGCGTGAGGGGAGGAGCAGCAGCAGCTGTAGCAATTAGTGAAGCGACTGCTACAGCAGCCACTCTAGCAGTCAATGCAGCAATGTGCTGTTGCACGCACAGTATGAACCTACAGCGGTTGGGATGAGCAGCGCACCTGAGTGCAGCTCAGCAGCGCACCTGAGTGCAGCTCAGCAGCGGGCGGGCCACCTGCATGAGCCTCTCGACCTCAGCCTCGCCCAGCTGCTTGGGAGCATCTTCGCCCTCCCCTGACGTGGTGCAATGCGGTGCAATGGGATGTGAAGGAATGGGATGAGATGGGATGGGATGGGATGGGATGGCATGAGATGAGATGGGACGGAATGGGATGAGATGAGATTGAGGCAAAGAATTATCATAAGCGACGTACAACAAGGCCTAAGCCATCCTCCCTCAGTGAGTGCGACTCTTAGGAGGCACTTACTCAAGCACCCACTTACTCAAGGTTCACTCACTCACTCACTCATGTGGAAGAGCTACAGAAAAGGCATAGTACAGAAACGGCATAGTACAGAAAAGGCATTGCATTGCCAAGAAGGAAAGAATCCTCACATGACATGGGCGTCAAAGCGAAATAGTTCATGCTGTATGATGTAGAAAGAAACCCTGCAATAACCTCGCTAAAATTTAGGACTCATGAGCACTATCACACCTGTTATAAACCACAAGAAGTACTTACCTCTCAGCTTGCTCCTTCCTAACAGTCACTACGTTCTCACCTTTCCACGCCGCCCCATCAGTGAATCTGATGTGAACACAGATGGTCACCCACCCAGCCAAATCGTGAGCACGACACGTTCTCACAGGCACGACACGTTCTCACAGGCACGACACGTTCTCACAGGCACTACACGTTCTCACAGGCACTACACGTTCTCACCTTCCCACACCGCCCCATCAGTGAATCTGATGTGAACGCCAGTAGTTACCAAGCCTGGTGCATGCACCTCCCTCTCCTGGTCCCTCACCTCCTTTTCCTACACTATGCTCTCAAGGCACGGAAATTTCACCTTCCCACACTGTCCCATCAGTGAATCTGATGTGAACGCCAATTGTCACCACACCAGGTGCATGCACCTCCCTCTCCAGGCCACTCAGAAGCTGCCGAACCTCTGCATTAGGTCTGGGAAGAAACATACGAAGGGGGGGGAGAGGGGAAGAGGGCGGGAAGGTGCCTTAGAATCCTGTCAGGGCAGGAAGTGAACATGACTGTACAGTCGCCTTCTCATGGGATCGACTCTTCTCACAGAGAAGCAAAGTGGAAATGGCAGGAACCTTGGAACAGGGGTGTCAGGTGCATGCAGAGAAGCGCGAACCTGACTGTACTCATGTAATTGACTCATGAGGAGTCTACTCATGTAATTGACTCATGAGGAGTCTACTCATGTAATTGACTCATGAGGAGTCTACTCATGTAATTGACTCATGAGGAGTCTACTCATGTAATTGACTCATGAGGAGTCTACTCATGTAATTGACTCATGAGGAGTCTACTCATGTAATTGACTCATGAGGAGTCTACTCATGTAATTGACTCATGAGGAGTCTACTCATGTAATTGACTCTTCCCATGATGCTATCTTCCTCTTACAGCCTCACTTGAGTAGGAAGCGCAGGATACAGCCAAGAGCGTACGGTGGGTGCAATGCAACGCAGCGGCTCAAAGACCCAGCCCTTGTCGCACTAATCCAAGCATTGTTTGCCTAGGTAGCTATCTGCCTCGTACAGCCTCACTTGAGTAGGAAGCGCAGGATACAGCCGAGAGCGTACGGTGGACGCAACCCGGTGGTGCGGAGCCGTGCCGCCCACTCGCTCTGCTCCTCCGTCAGCATCTGAGTCAGCACGCCGCGATTCCACGACAGCCTGACGTTGCGGAATTTGCTGTAGGGTGTGAAAGTCTCCTGTGCGGGGTTGAGGGGGTGTGCAGTCGTCTTTTAGAATTCGAAAAGTTGGCACATGACAACCTGACGCTGCACATGACAACCTGACGCTGCACATGACAACCTGACGCTGCACATGACAACCTGACGCTGCACATGACAACCTGACGCTGCAAATGACAACCTGACGCTGCGGAACCGGCCCATCTCCTTTTGAGGCGCCTAAGAAACTGACAAATTGAACGTCATCCACCCACCATTGCCTAGTTCTGAGTCGACTCAAAACTAGCCTCAGAAACTGACTAAGTGTGTGTCATCCAGCATTGCGTGTGTCCAGCATCGGCACATCATCCGACCCACGCCCATCTCTGCCTTTTGAGCCGACTCAAAGTCATCCAGCATCGGCACATCATCCGACCCACGCCCATCTCTGCCTTTTGAGCCGACTCAAAGTCATCCAGCATCGGCACATCATCCGACCCACGCCCATCTCTGCCTTTTGAGCCGACTCAAAGTCATCCAGCATCGGCACATCATCCGACCCACGCCCATCTCTGCCTTTTGAGCCGACTCAAAGTCATCCAGCATCGGCACATCATCCGACCCACGCCCATCTCTGCCTTTTGAGCCGACTCAAAGTCATCCAGCATCGGCACATCATCCGACCCACGCCCATCTCTGCTGCTTCTCTCTGCTCTGCTCCTGCCACCGTGCCGAAACGCGCGTACGCTCGGTCTGTTGGATCTGAGTCGAATCTATTTTTCTCTCTGCTGCTTCTCTCTGCTCCTATCGCCATCACACCCAAGCACAATCACGCACCCACCTGCACGCTCCCGAACTGTGTGTCTCAAATGTCAAGCATCGGCACGTCATCCTCACCTATGCCCATCCCCTCCAACCGCATTCAACCATCATGCCAACCAAACACCCCACCCACCTGCACGCTCCAAAACTGCGTACCTCGGATGTCCAGCATCAGCACGTCATCCACGCCCATCTGCTTCTGTGCCCCGAATCACCGAGTCATCCACGCCCATCCGCGTGTATGAAGATTTGTTTTGAGACGTCTCAAAACATGTCCAGCATCGGCACGTCGTCCACACCCATCTGCTTCTGTGCACCGACTCACCGAGTCATCCATGCCCATCCGGTTGCCACTACAACCAGGCAGGCACAGTCACAAGCACCACCCACCTGCACGCTCCCGAACTGCGTGTCTCGGATGTCCAGCATCGGCACGTCATCCATGCCCATCTCCTTTGTTTCCGGGCTGCCCGCAATTACCGACTCCGTCAAGATTTTCCGGGCAGGTACGAGCGGAATCTCATCAATAGCCTCATCTGCCGCTGTGTCATTGCCAGAACCAGGGATGGTCAAGCCAGGGTCGTCGGATCCACGATCGGCCGAACCAGATGCTGACGTGGACGGGAATCTCCAGTCGATAAGGTTCGGCTCGAAGGCGAATGGCAGGCAGCGGTGGCGAATCACCAGCGCGCGGCCGTCCAATAGCGCGACGACAAATGTCGAGGCCAGCCCTAGGAGCGTGTCGCCCAGGCCGCCGCAGCCATGGTACCACTCGTAGGTGAGGAAGCGGGGGAAGGCGGAGGGGGGCGAGGAGGGGGAGGCGGAGAAGGAGGCGGAAGGGGAGGGGGAGGAAGCAGGGGGAGCGGAGGACGATGGGGAGGGGGAAGAAAGGGAGCCCGGGGATGGAGCTGGGGAAGGGGATGAGAGAAGGGGGTTTGATGATGGATGAGAGGATGAAGCTTCCTGGCTGTTGCTCCCTCTGATCCCTGCCCTTCCTGCTGTTTCGCGGCTGCTTCGTCTGTTTGCTGCTCGGATTTGCTCGTGCAAGGCGATGTACTCGCTATGCCATGACCCGCAAAGCGCTTCAGGGTAGCCGAAATGAAGGTCTGACGTGGACCGCGAATGTTCTCCAGAGGCAGTGACTCCCAAAGAGGCTAAAACGAGAACTATTGTAGCGAAACAAGCTCTCGCCCATGGTCGAGAGGCGATTCGTCGCGTTTGTTCGCTGCACGCAGGCATTCTGGCGACCGGCACTCCTGCCGGCTAGCCGTTCCCTCACCCGACAAAGCTTCCACTCTCGGGAAATCGAATGTGGCTTACTTGGTTGACGGTTCAAATGCTGATAATTGAAGAAGGAGGGTCGAAGAACTCGGCCTTTTCACCTGTACCTTACAAGAGCGCATCGGCCTCGCCATCCTCACTTTCTCCCTTCAATCCGCCGATCCCAGCAAAAGAAACCATTTCACGTCTGCAGATGCTCAGTTCGTCATGGCTCTTATCCAGGAACTAAAATTCGAGAAGGCATCACCTTGGGAAAGCCGAGCCCTGTCTACTGAGTTCTTCGCTGCAAACGGAGTATGAATCCATGAGGATTCGAGCATTATTGCCATGTATAAGTGGGTGAGCTTTACAAGCTTCTGTCTTTAAGTAATCGTTTGAATGCGGCTGAAAAGAAAGGTAATGGTCTCTAAAACATTATTCCCTGATAATGAAATAATAATTAATCTGGATTTTGCATCTCATTAATAAATCGCAATATTGAAGGTTTTGTTTTTTTCTGACCGAATTCTGCATCTGCTTGTTATACTTGTTTATGTACCACCTGCTATTGCAGTCACTTAGTAGGGTTCTACAAGCTATGCTGTGCAAACGAAACGGGAATACAGTGCCGCGTCAGCCTGGTTTTCAGACCACGCGTCCCGACCACGCCACGCTGGCCAATCTCAGACCAGACCCGGACGACTAAGTTGAATGAACGAGCCGTGGCGGACTCTCCGCAGCTTCCTCGGCACCCCAATCCCCCGCTTCCGCGCAGACTTTCAAGAAATTGTCAGCTCGCGCGGACAAAGCAACCAGGCAGGCAGTCATGCTGACCAATTCCGCGCTCGCTTATGCCAGCTCATGTGCAGGTCCGAAAGTAGCCCTACCCCATCTCACCATTCTGAAATCATCTCAACCGTTGGTGGTTTCACTCAACACCGTCTTTTTCATCCCACACCCCCCAGAACCCCGCTTGTGACTCTGTTTTTCCAGCGCAGGGCTCGTCCCCGTAAACAGTTAGCAAGGGGGAAGTCCGTCAATTCTTCCTCCTGTGCGCATCACCCGCAACATTCCTCCACCTTCTTGCGCACGCCCAGTGTCCGTCCTCCCCACCCCACCCCCTAACTCCCGTCCCTTCCCTCGCATCCTTCGTTTTCTTCCTTTTCCCCTCCCCTCAAAATTTCCATCACCTCACCCGCACATCCTGCTGTTTTTCTGTTACTGCAGGCGCATGTATTATTTGAGCAAGTTCAAACTAGGAGGCAGAATTTGATACTTGGTCGTTGTAGTTTACCCACCTTCTCAAGAATAGCTGTACGCAGCACTCCGTAGCGTTTTTCAGCGTCAAATATCGTCTGAAATATTTCGGGTTCTTTCTTTCTATCTCTGCGCGATTAGTTTGTAGTGCGTCACAATATTCTAGGGTTTCCGTTTCCAGCCAGGGCCTCTCTTTCTCTTCAGAACCGATTTATTCAATCACAGCGTCAATAAGATACGATAGCAAATCGGGCAATTGCGTACAGTCTTATACAGAAGCAGTTTCCAAGTTCGGCCCGTTTTTTTTCGCCGAAAGGGCAACTTGCATTCAAAGTACTAGTAGTAGTGCATCTAAAGTACATAGTAGCTGGCACTTACGTAATAGACACCACCATGATTGATCGAAAGATGGTGCGGTCGGCGCGAATACTGTCAAGTCCCGCGCGAGCTTTCCACCTCGCGATTCTCCTCCTCTGCTCCTCCCTCTTCGTCAACTCCGCGACTTCAGCAAATCCAGCTTCGACAAAACTTCACGAATCTCAACGTACGCGCATGAAATTTCAACCACCGCCATGCGCGGGATTTGAGTTATCACTTTCGCGTCCTAGGCACGGTTTTAGAAGTATCTGGTTTTAGAATCCTGACGGGCGATTGTACCTTAGTGGGCACCAGTGGCAGCTTTTTTTGTCTACTAATAATCCCCGTGTGTTGAGGCGATTATCTAGCCAAGTCAAAAATCGAGTCAAGCAGCACCATACCAGGCGAAGTAACGACACCATACCGAGCAATTTTTGAGGCGCCTCAATGATAGCCAAGCAGCACCTGGTTCAGAAATTCTACCAGGCGATTATGTAGTGACACCAGGGGCAGAGCAACCACTGAACCTGTCCTTTAAGGCCTTTCCTTAATTTACCCGAGCTCCTCTCCCCCCCCCCCCCCCCCCCCCCCCCCCCCCCCCCCCCCCCCCCCACACCCCCTCTCTCCCCCCCCAGCTCGGCCGCTCCAGGCGCTGAGCAAAGCGTGGCGGCTACCTCCGTTCGCTCCGCCTTTCACAAAACTCATTTCTCCCTCTTCACTCCCTCATCTACCCATCTCCCTCCCCGGTTTCCCCTCCCCTCTTCCTCCCCGGCCCCCAGTGCGGCCGCTACAGGCGCTGAGCAAGGCGTGGCGGCTACCTCCGTTTGAGCAGTGCGACTTGCGGGCTGGTCTCACGTGCGACGCGCAGGGCATGGTGACGCGCATGTGAGTAGTATTGGCCTCACGTGCGACGCGCAGGGCATGGTGACGCGCATGTGAGTAGTATTGGCCTCACGTGCGACGCGCAGGGCATGGTGACGCGCATGTGAGTGATGGCCTATGAATACCGAGTCATACAAGCATGGGAGGGGCATTTAAGGAGGACGTGAGGAGCATGTGAGTAGTATTGGCCTCACGTGTGACGCGCAGGGCATGGTGACGCGCATGTGAGTGATGGCCTACGCCATTCCTCGTCAAGTAAACACTGTTACATTTTTATATTTGTCCCTCACGCTCTCTCGCATCCTCTCTCTCTCGTTCTATCACCACCCCAATCCTTCCCGTGTCCCCTCTGCAGCAACCTAGCCAGTCGCAACCTCACTAGAATCATCCCCAAAGCGATCTCCGCTTTTGCCAGCCTCCTTCCCTCACGCTCTCTTATCCCCGTCTCCACCCCTTTCCCAATCCCTTCCATGTCCCCTCCGCAGCAACCTAGCCAATCGCAACCTCACTGGAGTCATCCCCAAAGCGATCTCCGCTTTTGCCAGCCTCACTAACCTGTAAGGCCGCAGCAAGCAACCAGCTTCCCCGACTTTTGAGGCGCCTCAAAAGCCGCAGCAAGCAACCAGCTTCCCCGTTACCCCCTTTCTCCACAACTGTCTTTCGTTGAGATCACGGTTACACAGTAATCGTGGATCAATTGTTACATAATCAGTATCCCCTTCCATCCCCGAAACCACCCCCCCTCATCCCTTCTCCTCCTCCTCCTCCCCTTCTTCCCCTCCTCTTCCCCTCTCCCTGTGCGTGTGTGCGTCCAGCTCGCTACACGACAACCACCTGTACGGGCACCTGCCTGATATGGGGAGGCTGAAGCTGCTGAGAGAACTGTGAGTGGCATGGGGCGGCATGGATTGGCATGGGGCGGCATGGATTGGCATGGGTTGGTTGGCATGCGTTGGCATGGGGTAGAGTGAGGTGGCATGGTGTGGCATGGGTCGGCATGGGGTGGCATGGTTTGGCATGGGGTAGCATGAGCTGTACGTATGCTTTCCCCCACCCGTGTATCAATCCGCCCACTAATGCATGCATCCATCATCCATCATCCATCATCCATGCATCCATCATCCATGCATCCATCATCCATGCATCCATCATCCATGCATCCATCATCCATGCATCCATCATCCATGCATCCATCATCCATGCATCCATCATCCATGCATCCATCATCCATGCATCCATCATCCATGCATCCATCATCCATCATCCATCATCCATCATCCATCATCCATCATCCATGCATCCATGCATGCATGCACCCATGAGTGCAGATACCTACACGGCAACAATCTCAAAGGCGCCGTCCCTGCTTCCCTCAGCCTCCTCTCAAACCTCGAAGCTCTGTGAGTCATGCTTGACCTTTCCCCACATCCCCGCTACTCCCTTTCTACTCCCTTGTACCGCGCACCACTCCATCCCTCTCCATTCCCCCCCACCACCACGTACCCTCGTGACCACGCCCTGTCATGCCGCAAACCCAACGCCCTGTCAGTATTTTCTAGTTGACTCACTCAAACCCCCCCTTCTCCCCCCTCCCCCCCCCCCCCCCCCCCCCCCCCCCCCCCTCCCTCACCACCATATGCCTTCTTGAATGCCTTGCCACGCAGGAACCTCGGCGAGAACGCCCTGTCAGGCGGCATCCCCGTGGAGCTCGGCAATCTTAAGGCGCTCATCCTCCTGTAAGCCTCTCAGGCCCTGCCCTGCCCTGCCCTGCCCTGCCCTGCCCTGCTAGCGAATCTCAAGGCGCTCATTCTGCTGTAGGCATGCAGCGCACGCAACGGTACCTTTGTTGTCCCAATACATGACTGTCGACCGTTCCTCTCCTGTGGCTTATAGCATCCTTCTTTATTTCTGTTCCTCTCCTCCTTCCAACCCTCTCCTCCCGACCCTCTCCCACCGACCCTCTCCTTCCAATTCCAACCTACTCCTTCTGTTCCTCTACGTCCGTCCCTCTCCATCTGTCCATGACTGCAGCAACCTCAACAGCAACCGCCTGGTTGGGAGCATCCCTGAAACTCTCGGAAAGCTTTCCAAGCTGCAGCACCTGTGAGTTTCTGCACTCAATCAACCCACCCGCCGCACCCCTCTTTATCCCACCCTCCTATATCCCACCCCCACAACTTCACCCCTCACTTCCTCTCTTCCTTGCTTCCTTTCTTCCTCTCTCCCACTCGTCTCGTTCAGAACTGCTCATGCCAACTGGTGTTTGGCTGTACCTCCACACCCATCTTCACCCCTCTCCATCTACCCCTGCTCTTCCTGTTCGTCTCCGCAGAGAGTTGGGAGGCAATGCGCTCACAGGACCGATCCCGGATGCATTTGCGGCGCTTACGAACCTGTTCACACTGTAAGAAGAGCAGAGCACTGCACTCCATCGCACTGCTCCGAACCGCACTGCATCGCACCAGCACTGAATTCATGCCTGTGTGCGCGTCAGTCTCCATCATCTCTCCTTCTGCGCTCTTCCGTTTTGCTCTTCCATTCTGCTCTTCCATACTGCTTTCATCCTCAGCACCTCCACCATCCCATCCCACCGCTCCCTCCCCATCCCCTGCCTTTCCTTCTCCACCCGCGCCTGTTTTCCTTCCCTCCGCCCTGCCCTTTCCGTTGTGCAAGCAGTGATTTGAGTCCCAACCAGCTCTCAGGCCCCATCCCACCTGCCATCGGTGCCCTCAAGAAGCTCAAATGGGTGTGAGTAAAGAGGGGGGCTAATGCTGGGTGATGGTGGGTGGTAACGGGTTGACGATGGGTGTCGGGAGGGTTGATGATAAGGTATGGACTAAACATCCTCTTAGCTAAGCATCCTCTTGACTAATCATCCGCTCCACCCACCATCACCACTGTTTGCTTCCTGCAGGTACCTGTCGGGGAATCAAATCAGCGGCAGTCTGCCGCCCGCAATTGGCAACCTGCAGGACTTGGAGCACCTGTAAGCCACCCACCCTGATGTCACAGCATTTCATTTGTTTCTTTGTTTTTTTCTTTTCTTTGCCACGTGTCCTCTTCTCATGATATTCCTTCTTGCCACGTGTCACATTCTCTGCATGCCACGTGTTCTTCATGTGCAGGTGGATAGAGGACAACAAACTCACTGGTCCACTCCCTACCGAGATCGGTAACTGCACGAGCCTGCAGATTCTGTAAGCATCCAATCCAATCCAATCGAATCAAAACGAATCAAATATATTCCGAGTTGAATTCTTGTCTAAAACGTGGACTGGACTTCTGTTGATTTTCCTGTTCCCACCCATTCCCATCCCTTCCATCCTCCCACTAATCATATCTCTCCCCCTCTCTCCCCGCCCCTCCCTCCCCCTCTTCGCAGTTACCTATCCAACAACAGCATCAGCGGCAGTCTACCAGACAGCATAGGCCAGCTGTGGGCAATGCGGGACATGTGAGTCTTGGGTGGGGTGGGGAGGGTAAGAATGTTCTCTTTCTTTGAAAAGCCATCACCTTGCCATCTTCAAACTCACTGTTCTCGCCTTCTCCCTGCTATCCCTTTGTGACTCTCTCTCTCTCTCTCTCTCTCTCTCTCTCTCTCTCTCTCTCTCTCTCGAACGGGCCTTGGTATTAATGTCAGCAAGGTACACACATGGTAAGGCTACAGCAATCTCACGGCAAGGCTACAGCAAAACAGCAGCTAACCCCGCACTATCCCAGCCCCAGCCCCCCCCTCCCCGCCCGGCCCTAATGGCCGGAGGGGTCTTCTATCAACTGATACAGCTGCCCTTCACTCATTGGAGTAAACGGGCCCTGCAGGCCGAGCGCATCCGCCGTGAGGGCCTCATGGGTCTTATCCCTGAGGGCAGTGGCTTGCGCTCTCTGCAGGGTCACACTCCACCGCTGCCGGTACTCGGTGAGTAGCTTGGCGCATTCCCTCGACTTGGGGGTGGCGTTGAACCGCCGCATGGCCGCTAACTCCGCGCAGCTGCGAAGGAATTCCAGGACCCCACTCGAGGGGTAACCGTAGGTCTCAACCGCCAAGGCGTAAAAGCCCACCCAAGCGCTCCGCCTGGCGTATTTGCTTGCCTTCTTGTCCGCCTGCATTCTAGCAGCCCAACCGGGAGCTTTACGGGCGTATTCATCCTGGTGGGAGACGGGGTCCGTGACCGTGATGTCACAGATCCACACTTCACCGGTGTCGGGATGGCGGATAGAGATATCCGCTTTGAGGTTTTCGACCGGTGAGTAAGCCGTTGTCTCCTTATGCACGGTGAAGCCCGCTTCCGCAGCTATCTTTGCGCACTCGTCCCGAAGGGCATTGTGGGTTGCAATTCTCCCCCCCCCCTTTCTCGCACCGCATCAAATGGTTCGGTAGGCGGTCGTCGGGGAATGTGGTGCGGTATCTGCAGTCGCAGCGCCTTGGCACAGGTAGGGGGAGGCCTAAGCGGAAGGAGGCCGCTGTGGAGAACTGAGAGGGCCCGAGGCGGAGGGAGGAGATCAGCGGGACGGCGAGCAGCCAGTCCCCTGCGCCGGGGCCCAAGAGGGACTGCAGCCGCTGCGTGTGTCCGAACAGTGGGTTGAGCTCCATCTCCCGCGAGCTCTCGAGCAGTTGCATGAACCTTGCAGTTTGAACCGCGAGGGAGAGCGACTGTTGGAGCTTTGGCCCGTCCGGTCTCTGTCTCCCCACTTGGAGGGCCTCGATCCCCTCAGGAGGCAGCACGGCTTCTAGGGCAGCAAGGCGCCTTGGGAGGAGGGACGTAGATTCCTCGTTGGAGTCCATTAGCGGCAGCAGTCCAGTGAGAGCAGGGTTTGCCGCGTCGCCGAAGGTTCGCAGCAGGTGTGCAGCAGCAGTGACTGCAGCCAGGTAGGCATGTCCCCCCTCCACTGCAGGGTTGGTGATGCCCAGGCCTCCCAGGGACGCGGGCAGGGCGGCCTGGTGCCAAATCCTCTCCCTCTCGACCCGGGCTCTGGGGATTTCTGTGTGTGCTGCGGCAAGGTAGGTATGGAACAGTTCTTCCCCCCAGGCGGACCATTCCCTCAGCGGTAGGGCTTCAAGCGGCGTGGCTCTGACCATGAACGAAGCGCGGCGGCTCACGCAGCGGGTAAGTAGGAGCAGGCAGAGTTGCGGGTCCATCTGGGAGAGGAGCGGGAGCGGTTCAGCAGCAGCTTTAAGGCGTTCCCGCACTCGGGCAGCGCAGCCGGCGGGGGGCCCAATCGGGCTGCCCAAGACGCGGATCCCGTCCCGGGAGATAGTGACGCCGTGGGGCAGAGCGGCGGGCTCCAGGGCTGTGGCGGCCCATGCTTCGCATTTCGCGGGGTTGTGGGACAGGCCGTGGCTGAGAAGTGCTTCCGTGAGGTGGTTGAAGGCCGCCGTGCAGCTCGCAGTCTCGCCTAGCAGGGTGATGTCATCTGCGTACGCGAGGAGCACCACCTCTGGGTGGGCCGTCGCCGTTGCAGCGAGACAGGGGTGGATGCTGGCCGCGAACAGCATAGGCCCCAGTGGGTCTCCCTGGCGCACGCCTCGCGCGCTCTGTAGAGGCGCCGCCTCGAAATCGTGGTCGAGGTAGAGGGCTGATGGGCGGCCGTATGAGAGGCGGACGAGGGGGACCAGGGTGTCAAGCTTCGTGCCTTTCAGTCCTTCAAACACCGCCGCGCGCTCCACGGCATTGAAAGCGTTTGCCAGGTCGATCTGGAGGGCCGTTGCTCCGGGGAACTCCTCCAGGTAGGTGCGGGCCGCGTGTATCGCTGCCTCGATGCCCCCCGCGATCGCCACACCGAATTGTAGCGGGGTGAAGTGGTCGCGCGCTGCAGGGGCGGCCAGGAAGAGCGCCGCCTTTGTGACAATACGCAGCAGACATTCGCCCACGGCTATTGGCCTAGTTCCGCCTTGGGGTTTCGTGAAGGCGAGCAGGCGCGAAGCGGTGAGTAGATCTGCAGCCTCGGCGCTCAGTTTACCCGCTAGCGCCGTGTTGGTAAGCGCGTGCAGTTGTAGGAGGACGTCGGTGTTCCCAAGGGCCGCATCTCTCAAGTGCTCGAAGGTAGTCCCTGATGGCCCAGCCCCTACGCCGTTGGGGCAACGGGCAAGCAGTTTCCTGAAGTCGCGAGCTGTGATTGAGGGCAGAGTCTCAGGGGCAAAGTCTTGCACCCAGACTGGGATGGCTGCGGTGGCCCTTGGGTGCCTGGCCGTGAGCGCAGCCAATACGTCAGGGGTTGGCGAGCAGACGGGCGTGGCAGTTAGCGACTGGAGGGACTTCGCCAGGTTTCCCCTTTTCGCTAATCCCTCGGCTCTCGCCAGCTTTCCCGTGGTGTCAGGTACGTGGCGTGGTTGGGGGTTGTTGTTCACTGCTTCTGCCGCCTCGTCGTAAAGGCCGCGCCACTGCCCTTGGCGAAATCTCGTCAGTCTGTCGCCCATTGCCTTCCAGTCTGGTTTTCGTGCAGATGACGAGCGCAGGAGAATTCGCGGGAGAAACATCAGCAGCTTCCAACCAGGAGTGGAATCAGGGGTTATGGCGAGGTGCAGAAGTGGGGTCAGCAGGCAGATGGCGAAGGATTCGCGAAGTGGGCGAGGAGGGTGGCGGGCAAGGGGTGGCTGTCTGCTGTCGCGCAGCGGGCCGAGGTCCCAGTTGGCGATGTCAGCGAAAAGGTCTTGACGTCTTGCCAGGATGTCAGCGCTGATGATTGGGGCGGGGGTGGCAGGCGTTGGGCCCGCGTTACTGGCTGGGGCGGTGGTAACCGCAATGTTGGGGGCGGTTCGGTTTGGTCTCGCGGTCCGATTTCTGGGGGTTGGGGTTGCAGATGCGGCTCGGCCCAGGTTTGGGATTTGCCCCACACCTTCGGATCTGGTTTGGTTGGCAGGAACGCCTCGGGCACGTGGGCTGGGGACCTCCTCTCCTTGGAGTAGGCGATCCAACTCCTCGTCATCCTCCTCGACTTCAACCCCTAACAACCCCTCTCTTTCAGGGTTAAATAAGGGGTCCCCCTCGTCACTTCTCTCATTCTCCGTAGCCTCCTCAGCCTCCTCGCGAAGTTCCTCCTCGCCGCCTCTCGCGCTCTGACGTATCAGCCTCTCCGCGTTTCTCGCGAAGCCGCTGGCTCCTGTGCGGCGTCTGTTCGTGCCCCGCGCACCGCCGCCTCTCCGTCCCCGCTCGCTACCCCTTCGTCCGCGGCGACTGCCGCGTCCGACGCAGATTCCGCGCGTTGCTCTTGCTACTGCGACTCCCTCGCGCCCCGCCAGCGGCGCCGCGGTCGTCTCGCCTTCCCTTCGTCGGCGCGCTGGCATCTGCTGCGCTACGGTCGGGAGTGATGGACCCGTCCGCAAGACGGGATCCGGAGCTTGAGCATTCCGCGGAGAGCGCGCCGCGGGAGCCTGCGCCTGCCGAGACTCGGCCACGACTTCCTGCGCATCCCTCCGCAAGCGAGCCCGTTCACCGATTCGAGCGGGTGCAGACTCTTCCCCATCAGCCAGCCTCGCGCCTCTCCCCCCCTGAGTATTCGTGGGCTCCTGCGCGTGTAGCGTCGAACCGTCCTGACGGTCAGCAGCCGCAGCAGCGCGGGCGCTCGCCTCAGCGTCATCCCCAACGGCAGCCGTCTCCTCGTCGCCTATCTCCCGCGCGTCGCGAACACTATCAGCGCAGGGAGGGGGATCCGCGCTCCCCTGAGCGTCCTCGCTCTCCTCGGCGCCCGTCTCCTCGTGGTCGAGCAGGCCAGCGCTCACCCCGAGCGCGATCCCCCGCTCAACAATCACCTCGGCGAGCTCCGGCGACGCGGGGGAAGGGGTCGCCTGGGCGTCGCTGGGAATCAGGTCGTCGCGAGCCGTCCCCTCCGCGTCCGAATTCGGGTGGTTCCGCTGGGCGGCGGGGCCGGCGGAATGGCGGAGGGCGCGGCTCATCTGGCCGCCAGCCGGATCCTGCTCTTGATCACGCTGCGAACACATTCGTGGATGTGGTGCGGCAGGCCCGGGCGAGCGGGGGGCCGACTCACGTTCACATCGAGGTGACAAATGGCCCTCCCTTTGCCGCGGATCCCGGCCCGGTGGCCCCACTGCGCGCGCCGATGTTGGCCGAGTATCTGCCCGCGCGGGTGGGGAGACCCGACTATCGCTCCCCTCGTCAGGTTCCTGGCTTCTCCGCTGGGTGCTTGACTGTTGGCCGCGTTCCTGGCTGGTCGGCGTCGTTTCCGCTCGAAGAGCAGACTGCACCTCACCCCAATCCCGTGGGGAGAGACCCCATGCTGACCATGTGCCGGATATTGAATCTGGCGGAGGCGTGCGAGGTGGTGGCGAACTTGCAGCTGGCAGTGTGTGGGGCCACCCGGAACTTTCCGAGCAGTTTCGGTCCAGGATCCCGAGGATCCTGCGTGACTTTGGCAGGATCGCTCGAGTCGCCGTTGGCGCCCGTGTCGGAAGCGCCCGCCGGGGTAGCTCCCTTAGCCCGTACTTTCCCCCGCCACGTGGGGGATCTTGTAGGGGCTGCTCAGGCCGGGACCCCCCTGGACGTGCTCCAGTCATCGGCGCATCTTCTTCTTGCGGTATCGGCGTGTATGCGCTCGATGCTTGAGATGGAGGGGGCGGAGCCGTACACGATGTAGGCCTCCGCCGCGTGTAATATTGCATGCCGTTCTCTCTTGCCTAGGCTCTGCTCCCTTGATTCCTGTGCATGCGTGTTTCTCCTGGAATAGCAGTCCACTGCCTTGTTCCTTGCCACCAGGAGCGCGCGGCCGAAGGCCGCGCTGGCGAGCGGCGGCGGCCGAAGGCCGCCGGCGCGAGCCGCCGGAAATGAACTCCACACGAAATAATGAGGAGGGGGAGAGAGAAACAGCCCTTAAATAGCTCTGGAGGGCGGAGGGCAGAGGGGTGAGGCAGAGGGCAGAGGGCTAAGGGGTATCCTCTCTCTCTCTCTCGCTCTCTCCCGCCGGAAATGAACTCCACACGAAATAATGAGGAGGGGGAGAGAGAAACAGCCCTTAAATAGCTCTGGAGGGCGGAGGGCAGAGGGGTGAGGCAGAGGGCAGAGGGCTAAGGGGTATCCTCTCTCTCTCTCTCTCTCTCTCTCTCTCTCTTTCTCTCTCTCTCTCTCTCTCTCTCTCTCTCTCTCTCTCTCTCTCTCTCTCTCTCTCTGCCTTTTCTCTTTTGTCCCTCCCACCCACCATCCACCGGCGCCCTATCCATCCTCACCCTTCTTGCCAGCTCCTTTTGCCGACCTGTCTTCTGTTTTGTCCCTTTGCGTCCTCCCTGCGCTGCGCCCCCCTTGTCTCGCACATCCCAGGCGGCTGGACAACAACGTGTTCTCAGGCGCCCTCCCTCCAACCATTTGCACTCTCTCCAACCTCACCGTTCTTGCCTTCTCTCCCTTTCATCCCTCTCCCTTTCATCCCTCTTCTTTCACCCCTTGGCAACTACCTCTTTTCCAGGCGGCTGGACAACAACATGCTCTCAGGCGCCCTACCGCCAACCATGGGCCTTCTCTCCAACCTCACCGTTCTGTGAGTCTTCTGTAACCTAGTGGCTACCGCGCAATCAGCAACCTACCTACTGCAACCAACCTACCTCCCCTCTCTCCCGGAGCACTGCACTCCAACCAGCTCTCAGGTCCTTCACCGTCATGCTGGTTTCACTTATGAGGCGCCTCAAAAGCCTTCACCCGCCATGCTGGTTTGACTTACACACCCGCTCTTCCTGCCCTCGCCCTGCCCTCTCCCTGCCCACCCTCTCCCACCGCTCTCAACCCCTGTTTTCCCCTCCACCCCGCCCCTCTCTCCCAGAGAACTGCACTCCAATCAGCTCTCAGGAGCTCTGCCAGCCACGCTCGGAAAGCCTCTCCCTGCTGTCTCTCACCCGTTTCTCCCTGCTTACTCATATCTTCCTGTGGCCCTCTCCCACCTCTGTTTCCCCTCCACCCCGCCCCTCTCTCCCAGAGAACTGCACTCCAACCAGCTCTCAGGAGCTCTGCCAGCCACGCTCGGAAAGCTCTCCCTGCTGAAAGCACTGTAAGTTGACTTGACTGGAGGTACAGCAGCAAGGCACGGCCCCACTAATTTTAAAGACGTCTCAAAAAACCAGTATGGCGCACCTGTTTTACTGCCTTTTCTTTAGTGGTCTCTGGAATCGGATCGCTTCTCCCTTGCGGCTTGTAGTGAGTCGAGTTTTGAGTCGACTCAAAAGGACAAGACTCAAAACTCGACTCTCTGGAATCGGATCGCTTGTCCCGTGCGGCTCTTCTTTTGTTGCTCCTTACAGCGCGCAGCTTCTTGAGGCGCCTCAAAAATCGTTTTTTTGGCGCCTAAAAAATTGTCTCTGGAATCAGATCGCTCGTGAATCGGATCGCTTGTGAATCGGATCGCTTGTCCCGTGCGGCTCGTCTTTTGTTGCTCCTTACAGCGCACAGCTTCTCTCCACCCGTGTTCTCTCGCCCTCCTCCCCCACTTGCCCTCCTCTCGCCCCATCCCACAGAACCATCAACGCCACAGCCCAGCCCTGCCCCGCCTCCTCGTCCCTCTGCCTAGTCTCCCAGTCCGCCTCGTCCTCCTTCTGCCACCTCTGCCCCGAGTTCTGCTCCTCCTGCGAGCCCCTTGAGGAGATGGCAGTAGAGAATGAGGGGGAGAGTGGGAGCGATGGCAACGGTGGTAGCGGTGGTGGGCTGAGCATGGCTGCAATCATTGCGGTGGTGTGCGGTTTTCTGCTCCTGCTCACGGCTGTGCTTGTGGCGTTCCTCGTGTGGTGCTGCTGTCGCCCAGGCTCCAACCCTTTCAAGCACGTTAAAGTTGTTGGTGAGTCTTCCCTTTGAGTGTTCCCTTCCTTCCCTGCTCCGGTCTTGCTGCTGCTCCTGCTCCTGCTCCTGCTCCTGCTCCTGCTCCTGCTCCTGCTTCTGCTCCTGCTTCTGCTCTTGCTCACAGAGAAGCACTCACTCTCTTCCTCTCACTCCGTTTCATTCGCCCGTCTTCCATCCACCCCACCACCACTGCAGACCAGGAGGAATTCGATGATGCGGGTCTGATCCCGTCGCTGTGCTGCCGCTACTCTCTGGTGGAGATCCGCCGAGCCACGGGCAACTGGAGCGAGGAGAACCGCATAGGCAGTGGGCAGCACAGCAACGTGTACAAGGGCACGTGCCCGTACAACCCCGCCAGCACGTGGGCTGTCAAGCGCTACAAGGAGCGCTCCACGCACTTCGAGAAGGAGGTGCGTTGGGAAGGGCATAACCTGGTTACCAGGGGAGATAGAGAATGGATCTAGCTGGATAGACAGAGGGGAGGACAGAAACGTGTTGAAGGGCGTAACCTGGTTACCAGGGGAGGTACAGCAGGGTTATTAGCTGGATAGGTAGTGGGCAGCACAGCGACGTGCCCGTACAACCCCACCAGCACATGGGCTGTCAAGCGATACAAGGAGCGCTCCACGCACTTCGAGAAGGAGGTGAGCGTTGGGAGAGCTGAGTGCATGTTGCCGAACCTGCTTCCGAACCTGCTTCTGAACCTGTTTCCGAACCTGTTGCCGAACCTGTTCCGGGATCTGTTGCCCATTCTCTTCCAATCACCCACCCCACCAGGTGGAGCAGATAGCAAGCAAGTGGCATCCCACCTTGGCCCACCTGCTGGGCTACTGCGTGGACTCAGACACGCGAGTTTTGAGACGTCTCAAAAGTCGTCTGTTGGGCTACTGCGTAAACTCGGACGCGCGAGTGGAGGGCGGCAGGATGGTGCAGGGGGAGAGCAGAGCAGACCAGCTCACTCACCCCTGTGTTTGCCCCCTCGTGCCCTGTCCACTACCCCCTCTCAAACCACACCAGGTGGAGCAGATAGCAAGCAAGTGGAGGGCGGGATGGTGCAGGTGGAGGAGCAGAGCAGATCAGCTCACCCACCCCTGTGTTCGCCCCCTTCCATGTACGCTGGTTGCCCATCCAATCACCCTCCCGAATCACCAGGTGGAGCAAATCGCAAGCAAGTGGCACCCGAATCTCGCCCACCTGTTGGGCTACTGTGCGGACTCAAACACGCGCGTGGAGGGCGGCAGGATGGTGCAGGTGGAGGAGCAGATCGGCTCACCCCCTACTCCTGTGTTCGCTCTGCCTGTACCCTGCTTGCCTCCCAACCAGGTGGAGCAAATCGCAAGCAAGTGGCACCCGAATCTCGCGCACCTGCTGGGCTACTGTGTGGACTCGGACACGCGGGTGGAGGGCGGCAGGATGGTGCAGGTGGAGGAGCAGATCGCAGTGTATGAATACGTGCACCACGGGGACCTCAGCCGCTACCTCTATCAAGGTTAGTGGCCTGTGTGACTGCCAGAAGTGATATTTCTCTAGTGCAGCAGCAGGTGCAAGGGAAGGGATGGTGCCGGTGGAGGAGCAGATTGCAGTGTATGAATACGTGCACCACGGGGACCTCAGCCGCTACCTCTATCAAGGTGAGCCATCACCGCATGCTATCCATTCCTGCAGTATCCTCATGGGCATGACGACCGCATGGTGCATGCGTGGGGACCTCAAGCCCTTCTATGCGCCCTCTTCTTCCCTGTCTGATTGTGGCTCTCCCAGCAGAATCCTTCCGGGCGTCCTTTGCCCTGTGGGAGCGCGTGGACATCCTGATAGGCATGGCGCACGGGGTGCAGTACCTGCACTCGGTGGGCATGGTGCATGGGGACCTCAAGCCCGCCAACATCCTCATCGACAAGAGCTGGCAGGCCAAGGTCGCCAACTACGGGCTGCTGCAGCGCAACGAGCAGAGCGCCGTGAGCGCGGGAAAGCTGTTCGGCACCCCGGGATACGTGGATCCTGTCTACCTCACGTCCCACATTGCCACCAAGGCCTCAGACGTGTTCAGGTGAGACTCCCGTAGGCGGCATGCATGTTGTAAAGGGGTGACATCTGGGGTGGGTGGGGTGGTCCTGGTGTGCTCTAGTGAGCTGGCAGGCCAAGGTGACCAATTACGGGCTGCTGCAGCGCAACGAGCAGAGCGCAGTGAGCGCTGGCCGGCTGTTCGGCACCCCGGGATACGTGGATCCTGTCTACCTGACCTCGCACATTGCCACCAAGGCCGCAGACGTGTTCAGGTGAGGCGGGGCTAGAAGGCGGGCTGGCTGTCTGTGTGAGGGTCACATGTGGGGTCGGGTGGGCGTGGGCGTGGGCGTGGGCGGGTGGGTGGGCGGGGTGAGCCTGCTCTAGCAGAGAGCTGGCCGGCCAAGGTCGCCAACTACGGGCTGCTGCAGCGGAATGAACAGAGCGCTGTCAACGCCGGGCGGCTGTTTGGCACGCCAGGATACGTGGACCTCGCACATCGCCACCAAGGCCTCAGCCTTTTTCAGGTGATGCCCCACGTTGTGAGAGTCAGATGCGGGGTGGGTGGGTGGGTGGGTGGGTAGGGGCGGCCGTTGGTTTGAGCCGACACCTTACAAATGCTCTGCCCTTTCCCCCACCCCCTCTCCCCATTCGCACCATGCAGCTTCGGAGTCATCTTTCTCGAGCTACTGACAGGGCGGCCGCCGTTCATCCAGGTGCAGGCGGAGCACGGGGAGGACCACGAGCACATTGCAGACTGGGTGAGTGATGCTTGTTGAGTGGGCTGTGCACCGGGCTGAATATTGTGAGCATTGGGTGGGGGACATTGGGACAAGGGGCGGCCGCCGTTCATCCAGGTGCAGGCGGAGCACGGGGAGGACCACGAGCACATTGCAGACTGGGTAAGTGATGCTGGTTGTTCATTGCGTTAGAGTTACTGAGCAGTGGTTGGGAATACTGGGGCATGGGGCGGCCGCCGTTCATCGAGGTGCAGGCGGAGCACGGGGAAGACCACGAGCACATCGCAGACTGGGTGAGTGCTGATGCTGTTGCTGGCCAGGTGTTTCACTTGGGGGGAGGACCATGTGCTGTGCACGTCACAGACTGGGTGAAAACGGCTAGAGCTGCCTCCTTCCCTCCCTGCACTCACCTGCTGCTCCCCTACCCTTTCTCCCCTGTTTCTTTCCCCACAAACCAGGCGGCGCCTCTTATCGACGAGCAGAGGAGCTCAAGGACCCCCACCTGGACGTGGCGGGTTCCTCCTTCCTCTCCCTCACCTGCTCATTCTCTCCCTTGCCGTTTTCTCCCCTCCCTCGCAAACCAGGCTGCACCACTCATAGATGAGGGCAAGACGGAGGAGCTAAAGGACCCCCACCTGGACGTGCCCGAGTCCTCCTTCCTCTCCTTGCTCCAAGCACTCACCTAACCCCTCATTGCCTTCCCTCTCCCTTGTTCATCCTTCTCTCCCCACCAACCAGGCGGGACCTTTAATCGATGAGGGCAAGACAGAGGAGCTCAAGGACCCGCATCTGGACGTGCCCGAGTCGTCCTTCCTCTCTCTCGCCGAGCTCGCCATTCGCTGCACCGCCATGCCCTTCACCGACCGCCCGCCCATGGGAGAGGTGTTGGCGACGCTCAAGGCCATTCGGACCGACTTTTTCGGGCTCACGGACCCGGATGATGTTTATGGGGGCGAGGGGAGTGGCGGTATGGAGAGTGGGTTCGGTGGCGGTGATGGCGATGGTGATGCTCGGCCGGATTGGGGTGTTACGGTTAATGGTGTGTGATATGGCTAGAGTTATCTCACGATGTATGTTTCTGTATGGTGCTGTGCGTCTTGGTGTTTTATTTCCTATGTATGAGGTGGTGTGCTGCCAATTATGTTTTATGAAGGGGTGGTTTGCAAATGCCATACCAATTCGGTGATCAATAGGTACACAGATATGCAGTTTTAGGTGGGAAGGAATAAGAATTTACCCACCTGAAATGAGGACTAGCATGCACGCAATAGGCTGCACAATACAGTCTAGTAGTAGAGTAATACTTTTCTAAACTTGTAGAGAATGTATTTGTACAGTAGCAGAATCTGTGAATTTGCAAGAGAAATAGATTGCTGTTTATACGAGGCTCCGCGCTTGCTGCAGTCAACGAAGTCCGCGACACAAGCCCCGCTGGCAAATCTCACATGCCAGCATGATAGAGGAAGCGGGTTGGCGACGAAGGCTATTGGTTTACGAAAGGTCGTCAGTCCACAGAAGCGCACTTCATCATCCCTGAAACCTAGAAATCTCCTCGTGTCGTCGTGGTCCAGCCCCCCAGAAATTTCAGCACGTCGGAACAGAAACCAAACCAGAACGCAACGGTGGCGATTTCGCCACAACCTGCAACCAATCGAGGTTGGGGGGTAGATTGGCACGAAATTTGTAAGCCAATCCTGAGCAGGCCAACTTTCAGAGGGGGGTTTGGGTTGTCAGAAAGCAGTAACTGCACCTCGCCACCCAAGGATGGAGCGAAGCCCTGTGCTACCTGGTTTTCAAGTGATAAACCAGGTCCTCCCGCAGGAGGTATGTAGGCGACAGCTTTAACTGTGTTGGTTGAAATCAAAGTTCTCTTTACCTTTCTAGCCGTTAGTAATTTCCCTCACCCCCTCGATGCTAAATTCGGACCTTCTAGGTATTACGACTAATGAATATTAGTACTAACCTCGATGATTTTAGCATTAGTGCAACAAGCCTGAGTTCTTAAGAATCCCTGTGTTCAAGTTTTCCTATCGTAGACCTAAAGTGAATCTCCTCTTTGGAGTCGTCGTGTCGCTTGTTTGAAATAAACTCAAACCGTTTCGAACGCCTCAGCTCGCGGTTCCGAGGTGACTTCTGAGTTGAAAGTCACCTCGGAGCCGTTGTGTCCGCTAATAAACTCAAACCGTTTCGAACGCCTCGGGGCTCGCGGCTCCGCCGCGGCCTATAATCCCCTGTCGCCGCTTCCGCGATGTCGACGAATCGCGAATGGCCGACGGTGGCGGTGCTTCTGCTGTGCAGTATGCTGACGTCATGGGGAGCGCTGACAGCTCCAGTGCAGGGACAGACGATTGACAGTAGCCAGTGTGAGTGTAACGGGAAACCTCAAGTCATGCAGCCAACGCGGCAAACGCGAGGGTCTTTGCTTCTCAAGCCAAAGTCATTTTGAGTCATCTTGAGCCAATCTTAAAAATTGTTACGAGTCACTTTGATTCATCCTGACTTATCATGAGTCACCATGACGCATCGTGAGTCACTATGAGTCATCACGAGTCAACATAAGTCGTCACGAGTCACATGAGTCACCACGAATCACTATGTGCCATCGCGAGTCACCATGGGTCATCACGAGTCACCATGAGTCATCACGAGTCACCATGAGTCATCACGAGTCACCATGTGCGATCACAAATCACCATGTGCCATCACGAGTCACATGAGTCATCACGAGTCACCATGAGTCATCACGAGTCACCATGAGTCATCGCGAGTCACCATGAGTCATTGCAAGTCACCATGAGTCATCACGAGTCACCATGAGTCATCATGAGTCATCTTGACTCACCACGAGAGTCACCATGTGCCGCTGGCACAGCATGACCCGCCCCAGTATGTTCCCTTTCCAGGCTCCTACACTGCGCACCCTCCCCTCCTCTCCCACCATTCCCCGCAACGTCTTTCCCCCTTTCGTCCCCCCAAAATCTCTCAAAATACCAACCCCCCTCCCCCCCACCCCCCCCCACCCCTCCCCTTTTCTTCCGCGTTCCCCCAACCTCCCCCATCCCCGCCTGCCCCACATCACATGCTGACGTCAGTGCAAGCATTATGGGACATGCAGACGTCATGGGGGGTGACTTTCGACCAATGGGACACCAACGGAGACTGCAGCATCGCGTACAACATATCATGCAACGCTGACGGCATGGTGACGTGGATGTACGTGGTGCTGATGTGGCGTGTTCAGAATTACGTGGCATGAGATGAGACAATCTGGCTACTGTATGGCTGTGGCTGGTCTGTGGCATCTTGCAGTGGGTGACGTGGCATGTTGTGACATGGCATGCTGCTGTGACTAAGCACGTATTGGTCGGATTGTGTGTTGCTCCAAGAATCAGGATTTTTTTCCTGGGCCATTTGCTGGTTGCATGGGTGCGTGCATGCATGCACAAGCACAACACGCACACACGTATGCATGCACGTAGGCACACAAACATACACACTTACTTACCATTCTGACTGCCGTCCCGACTGCCGTCCCGACTGCAGTCCCGACTGCCGTCCCGACTGCCGTCCCGACTGCCGTCCCGACTGCCGTCCCGACTGCCATCCTGACTGCCATCCTGACTGCCGTCCTGACTGCCGTCCCGACTGCCATCCTAACTGCTATCCTGAGTCCTGACTGCCGTCCTGACTGCCGTCCCGACTGCCATCCTCACTGCTATCCTGACTGCCGTCCCGACTGCCGTCCCGACTGCCGTCCTGACTGCCATCCTGACAGCCATCCTGACTGCCGTCCTGACTGCCGTCCCTACTGCCATCCTAACTGCCGTCCCGACTGCCGTCCCGACTGCCGTCCCGACTGCCGTCCCGACTGCCGTCCCGACTGCCGTCCCGACTGCCATGCACGCAGCGTCCCAACCAGGAAGCCAACTTCCCTTGCCCGTCCCAACCAGGAAGCCAACTTCCCTTGCCTTTCCAGAATTCTCAAAATCCGCCCTTTCCTCCCATTGATACTCATTGATACTAAGCCTCCATTTCCAGAATTCTCAAAACCCTCCCTTTCCCTACCCATTGATACTCCCCCACACGGCTTGCACTGCAGAGACATCTCGGGGCTGGATCTGGGAGGGCCTCTCCCCGCCACCATCGGTGACCTAGCGGCTCTCTCACACCTGTGAGTGACTGATGCATTCTGCTTGCTGCCTGATGCTCTTAAAGCCCCTCTCAAGACACCGCCACCATCGGTGATCTGGTGGCTCTTTCGCACCTGTGAGTGGCTGCCGCATGCTGGTGCTGAAGCAACCCTTTTTTCCTTCCACCCGTTGCTGCAATCATGCCCCTAACCAAGTGTGTCCGCCACTTAACAGCTTCCCCGACGCCACTGCTGCTTGGTTGCTTCATGGCGACGGTGGCAGGACAATGAACTGACCAAACGGCATCACAGGCTGCGTGCATTGCATTGAGCAATGGCTACCCCTCCCCTCTGCCAGTGGCCAATGACCCACTCTCACTGCCCACTCTCACTGCCCACTCTCACTGCCCACTCTCACTGCCCACTCTCACTGCCCACTCTCACTGCCCACTCTCACTGCCCACTCTCACTGCCCACTCTCACTGCCCACTCTCACTGCCCACTCTCACTGCCCACTCTCACTGGCCACTCTCACTGCCCACTCTCACTGCCCACTCTCACTGCCCACTCTCACTGCCCACTCTCACTGCCCACTCTCACTGCCCACTCTCACTGCCCACTCTCACTGCCCACTCTCACTGCCCACTCTCACTGCCCACTCTCACTGCCCACTCTCACTGCCCACTCTCACTGCCCACTCTCACTGCCCACTCTCACTGCCCACTCTCACTGCCCACTCTCACTGCCCACTCTCACTGCCCACTCTCACTGCCCACTCTCACTGCCCACTCTCACTGCCCACTCTCACTGCCCACTCTCACTGCCCACTCTCACTGCCCACACTCACTGCCCACTCTCACTGCCCACACTCACTGCCCACTCTCACTGCCCACACTCACTGCCCACACTCACTGCCCACTCTCACTGCCCACTCTCACTGCCCACTGCCCATCCGTTGACTGTTGCTCATCCACCATTGACCATTGCTTGCTGCTTTGCTCCCTTGCTTGCTTTCTTGCTTGTTTGCTTTGTGGGGCGATGGTGGTGGGTGGCAGGACATTGGATAGGGACGGCATCACGGGCTCCATCCCATCCACTATTGGCCAGCTCACTGCCCTCACCTGGTTGTAAGTGCTGATAGCTAGCGAGTTGCGAGTGTTGCTGATGAGTCGCGGGTGGGGTGATCGCGGGTGTGATGCTTACAAGTTAGTCGCAAGTCAAACGGTTGTGGCAGTGCGCGATGCTTCCCAATCGTGAGTAAATGAAGTGAACCTGTGTGAGTGCTTGGAAGACGCAGTGCAGTTTCTGTTCGCAAGCTTGTTTCTTTAGTTCCTACCCTTCTCAGCTTTAGGTCCCTTCCCGCTCCCCACCCATCAGCTCTATGGCTCGCAACAGCCTCACTGGCAGCTTCCCCAAAACCTTCACCAACCTGGTCAATCTGAGAGACGTGTGAGTCAAGTCAAGTCAACGAAGGTCAACTACAGTCAAGTCAACGCAAGTCAATTCAAGTGATTTCAGTGCGAGTCGACTCAATTCATGCGTTCACTTGTCTTTCCAGTCGGCTCAGCAGCAGTCACTTCGTGACAAGAGCACACTAACATTGTTTTCTGAGTCTTCTGAAGAAAAAAATTTCAGCATGAGGAAAGTGATCTTCAGACATAATTCTTAGGGAGCAGCAGTAGTGAAGCTAGGCTTAAAAAAGATTCAGCATGAGTAAGGCCAAGTCAACTCACCTCTATCCTCCCCTCTTTCTTTCCTTCTCTCCTTGCCTCTCTCCCCACCTTTCTCTCCTTGCCCCTCTACTCCCCCCTCCTCTCCTTTCCTTTCTCCTCCCCTCCTCCCTCGCTCGATCCTCCATCGCAGCTCCCTCTATACCAACCAACTCAGCGGCCCCCTTCCCTCCTCTCATCCTCTCATCCCCTCTTCCAATCCCCTCCCCCCCCCCTCGCTCGATCCCCCAACGCAGCTCCCTCTATGCCAACCAACTCAGCGGCCCTCTTCCCGACTTCAGACTCTTTCGCAACCTGCTCCAATGGTGCAAAACCTTCCCTTCCGCAACCTTCTCTTCCAACGCGTTGCTGCTACTCAACAGTCGCGACACTGTACTCTACTCTACGCGCCTCTTCCCTTTCGCCTCTTCCCTTTCGCCTCTTCCCTTTCGCCTCTTCCCTTTCGCCTCTTCCCTTTCGCCTCTTCCCTTTCGCCTCTTCCCTTTCGTCTCTTCCCTTTCGCCTCTTCCCTTTCGCCTCTTCCCTTTCGCCTCTTCCCTTTCGCCTCTTCCCTTTGCCTCTTCCCTTTCGTCTCTTCCCTTTCATCTCTTCCCTTACATGGTTTCATTCTTTGTCTCTTCCTTCCCGACTCGTTGCTGCTACTCAACAGTCATGCTGCTATACTCACACATGCACAAGCATTGACTTACTGATCACATACTTGTGTGCACGTGTGCTTGTACGTGTGCTTGTAATGGGTGTGCTTATGGGCAGGGGTTCATCGAGCAACAACCTAACAGGGTCTATTTCATCACATATTGGCGACTGCTCAGGATTGATAGCTCTGTGAGTGACGTGAGGTAGCCCACGGCCATTTGAGCTTGCCTATAGCAGAGTGCGGTACCCGATGGTTATGTGCGGCAGCCTATGGTAGTGTGCGGTACTCGCTGGTTATGTGCGGTAGTTCACGGTCATGTGCGGTAGCCGATTGACCAATAAATCGTCCCATGGACATCTTGCCACGGCCCCAGAGCCTCCCAGCTACTTGCAATAAAAAAAATCTGTTTGGCAGCAGCATCGCACGCTCTGTTTAGAGGCGCCTAAACTAAGACTCTCCTGCCATTTTGAGGCGCCTCAAAATGCACCTCACTACGCTCTGTTTAGAGACGTCTAAACTAAGACTCTCCTGCCACCCCCCCCCTTTCCCCGCTCCCCCTCCCCCTCCCCCCTGTCTCCCCAAACATCCCAATATACCCACAGGTACCTGCAAGAGACTCCTTTTCCCCATCCGCCAGGCATTATTCCAGACTCTCCTCGGTTCAGAGTCGCCTAAAAATCAGATTCCCACACAACCCCTCACTCCCTCCCGCACCCCACCCTCCCCAACACCCCATACCCTTCCTGACTTTTGATTCGACTCAAAAGTACCCTCCCGTACCCCACCCTCCCCAACAACCCATACCCTTCCCAGATACCTGCAGGAGACTCCTTTCCCCCTTCTGTCATGTCAGACATTATTCCAGAGTCTGTCTTGGTTTGGGGTCGTCTCAAAGCCGGACTCAAGCACAACCCCCCACTCTCTTTCACACCCCACCCTCCCCAACACCCCGTATCCTTCCCAGGTACCTCCAGGACAACCATCTGTCAGGCAGCATTCCAGACTCCATCACAAACCTAAGGGGCCTCACACACGTGTAAGCGAGCAGGGCTGCACCCTGTGGGGCTCGCACAGCTATAGCCGTGGGTGATTTTCGAGTCGTCTCTAAGCTATCTGCAGGAGAACCATCTGCCAGGCAGTATTCTAGTCCAGAGCCCATCACAAACCCAAGGGGCCTCACACACGTGTAAGCGAGCAGGGCCGCACTCTATGTGCCCCAAAATCTAGTAAACACTTCTATCCTCCTTCACGCCCCTCTATCCTCCTTCACGAATCACACCCCTCTGTGCTCCTTCAAACCCCTCTATAACCCTTCATACCCCTCTATCCCCCTGCACACCCCTCTATCCTCCTCCGCAGTGAGTCACACCGTCCCACGCCTCTCCCCACATCTCTCTAACCAGCTCCTCACTCTGTCTTTAGAAAGCTCAAACGTCCACAATCTCCCCCCGTGCGCTGCGCCCCTCCCGCCCCTCCACCCCACCCCACTGCACCCCACTGGACCCCACTCCCCCCATCTCCACCCCACTCCACGCATCTCCACCCCACTCCACCCATCTCCACCCCACTCCACCCATGTCCACCCCACTCCACCCAACTCCACCCCGCTCCAGTGACCTTTCGTACAACAGTCTGTCTGGCAGCATCCCTTCCAATATTGGCACCCTCAGCTGGCTCACCTCCCTGTCAGTCACGTTTGTCAGATGAGTCGACCTTCGAGTCGTGCTAAAGGCCATTTCATAAGTTATTTTGAGTTGCATCAAGAGGCAACCTGCGTAGGCTTACCTATCTCTGAGACACGTTCGTCTGCCACACCACACAAGAATCACAAAGAGCATTGTTCGTCACACTGAAGGCAGCCTTGCTCCCAATTCCAAGACATCTTTTTAAAACCATCTCTGAGACAAGTTCGTTATACTGGATTGAATTCTGAAATTTCTCAACAATCTCTTAAACCATCTCCCCCTCTACCTGCTTGTGTGTTTTCTCTTCTCACTCCCTCAACCCGCCTCTCCTCCCTCCCATTCTTCAGTGCCTTGCGCAAGAATCGCAACAGTGGCATCATTCCGAATTCCACCACCACCCTTGCTTGTTCCCTTTCTCCTCCCTCGCACCGCCCCCCTCTCCCCCACATCCCCCCCACCCCTACCAGCTTATTGAACAAGAATCCCATTCGTGGGCGGTTCCGGGATTCTATCACTGCCCAACTCTTGCTTGTTCCCTTTCTTCATCCCCACTTCCCCTACATTCCCCCCACCTCTACCAGCTCGTTGCACAAGAATCGCATTGGTGGCATTGTTCCCGATTCCATTACCACGATGCTCGCCTTGTCACACCTGTGCGTATACCAGCCACACACTCAAAACTCATCGCCTTGTTGCGTCTTTGCGTATACCACACCACTCTTTATTGGAGATGATAGTAGATTCAGCTGAAGAATCGCATCGGCGGCACCATTCTTGATTCCATTACCTTTATGCTCGCCTTGTCGCACCTGTGCGTATACCACACCACGGTTAATTAAAGATGTTAGTTGTAACGCACTAACTCAAAGAAGTAACATGCTCATATGAAGATCTAACATTTGTAATCGAAAATACAATGTTGTAACATGCTTATTTGAAGACGTAACGCACTCACATGAAGATGTAATGCGTTCGCACATGAAAAGGTAATGCAGTCACCTGCCCTTGCCATCTCTCCTGCAAATTCTCTCTCCAAATGCACTGACCTCTCACAAAACCCTCTCTGCCTCTGCCCTGCATCCATCTTTCCCACACAGCGACCGATCGTGCAGCCAGCGCTCTGGGACCCAGAGAGAACGCCCTCTGTAGTATCAATTTCTCAGTCAACTCAAACACTCTGATAAATGGGAGTTTTTGAGACGTCTGAAAAACTCCCTCGCATCACCCAGCGCTCTGGGACCCAGAGACAACCCATTCGCAATATCGGTTTCTCAGTCGACTCAAGAACCCCCCTCTGCTGTCCATCTGTGGCCGTATTCTGCGCCCCTCTATCAAACACAGCGACCTATCCTACAACCAGCTCTCTGGCACCCTGCCGGCCAACATCGGTAACCTTCAGAAGCTCGTCGACCTGTACGTGTATCCCCTCTCCCTCTTCCTAAGGTGCTCATACAAACAGGGGAAGCCTCATGCTCATACAAACAGGGGAAGCCTCATGCTCATACAAACAGGGGAAGCCTCATGCTCATACAAACAGGGGAAGCCTCATGCTCATACAAACAGGGGAAGCCTCATGCTCATACAAACAGGGGAAGGGTTCCTCCTCATACGCAAAAAGGTAAAACAAAAACAAACAAAAAAAACAAACAAAAAAAACAAACAAAACTCAATAGCACCCTCCCAAGCCATCTTGCACGAGTGCCCACCACCTCTCCTATTGCTCAGTTTTCTGGGACCCTGCCATACAACATCAGTGACCCCCAGAAGCCCATTCACCTGTACGTTGATTCCAACTCAAAAGCGAATCCCTCCCAAGCCAAGCCATCTTTCACGAAAGCCCCTATTGGCCTCACATCTCCTATGTTCAGCTCTCTGGGACCCTGCCTGCCCTGCAATATTGGTATATCATGTGTACCTGACCACAGACACCCGTCCACCTGTATGTGAATTCTTGCCATCTCATCCATGTGTGCTGTATCGTGTGTTCTCTCCCCCTTGTAGAAAGAAGATTTTTGAGACGTCCTACGTCCATCGTATCTACGTCTCTAAAATCTTCTTTCTACACGTGGTATTGTGTGTTCTCTCCCCCTTTCCCCCTCCAACCGCCATCCATCCCCCCTCCCCAGCTATGTTGGCAATACGGACATGCAAGGGAGCTTGCCCGAGACCCTTGCAACAATGACCCTGTTTGGGATAAATTTTTGAGTCGACTTAGTTGTAGTTGCTTGCTGCGTCACTTGACCCACCCCTATCCCTCCCCAGCTACGTCGGCAACACGGACATGCAAGGGAGCTTACCCGAGACCCTTGCAACAATGACCAACCTCAAAACCTTGTAAGTAATGCACCACTTTGCATTTCTCCCTCTCTCGCAACCCTGTAACCGTTGTCGCTCTGTTGGTATCCTTATTGAACGCGCCTTCCTCTTTATAGCTTTCCCATGCCATCACCCCATGCCATCACCCAATGCCATCACTCCTTCTATCACCTCCTATCATCGCATCCACCACTGCAGGTCGTACGACGGACGGGCTGCTCATGTCGTGCCCCACAGGGCTCTGCACTTTTGATGCTGTCAACACCAGCTTTCACCCCCCTTTCCATCACCATCACCCCACCCATTACCGCAGGTCGTACGACGCGCTGCTCATGTCGTGCCCCACAAAGCCTTGTACCGTTGATGCTGTCAACATGCGCTATCTCACCTTATGCTCCCACCCCTCTTTCCATCATCAGCACCCCACACCTCACCGCAGGTCATACGACAGCCTGCTCATGTCGTGCCCCACAGGGGGCGTGCACCGTTGATGCTGTCAACAGCACCCTCTTCTGCTCCGACTGTTTTGGAATGCGTCAAACATGTTACCCTACACCCTTTGATGTTATACCCCCCCACGGCAGATCGTATGACGGCCTGCTCATGTCGTGCCCCACAGGGGCATGCACCGTTGATGCTGTCAACACCACCCTCTTCTGCTCCGACTGCTCTGTCTTCTGCTCCTCTTGCGGTGCCACACCTGGTAATAGCAAGCAAGCAACCAGCCAACTACCTGCCAGCTACCGGGAAACTACCTGGGAACACCAACCTCTGTCTACCTGCCAAGCAAGCAACCTGCCACCAACCTGGCAGAACCTGGCAGGCCACAAACTTTCTTGCTTCCCTCTGACACATTTTTTTTTTTTTTTTTTTTTTAATATTTCTCAAATACCACTTGTTGCAGGTGGTTTTTGAGAATTCTAGAAATTTATTCAAAACCTGGCAACTAAGTCTCTTGTTTCACTCTTCCCTGCTCCTCTTCCCCCCACATCCGCTTCCCCCCACTTGACGTCCTCCTCTTTCTGCTCCCCCCCACCTCTTTCCCGCCAACCAGCGCAACCCTCCTCTCCAGTCCCAGCCAGCCCTCCGCCCGCCCCTCCTTCCTCCCCCTCGCCACCTGCCCCTTCCCCTTCCCCCCCGTCCGCGGAGGGGGGAGGGGGGGTGTCGACAGGGGTGGTTGTGGGGGTGGTAGTGGGAGCAGTGGTGCTGTTGCTGGGAGTGGTGCTTGTAGCGGTGTGCTTGTATCAGAGGAAGCGCAAGGCAAGAGCAGCAGCAGATCAAGGTGAGTCAGAGAGAAAAGAAACAGAACCCGTGTGAAGGGGTGTGAAGGGGTGTGAAGGGGTGTGAAGGGGTAGGAGACTGTTAGGCGCTTGCCGATTCATGAGGTGAGGCAGAGAGGAGGGTGAATGCTATCACAGGGCTAGAGCAGCAGCAGATCTGATTGAAGAAGGGTTTTGAATGCTATCACAGGGCTAGATCAGCAGCAGATCTGATTGAAGAAGGGTTTTGAATGCTATCACAGGGCTAGAGCAGCAGCAGATCTGATTGAAGAAGGGTTTTGAATGCTATCACAGGGCTAGAGCAGCAGCAGATCAAGGTGAGGCAGAGAGGAAAGAAACAGAAGGGGTGAGAAGCGGTGTGAAAAGGGGGGGGGGGGGGGGGGGGGGGGAGGGGATGGTAGAAGATGATTAAGGAGCCTAGGGATTACTAAGGTGTTTGCCGATTCATAAATTGAGGCAGAGAGGAGGGGACATCTGAGAACCTACAGTGGCAGTGCTGCTCCCCCTGGGAACCTGCAGTGGCAGTGCTCATGCGTTACAGACCTTGGGGCACCTGAGATTTGAACAAGCTGCTATCAACGATTATCTTACACCTTTTTGCCTCTCCTCCCCACCCTTCATCCCCCCCCCCTTCCCCCCTAAGCAGCAGCAGCGGCGGGGATATCTGGGGGCGGGCAGTGCCAGCGCTACCCCTTGGCGGACGTGCAGCGGGCGACCAACAACTGGGCAGAGGCCAACCGGATTGGCAGCGGCGGGTTCGGGGACGTGTTCAGGGGAGTGTCGCCTCACGACCCCTCGGTGCTGTGGGCCGTGAAGCGAGCCACCGTCATCACCAGTGACTTCCGCCGAGAGGTACGTGGAGTGGTGAGGTGCGGGTGTGGTGGGGTGTGGTATGGTGCAGTGCGGTGCAGTGTGGTGTGGTGCGGTGTGGTGTGGTATGGTGCAGTGCAATGCGGTGTACCACCCAGCTAGTGTGCAGTGGGTCTGGGGATGTGTTCAGGGTAGTGTTGCAAGATGACCCATCAGTGGTTGGGGCTGTGAAGCGAGCCACCGTCATCACAAGTGACTTCCGCTGGGAGGTGCGCGGTACGGTGTGGTGTGTTGCTGTATGGTGCGGTGCAGTGCGGTGTGGTGTGGTGTGGTGTGGTGTGGTATGGTGCAGGGCAATGGGGGTACCTCCTAGCTACTGTGCGGCGGGTTCGGGGATGTGTTCAGGGAAGTGTTTTCCCCACGACCCGTAGGTGGTGTGGGCTGTGAAGCAAGTCACCGCGATCACAGGTGACTTCCGACAGGAGGTGCGCTGTGGTGTGGTGCGTGGGTCTGACGCAGTTGTGTGTGGTATGGTGTCTCATGCACTCTCCTTCTCCCCCCCACCCCCCACACCTCGCCCTCCCCCAACCCCTCTCTACCTACTCCCTCCCTCCCCCCTCCCACCACAGATCAACGAGATGGCGTCAAAGCACCACCCCAACCTCATGCCCTTCCCCCCCCCACCTCCTCTCCTTCCCGTTCCCTCCCCTTCCCCCCCTTTCCCCTCACCACAGATCAACGAGATGGCATCGAAGCACCACCCCAACCTCGTGCGGCTACTGGGCTACTGCATCGAGGTGGATAAGGCAGCTGAGAGCACGGAGCAGATTCTCATCTATGAGTTCATGGATAATGGGGATCTGGAGAGGTGGATTGGACCAGGTTGGTACAATGCCTGCTTGCGTTGCCTGTTGTATCGAAGGTGCTGCCTCTGAAGCACGGAGCGGATTCTCAGCTATGAGTTCAGCTGGATTAGACCAGACCAGGTGGGTGGGTGTTGCCCTACCCTATGGTGGGTGGTATGGCTGTTGGGCTGGGCTACTGCATCGAGGTGGACAAGGCAGCTGAGAGCACGGAGCAGATTCTCATCTATGGGTACATGGATAACGGAGGCCTCGAGAGGTGGATCGGACGAGGCGAGGTGCGTGACCGTATGGGTTTTTCAGGGGCCCGAGAAGGCATCTCGTGCCTCGAAGCACCTCAGTACTCGTCAATGAGTTGAGTTTATGGACAATGGAGCCCTCGGGAGGTGGAGTAGACAAGGTGAGTGGGTGCTGCGCCTTGCCTTTCCTTCCTGTGGGCTAAGCTGTGAATGCCTGCTTCTCACCATTTGATATGCTTCCTCGCGTCGCCTGCAGTGTGGAAGTGATGCCACCACGGCATTTTCACCTGTCGTGCCTAGCACATTCTCGTTCTGCAACCCATCCATTCTGACTTGAGTGTTTGCATTGTCCTACAAGGTTACTTTTGAGTCGACTCAGAAGTCACTCCTGACTTGAGTGTTTGCATTGTCCTACAAGGTTACTTTTGAGTCGACTCAGAAGTCACTCCTGACTTGAGTGTTTGCATTGTCCTACAAGGTTACTTTTGAGTCGACTCAGAAGTCACTCCTGACTTGAGTGTTTGCATTGTCCTACAAGGTTACTTTTGAGTCGACTCAGAAGTCACTCCTGACTTGAGTGTTTGCATTGTCCTACAAGGTTACTTTTGAGTCGACTCAGAAGTCACTCCTGACTTGAGTGTTTGCATTGTCCTACAAGGTTACTTTTGAGTCGACTCAGAAGTCACTCCTGACTTGAGTGTTTGCATTGTCCTACAAGGTTACTTTTGAGTCGACTCAGAAGTCACTCCTGACTTGAGTGTTTGCATTGTCCTACAAGGTTACTTTTGAGTCGACTCAGAAGTCACTCCTGACTTGAGTGTTTGCATTGTCCTACAAGGTTACTTTTGAGTCGACTCAGAAGTCACTCCTGACTTGAGTGTTTGCATTGTCCTACAAGGTTACTTTTGAGTCGACTCAGAAGTCACTCCTGACTTGAGTGTTTGCATTGTCCTACAAGGTTACTTTTGAGTCGACTCAGAAGTCACTCCTGACTTGAGTGTTTGCATTGTCCTACAAGGTTACTTTTGAGTCGACTCAGAAGTCACTCCTGACTTGAGTGTTTGCATTGTCCTACAAGGTTACTTTTGAGTCGACTCAGAAGTCACTCCTGACTTGAGTGTTTGCATTGTCCTACAAGGTTACTTTTGAGTCGACTCAGAAGTCACTCCTGACTTGAGGGTTCGCGTTGTCCTACTGCACTCAAAGTCTGGCTTCCTGTTGAGAAGCCACTGAGCCTGCGGCAGCACTTTGACTCAGCTCATAGGGGTGGCTCAGGGGTGCAAGCAGTGGAGGCTCAGCACCTCCACTGCTTGCATCAGCTCCCACACACATTCACACGCTTGTGAATTCAGTATTTGCCTTGTCCTACTGGACTCACCATTCGGCCTCCTCCCCCCACCACTACCAACCACCAGGTGTTGAGAAGCCGCTGACCCTGCGGCAGCGCTTTGACGTGCTCATCGGGGTGGCTCAGGGCTTGCAGTACCTCCACAGCTTCAACATTGTTCATCGCGACATCAAACCCGCCAACATCCTTCTTGACAAGAAAATGCAGGTGAAACACTTAATAAGTTATAACACAAGCACACAACGACGCTACTCTCTCTGCCATTACTGATTCATCCTTTTTTGCAATTCTTCTGGTCTCACAGTGCGAATCTGTCTCCTGAACCATCATCTCCCTCGTCTCCCCTCTCCCCCTTCTCTCCTCTCCCCTCGTCTCCCCTCTCCCCCTTCTCTCCTCTCCCCTCGTCTCCCCTCTCCCCCTTCCTCAGACCAAGATAGCTGACTTTGGGCTGGTGAGGATGGGCGAGGGCACTGCAGTGGGTCACACGCGGGTGATGGGAACGCCAGGCTATGTAGATCCCGCTTATTTCAAGTCGCAGAAGGCCACGCCAGCCGCAGACGTGCATAGGTGAGGACGCGGGTGTGCGTGGGTTCAGACTGGTAACAAGCTGGTGGAAGGAATGACATCAATAAGGCCACTACAGCAGCAGAGGTGCACATGCGAATGGAGAGCAAAAATGGGGTCTGAGCACCACCACCGGTGTAGACTTTTAAGGCGCCTTTCGTCTCATCACCCGCGATTGTGAGGCGCCTCAAAAGTCACCACAGCAGCAGAGGTGCACATGTGAGTGGAGAGCAAAAGTGGGGTCTGAACACAAGGTACAGGGGCCAGGCCACAAACAACCACCTCTGCTACATGCACCCATCCAAGCACCGTTATCACTGTGCTGGTCCCCTCTTCACCCCTCCCTCCCAGCTTCGGAGTGGTGATGCTGACAGTCATTACTGCCCGCAAGGCTCTAGACTCTTTGGACGACAACCAAGTAAACCTCAAGAAATGGGTGAGTTTGGTACGGATTTGAGAGAGGGCATTGTTGTTGTCGTCGTCGTCGTCGTCGTCGGTATGATTACTATCATCGTAGTTATTATCGGTATTAATGCTATTACAAATACAATCACCACGATAGCTATAATTAATGTAATCACTTGTAACATTCCACTCATGCCCTTCCCCTCCTCCAGGTGGAACCATTCTTGGAGGCCGGAAATGCAGATGCTATCAAAGACCCGCGGCTGGACGCCCCCAGCGATGTGGTGCTCAAGCTCGCCTGCTTCGCCCTCTCCTGCACCGCCACGCCCGTGGCCACCCGCCCGTCCATGGCGCGCATTCTCTCCGACCTCATCGCCATGAAGGAGGAGTTCCTCGGAGCTGATGTGGATCCAGTGCTGGTGAATATTGACAGTGACCTGGCAGATCGCAAGGGCTCGAACTTCTCGCAGGAGATTCGGCGGGCACAAGAGGTGGCCTCGGAGCGTGAAGGGGTGTCGGGTTTGAGCATTGGGATGGTGTCAATTGGGGAGATGGATTCCTCTGATAGCGGTGTATGAGGGCCGGTGGTGTATGGTGCGTACGGTGTTACTTTAAGAGGGGGTGTTAGCACTGAGGAGGCGTGAGCATCTCCTGGTACGGGTGGGCGGGGTGACTCTATAACATGAAGGTGCATTGATTCGATTGGAGTAGAATCGCATCAAATGGCAGCTTCAATTGATATGTACGTTCCGTATGTGTTTATGGAATATAGTTCCGAAGTTGTTGGGCCTCATTGAAATCCAAACGGAACGGAATAATTGACACTGAGACGAGGAGTCTGAGGGAGCTCCTTATGTGACCTGGCCATTGGCTTCTTTTTAATACAGATTATCGATTTATGGATACTTCAATGCTAAGTATATATTTCAGTGAAATATGTTCCAGTCTTCCACAAGGCTCGGATCCTGGCTAGTCAACGAAGTCATGACGACAAGCCTTGCTGGCGGTAACACGTGTCGTCACCGTGGCTGAAAATTTGGATTGGCCACCGAGAGATTCCCCCCTAGAGAGCTCGGAGTTTTCCACGCTTGGGTGGAAAGCTGGCACGCAGTGTTTCGCCGAGCCCCAGCTTGGTTCCCCCGCAATCTCCCCACGTTCTTTTTCTTTCCCCCTTTCCCGCTCCCAATTCCCTTTGCCCGTTCCCCGTTTCCCGTCACCCCACCATCCCCTTTCCGCCTTCATCCTTCCGCTTACCCTTTCCCCTCGCCGTAAATCTACCCACCACAGGTGGATCATACACAAGCAACCGACGGGTTGGATTCTTTCTTGGTTGTCGGCGAGTCGGCGGCGCTTGTTCCACTCCAGCATTTCCCGTGACGAAGGTTTCGCTGTCCTTCGCAAGGTGCTACGTTTAGCCGCAGCCCTTTCGAGAAATCGCCGCAGCCCTTTCGAGAAATCGCCGCAGCCGCGGCATTTCGTCGCATTCCGTACGACAATCCGCCGCACCGCATTCCACACGGGCCGTGCATCCCGCCGCATTTCACGCTACATCCGCCGCAGCTCATGCAAAACACCCCGCCGCTTAACACGTCGCTGCATCCGCCATATTCCACGCTGCCGGCCAAGAGGGTCGCGCTAGAGCCCGCAACTCGCGCTACAACCCCCCCGCGCCGCGGTGCGACTCGCGCCACAACCAGCCATTCGCCATTCGCGCTACAAACCCACCACGCTACAACTCGCCGCTTGCTACAACCCCCACGCGCCGCTCCACTCGCGCAACAGCTCCGTCACGCGACATTCGCGCTACAACCAGCCGCTCTGAGATCATGAGGCCGAGTCGCGGCATGTCCGCGACACTGCTTGTTACCGTGCTGACGTCATGGAGCGTATTTTCCGCTCCGTTGGTGACGCACGTGCTGGGACAAACGATTGACAGCAGCCAATGTGAGTGCCAAGTGGACGCCACGTGGCATGGCGTGGACACGTGGTACGACGTGCACGTGGCATGGCGTGGACACGTGGCGGAATATGATGGCATGCACGCGCTTTCGCCTCCATTCCGATACTGGAAAACCCCATCCCTCCTCTCCTCTCTTTCCCCGTCCGTCTCCTCCCCCTCCCCCTCTTCCCCTCATCCCCCTTCCCTTCCGCTCCCCAATCCTCCACCTCCTCCCATCTTTCCCCATACTTTTCCCATCCCCCATCCCCACCCCCACAACTCTTCTCCCTTTCACATGGCATATCTTTCTCCCTCCCTTCCCTCCCACCGCCCCCTCTCCACATGCCACGTCATGAACTTGGCACGTCCACGTCATGCTGACGTCAGTGCAAGCATTATGGGACATGCAGACGTCATGGGGGGTGACTTTCGACCAATGGGACATCAACGGGGACTGTAGCATTGCCTCAAACATATCATGCAATGCTAAGGGCATGGTGACGTGGATGTACGTGTTGGTGACATGGATGTACGTGATGATGACGTGGATACATACACATGCATCAAGCACAACACACATGCGCACACGTCGCCCACATGCGCATGTGCATATGGTTGTGTGCACATACACACACACAGGCACACCCGCCCACCCACTCTCACACGCACACACATGTACGCACACACACACACACACACACACACACATACACACACACACACACACACACACACACACACACACACGCACGCACGCACGCACGCACGCACGCACGCACGCACGCACACACATGCACACACGCACCCACACATTCAGGATCCCAGAGGACAAAGCCATTGCCTGTGTGTGTCAGTGAGTGTGCAGGCACTGCCCCTTGCCCCACTTGGTGACTTGTAAGTCGACTCAAAAGTTGCCTTTGTGTGTCAGTGAGTGTGTCAGTGAGTGTGTCAGTGAGTGTGTCAGTGAGTGTGTCAGTGAGTGTGTCAGTGTGTGTGTCAGTGAGTGTGTCAGTGTGTGTGTCAGTGAGTGTGCAGGCACTGCCCCTTGCCCCACTTGCCTCATCCCCCCCGTCCGCCCCATCCCCACGACCCCACCCAAGTGACTACACAGCCCCCGTCGTGTTGACTGTCAGCGCCAATCAATGCCCATCACCCACCAACAACCTCACCTCACCGCATCTCACCACACCTTACCTCACCTCACCTCACCACACCGCACCGCACCTCCTGCCGCCCATATGCTCCTGCTGCCAATACGCGGACCCATACTTACTTCCATCCTCACCACCCCACTCCCACCCCCCATACGGCCATCGCGTCAGAGAGGTGACAGGACAGAATCTGGGAGGGCCTCTTCCCCCTACTATCGGTGACCTAGTGGATCTCTCTTACCTGTGAGTCACTGCTGCTGGCTGCATACTGCACCTCAGTGACCTAGTGGATCTCTCTCACCTGTGAGTCAGTTGACACTTTTTGCTTGCTGCTGCTGCTGCTGCTGCTGCTGCTGATAACTGTTGTATGGGAATGCTGGTGACATGCCACTGGCGACAGAATGTGTTTATGGGAAACCATTCTCCTTCTCTCCCATCTTCTTTCCCCCATCCCTCCGTACCGTACCCGTTCCCCCCCCATCACCATCCCCCCTGTCTCCATCGTGGTCTATACTTTTATTCCCCCCAACTTGTATTCCTTTTCTCCCAAATTTCTTCCCTTCCCCTACCCAGTGACTTGGATTCAAACAACATCACAGGCTCCATCCCATCCACCATCGGCCAGCTCACTGCACTCACCTGGTTGTGAGTGCTGATACCTAGCGGCTTTTGAGTGGACTCAAAGTCATCTTTTGAATCGACTCCAAGGCCAGCTCACTGCCCTCACCTGGTTGTGAGTGCTGATACCTAGCGGCTTTTGAGTGGACTCAAATTCACCTTTTGAATCGACTCCAAGGCCAGCTCACTGCCCTCACCTGGTTGTGAGTGCTTTGTGCGGTTTGCACTCGCTAGAAAAGGGTTGCATGCCCTGCTCCACATGCCCCCTCGCCCCCTCACTGTCTATTAACCCCATGTGTTGTTGCAGCAGCATGAAAAAACATCTCTCCTCTTCCCCCATCCCTCTTCCCCCATCCCTCTTCCCCCATCTTTCTGCTCCCCGCGCCCCCTATCCCCACACCCCCAATCCCCTCGCCGCGCACCAGCTCCATGTGCTGCAACGGCCTCAGTCCTCTCCTGAACCTTTCAATTCCCCTGCTGTCTCATGTGCAGCTCCCTTTCACTGTCTCATGTGCAGCTCCCTTTCACTGTCTCATGTGCAGCTCCCTTTCACTGTCTCATGTGCAGCTCCCTTTCACTGTCTCATGTGCAGCTCCCTTTCACTGTCTCATGTGCAGCTCCCTTTCACTGTCTCATGTGCAGCTCCCTTTCACTGTCTCATGTGCAGCTCCCTTTCACTGTCTGTCTATGCCCCCCCCCCAATCCCCTCGCCGCCCATCAGTTCCATGTGCTGCAACAGCCTCACGGGTAGCCTACCAGCGACAATGAGCGATATGGTTGCCCTGAGAGACGTGTGAGTCGAATCAATCAAATTGGTCAAACAAAGTCAAACCAGTCAAACGAGTGCGACAGCCTCACCCCACGGGCAGCTTACCTGCGACCATGAGCGGTATGGCTGCCCTGAGAGACGTGTGAGTCAAACCAGTCAAATTGGTCAAACAAAGTCAAACCAGTTAAACTTGTTGGAGCCGGAATTTCCATATTTCTCAACAAGGGAAGGAATTTTCATCCCGCGTGTGTCTTCGGTGCTGTGCCTGTTGTGCCACTCTCACAGTTCTCTCTTTGCCAACCAGCTCACAGGGGAGCTCCCTATGATCAGCGCCCTTCCAAACCTAGAAATATGGTATTTTCAATCCTTCAACGAGCATTGATCTCGCTGCTTACGAATTTATTTCTGGGTGATTTCTGGGTGATTTCTGGGTGATTTCTGGGTGATTTCTGGGTGATTTCTGGGTGATTTCTGGCACATCACCTCAAAAAGTTCGGGGGCGTTAGCCTGTTTCAGACACTGTGCAGCGCTTCTACGCCCACTGTCACCACTTCCAACCACTTTGTACCACTTCTCACCGCTTGTCACCACTTCTCCCAACCTGTCGCGGCTGCTGAGTAGTGAGCACTGCAGATAAAAACTGTCACGTGGTGGTGTGCTGGGTCGAACCAGCAGCACCAGTAGAGTCTCCTTATAACGGGGATAAAGGGGTGCTGTCTTGCATTGCATTGCATCGCATCCATCCAATGAACCTTTCAACCTCAGGGGATCATCCGACAACAAGCTATCAGGGCCGCTGCCATTCTACAACGAATGGCACTTCTTTATAGCAGAACAGATACCTGTGTATCGAATCTGCCTATAACAGGGATGAGCGGTGCTTGCATTGCATTGCATTCATCCATCCATTGAATCAACCTTCCAACAACAGGGGATCATCCGACAACAAGCTATCGGGGCCGCTGCCGTTCTCCTCCACAGCGTCACCTGTACAGCAAACCACCGGGATCGCCTCGACAGCCATGAAAGCAATGTGAGCACAGCATAGCGTGGTCCCGCTTTATTTTCTTCTTCTTATGGATACCCATTTAGTTAGTAGTATAAGCTTAAGGCGTCGAACGCATTATGAGTTTGGTTGGTGCTACAACAACCACATGATAGAGTAGATCTCTGACAGTCTGACCCACCATAGCGAGTTCTGTCTATACTCTATCTATAATTAATCACCTTCCCCTTCATTCCCCTACTTTTCCTACATCGACTCCATTACGCCTTTGAAGTCTACTCAACTCAAACTACCCCCGCCCTTCTCCTCCCCCTCTCCCTCCCACACCAGCTGCCTGCAGATCAACATCGTGAAATTCCACATCCTGGATTCAATCGCTTTCTGAGTCGATGCAAAACACCCTCTTTTTCTCCTTTCCCCCTTTCCTTCCCTTCCCTTCCCCCACCAGCTACTTACAGAACAACATTCTGGAATTAGACATCCCGAATGCGATCACCCTCTTGATTCAAATAGCCCCTTGTTGAGTACACTCAAAGTGTTTCCCCTTCCTCCCCCTCTCCCCCCTCTCGCTCCCCCCACCAGCTACTTACAGAACAACATTCTGGAATTAGACATCCCGAATGCGATCACCCTCTTGATTCAAATAGCCCCTTGTTGAGTACACTCAAAGTGTTTCCCCTTCCTCACCCTCTCCCCCCTCTCGCTCCCCCCACCAGCTACTTACAGAACAACATTCTGGAATTAGACATCCCGAATGCGATCACCCTCTTGATTCAAATAGCCCCTTGTTGAGTACACTCAAAGTGTTTCCCCTTCCTCCTCCCCCTCTCCCCCCTCTCGCTCCCCCCACCAGCTACTTACAGAACAACATTCTGGAATTAGACATCCCGAATGCGATCGCCCTCTTGACTCAAATAGCCCCTTGTTGAGTACACTCAAAGTGTTTCCCCTTCCTCCTCCCCCTCTCCCCCCTCTCGCTCCCCCCACCAGCTACTTACAGAACAACATTCTGGAATTAGACATCCCGAATGCGATCACCCTCTTGACTGAGCTCACACATGTGTGAGTGTGTGTGCTTCTGGCTTGCTGGCTTGCTGGCTTGCTGGCTTTTGGGGTGGTAAACGTGTGTGCTTCTGGCTTGCTGGCTTGCTGGCTTTTGGGGTGGTAAACGTGTGTGCTTCTGGCTTGCTGGCTTGCTGGCTTTTGGGGTGGTAAACGTGTGTGCTTCTGGCTTGCTGGCTTGCTGGCTTTTGGGGTGGTAAACGTGTGTGCTTCTGGCTTGCTGGCTTGCTGGCTTTTGGGGTGGTAAACGTGTGTGCTTCTGGCTTGCTGGCTTGCTGGCTTTTGGGGTGGTAAACGTGTGTGCTTCTGGCTTGCTGGCTTGCTGGCTTTTGGGGTGGTAAACGTGTGTGCTTCTGGCTTGCTGGCTTGCTGGCTTTTGGGGTGGTAAACGTGTGTGCTTCTGGCTTGCTGGCTTGCTGGCTTTTGGGGTGGTAAACGTGTGTGCTTCCGGCTTGCTGGCTTTTGGGGCGGTGAACGTGTGTGCTTCCGGCTTGCTGGCTTTTGGGGCGGTGAACGTGTGTGCTTCTGGCTTGCTGGCTTTTGGGGCGGTGAACGTGTGTGCGTACTGAGGTGAAGCACAGAGAGTGGGAGAGCTGTGAAAATGCTTGCGTCAGTCTTGGGAGACTTGTTGCTGCAGCTCAACGCCGTTGTTTGCTCAAAAGCATTGCTGCAGCTCCATGCCGTTATGCTCTCTTGCGACTTATCAAACAAATAGCATGCAAGATCTAAAGCTAGTGAAATACCTACAGTAAACCCTTTTCAAGTCCACTCTCCTCTCCACTCCTCTCGCCCCTCCTCTCCTCATAGCGAAGTTACTATCCCCCCTCAACGACCAACCCCCCTGAATGATCTCATTGTCTCATTTCTCACCCGGCTCCTCTCTTCTTCGTTGAAAACTCTTCCTGGAAATCATTCCCCTCCATTCGTCTCATGCCCGTCCAGAGATTTCGGCAACAACCGGATCACAGGGGAGTTGCCGGCCGACATTGGGAACTTACAACAGCTCACTTACCTGTAAGTGGTTGGCTCTTAATAATAACAATAATCCTAGTAGTAACAATAACAATAGCAATAATATGATAATAACGATAATGATGATGATGTTGATGATAAGAATAATAATCATAATAATCATCATCATCATAACGATAATAATGATAGGATTACTAATATTCTTAATAATATTACTAATATAGACATCAATAATATCAATTCTATTGATATTAATGATATGAATAATACTAGTACTTCTAATAATAATATTTTTGGAGAGTTTTCACCCTACAGTGATAACCTGCAGAAAGCTCACCCACATGTGGGTGTTTCAAGTGCGTGCGTGCGTGCCTGAGTGCATCCCGCACAGCGAAATGCAGTGCCGCTGTGCTGTGTCATGTGCCGTCCATTCATGTTTGAGGCGCCTCGAAAACAGCGATATGCAGTGCTAGTGTGTCATGTGCCGCCCATTCATTTCACTCTCCTCTTTCCCAACCCTCCACTCCCCTTTCCTCCCCTCCCCTCCCCTCCCCTCCACTCCCCTCCCCTCCCCTCCCCTCCCCTCCCCTCCCCTCCCCTCCCCTCCCCTCCCCTCCCCTCCCCACCCCTACACTCCCCTCTCCTCCCCTTTTTTCATTGTACGAGCAGCAACATCTCGCAAAACGAAAAGCAGGGGTACCTGCCGCAGTCCATGGGAAGCCTAATGCTTTCCATTCATCACTCACTCTTAACTCATCCCCTGCCCTCTACTCCCCTCTCCTCCCCCGTTTTCATTGTACGAGCAGCAACATATCGCAAAACGAAATGCAGGGGTACCTGCCGCAGTCCATGGGAAGCCTAATGCTTTCCATTCATCACTCACTCTTAACTCATCCCCTGCCCTCTACTCCCCTCTCCTCCCCCGTTTTCATTGTACGAGCAGCAACATATCGCAAAACGAAATGCAGGGGTACCTGCCGCAGTCCATGGCCACCATGGAGAGCCTTGCAACCTTGTGAGCGCCCCTGAACCTTGTGAGCGCCCCTGAACCTTGTGAGCGCCCCTGAACCTTGTGAGCGACCCTGCACCCCATGCGCTCCTGTCCCCCAGGGAGGGCTACCTCCCCCAGTCCATGGCCACCATGGCAAGCCTTGCCACATTGTGAGCGCCCCATGCATGCATGCATGCATGCACACATGCACCGATGCATACATGCAACCCATGCACGTACCCGGCACGCGGCCCATACAACGTCACGCCCATCAACCATGCACCCATCCTCCCATGCATCCTTGCACTCCCATCCTCTTATTCCACCCAGTGACTACGACCTGTACCTGTGGTCGTGCCCCGCACGCGGCTCATGCACCGTCACACCAATACAACCATACACTCATGCACCGTCACACCAATACAACCATACACTCATGCACCGTCACACCAATACAACCATACACTCATGCACCGTCACACCAATACAACCATACACTCATGCACCGTCACACCAATACAACCATACACTCATGCACCGTCACACCAATACAACCATACACTCATGCACCGTCACACCAATACAACCATACACTCATGCACCGTCACACCAATACAACCATACACTCATGCACCGTCACACCAATACAACCATACACTCATGCACCGTCACACCAATACAACCATACACTCATGCACCGTCACACCAATACAACCATACACTCATGCACCGTCACACCAATACAACCATACACTCATGCACCGTCACACCAATACAACCATACACTCATGCACCGTCACACCAATACAACCATACACTCATGCACCGTCACACCAATACAACCATACACTCATGCACCGTCACACCAATACAACCATACACTCATGCACCGTCACACCAATACAACCATACACTCATGCACCGTCACACCAATACAACCATACACTCATGCACCGTCACACCAATACAACCATACACTCATGCACCGTCACACCAATACAACCATACACTCATGCACCGTCACACCAATACAACCATACACTCATGCACCGTCACACCAATACAACCATACACTCATGCACCGTCACACCAATACAACCATACACTCATGCACCGTCACACCAATACAACCATACACTCATGCACCCATCCCCTCTGACACACCCCTGTGCGCCCATCCACCCAGCGACTACGACCTCAACCTGTGGTCGTGCCCCGCACGCGGCTCATGCACCGTCACACCCATCAACACAACCGTCCTCTGCACCGACTGCTCTGTATTCTGCATCTCGTGCTCCACTGCAGGTGCCAACAGTAGCAGGTGATGAGGGTAATAACTGCATCTCCTGCTCGACTGCAGGTGCCAACAGTAGCAGGTGATGAGGGTAATAACTGCATCTCCTGCTCGACTGCAGGTGCCAACAGTAGCAGGTGATGAGGGTAATAACTGCATCTCCTGCTTCACTGCAGGTACCAACAGTAGCATTTGAAGCAGGTAGGAGCCACACCAGCAGGTAAGCAGGCAGTTGTGTTGCGGCCCATTGGGCTCATGCAACATCACGCCCATCAACACAACTGTCCTCTGCCGACCTCTAGTAATGCTCCTCTCCTTCATGTCATGACCAGTGACCAGTGACCCGTGGGACTTTGAAAAGCAGGTAGTTGCGTTGTGGTCTCATGAAACATCACGCCCATCAACACAACTGTCCTTTGCGACCTCTAGTAATGCTCCTCTCCTTCATGTCATGACCAGTGACCAGTGACCAGTGGGACTTTGAAAAGCAGGTAGTTGCGTTGTGTGCTCATGAAACATCAAGCCCGCCAACACAGCTGTCCTCTGCTCCTGCTGTTGCTCCTCCTCACATAAAAGTCGCATATTCTTTTGTTGACAGTTACCTTTTTGTGTCCCACTTGTGTGTGTGTGTGTGTGTGTGTGTGTGTGTGTGTGTGTGTGTGTGCGCGCGTGCGTGCGTGCGTGCGTGCGTGAGTGCGTGAGTGCGTGCGTGCGTGCGTGCGTGCATGCGTGCGTGCATGCGCGTGTGCGCGCAAGCGTGTGTGCGTGCGTGCGTGTGTGCGTGCGTGCATGTGTGCGTGCGTGCGTGTGTGCGTGCGTGCATGTGTGCGTGCGTGCATGTGTGCGTGCGTGCATGTGTGCGTGCGTGCATGTGTGCGTGCGTGCATGTGTGCGTGCGTGCATGTGTGCGTGCGTGCATGTGTGCGTGCATGCGTGCGTGCGTGTTTTGTTCCCCCCAACTCTCCCCAGCAGCACCCCCTCCAGTGGAACCTCCTATCCCACCGCCTGTAGTCGACTCCCCACCTCCGCCGCTCCCCTCCCCTCCCCCTCCATCCGCCCCACCTCCTGCCCCGCCCCCTGCCGAACCTCCCACGTATCCTCCCCCTCCTCCTCCCTCCTCTCCTCCTCCGCCTCCCCCTTCCCCTCCCCCCAAGCCTAAACCCTCCCCCCCCCCTAAGCCCCAACTCTCCCCTCCCCCAAAGCCTAAACTCTCTCCCCCCCCTAAGCCCAAACTCTCCCCTCCCCCCTCTTCTCCTCCCCCTTCTCTTCCCTCCCCACCTCCTCCCCGTGCCATCATTCCCACTCTTCCCCCTAGCACTGCACCTTCCCCCAGTCCCGCCCCTTCCCCCACCACTGACGCACCCCCCCTCTCCCCCCCCTCTCTTAGCCCTTCCCTTCCCCCTTCCGCCGCCCCCCCTTCCCCTTCCACCCCCTCCCCACCCTCTGGAAGTGGAGGATTTTCTCCCCCTTTCTCCCAAGGGGGGAACGCTCCCCCCTCTCCTTCCCCCCAATCTCCCCCGCCCCCTGCTTCAGGGGAAGGGGGAGGGGTGTCGATGGGGGTGGTGGTGGGGATAGCAGTGGGGGCGGGGGTTGTGATTCTGGGAGTGGCGGGTGTGCTTCTAGTGGTGTGCTTGTATCAGAAGAGGAGCAAGGATGGAGCAGGAGGAGCAGGAGGCGGGACACAGGAGGCGCCAACACAGGGAGCTGGTGAGTTGAGTTAAAGGAAAGAGTTGCAAAGAGCTGGTGTGTTGAGACAGTCTCAAAATACAACTTTTATCACGTAGCTGGTGAGTTGAGTTCAAGGAAAAAGTTGCAAAGAGCTGGTGAATCGGAAATGGGGCTGGCTGGGAGAAGCAAAGTGGTTGGACTTGGAGAATTCCTTTTATTTGGCCTCAAAAGTCGATCGGGGAGTTGTGTGATGACACACGTACGGGCCTGCTGCAATTCCTTACCCAGCCAGCCGCCAATCGGTTCAATCACTGTGTGATGAGTCTGTTTCTGAGTCGACTCAAAAACATGCTCCTTACCCAACCGGCCGCTAATCTCTTCAATTTCTCCCCACTTCACTTCCACTCTTGACCCATTCCCACCACTCCCAGTGTCAGCAGCTGAAGCAGCCGCTGCAGCGGCAGCTGCGGCAGCCGTGCCATCAGGAGGCAGCGTCGGGATGAGCGGTCGAATGACGCACGGGCCGTTGCTGTGTCAGCAGTACTCACTCGCTGTCGTGGCGCGGGCCACTGGTGAATGGGCGGAGGCGAACAGGATTGGCAGCGGCAGCTTTGGGGATGTGTTTAAGGGAGTGTCGCCTTACGACCCATCGGTGGTGTGGGCTGTGAAGCGAGCGAGGGTGCTCACTAACGACTTCCGAAGAGAGGTGCGTGGCGTGGTGCGGTGCGGTGTGGTGCGGAGAAGTGCAAGTGGTGTACCAACCAGATAGTGTGCATGTTATCAATGGATTGGTGGCAGCAGCTTTGGGGACGTGTTCAAGGGCGTGTCATCTCATGACGCTTCTGTGCTGTGGGCTGTGACGTGAGCAAAGGTGCTCATGAACGACTTTCGGAGAGAAGTGTGCGGTGTGCATGCGGAGGAGGAGTGCATGTGATTTTTGAGTCGACTCAGAAGTGTGTGGTGACTTTTGAGTCGACTCAAAAGTCACGACTTTCGGAGCGAAGTGTGTGGTGTGCATGCGCAGGAGGAGTGCATGTGATTTTTTAGGCGCCTCGAAAGAGGTGTGTGGTGTGCATGCGGAAAGGAGGAGTGCGTGTGACTTTCGAGGCGCCTCAAAAAGTGGTGTGTGGCGTGCATGCGGAGTGCGTGTGGTATGCAGCGGTGTGAAAGAGTCGTAGGTGCTTAGTCGTGGTGCTTCGTGGCTTCATGTGGCCTACATATGTTTTTGTGTTTTCGTATACATTCATGTGGGGGTAGATGTGAATGTACATGTATACGATGTGTAAAAATATGCAAGTTTATTGGTACATGTATAGAAAATGTACATTATAAATGCTTGCTTTCTTGGTCCACTTTCATGCCCATGAAGTAACAATCTCGCCCTTCTTTACCACTCCCTTCTCCTTCACCAGGTGAATGAGATGGCCACGAAGCACCACCCCAACCTCGTGCGGCTGCTGGGATACTGCATTGACGTGGACGTGGCAGCAGAACGCACGGAGCAGATTGTCATCTACGAGTTTATGGAGAATGGGGACCTTGAGCAATGGATTGGACCAGGTGGGTGCGTTGGTACGAATATTGCGGGTTTAACGATTGAGGTGGTTGGATGCAATTTTGGGATATTCTTACCTGGGAGATAATGCATAATCGCAAAACTGAAACGCACTCGATCAGGAAAGTGCATGCCTGTTTTTTTTTTTTTTTTTTTTGTCTGCTTCTTGTTGTGTTAGGCTTCCGGCATTAACATGCATACATAGGCTAGTCACTTTAATATTGGTATCCTTTTCCTACCACCACCACCAGGTGTGCCTACTCCTCTGACACTGCGGCAGCGTTTTGACGTGCTCATCGGGGTGGCTCAGGGCCTGCAGTACCTCCACAGCTTCCACATTGTTCACCGCGACATCAAACCCGCCAACATTTTGCTCGACAAAAAGATGCAGGTAGGAACTTGGGGGTTAACAATGAGGGTAGAAGATGGGTCTAACGCTTGTACATAAGCATATTGATTGAAAGTTTGGAGAAATCAGGGGTGATGGAAGGATCAGAAGGGGGGAATTGTTGATGGAACTCAAACATTGAAGTTGTGTTTACGTATAATCGTGAAATGAATCCCAAGGCTATTTATTCTTAAGGCCGCCTAGGTTATTCATGATTCACGAATCACTAGCAACCTAGATTACTTGTTCCGTTCGTCTATCGTTTCACATTTCCTCCCATACGTATTGCCCTTTGTCATGCAGGCTAAGGTGGCTGATTTTGGTCTGGTGCGGTTGGGAGAGTTTTGAGACGTCTCAAAAGCCCTCCCGTACTTGATGCGCTTTGTCATGCAGGCTAAGGTGGCTGATTTTGGTCTGGTGAGGCTGGGAGAGGGTACCACGGTGATTGCGACAAGAGTGATGGGAACACCAGGCTATGTGGACCCGGCTTACTTCAAGTCACAGAAGGCCACCCCTATGGCTGATGTGCACAGGTGAGTGAGGATGCAAGTGATGGGAATACCAGGCTATGTGGCAGATGTGCACAGGTAAGGAATGGGAACACCAGGCTATGTGGCAGATGTGCACAGGTAAGGAATGGGAACACCAGGCTATGTGGCAGATGTGCACAGGTAAGGAATGGGAACACCAGGCTATGTGGCAGATGTGCACAGGTAAGGAATGGGAACACCAGGCTATGTGGCAGATGTGCACAGGTAAGGAATGGGAACACCAGGCTATGTGGCAGATGTGCACAGGTAAGGAATGGGAACACCAGGCTATGTGGCAGATGTGCACAGGTAAGGAATGGGAACACCAGGCTATGTGGCAGATGTGCACAGGTAAGGAATGTCAAACGTGCAAGTAAGCACTGCAGCAGTATTGATTTAAGATGAAGCACCCGCTTTAAAGTTCCCTCAAGCTATAAAAGGCTATATTTTTTCGTCATTCATGAACATATATGTGTTTGTTTATTGCCATATTTGTTTGCAGTTTTGGAGTGGTGATGCTGACAATGATTACGGCCCGGAAAGCTCTAGAGTGCTTGAACGAAGGTCAAATCAATCTCAAGCAATGGGTAAGTGCACGTGTGAACAGGTGGGTGAGTGCACGTGTGAACAGATGGGTAAGTGCACGTGTGAACAGATGGGTAAGTGCACGTGTGAACAGGTGGGTGAGTGCACGTGTGAACAGGTGGGTGAGTGGACCGGGAGGATAAATGGATGGATCGTTGGTGGATTGGGGGGAGGGGGATTCGACAGATGTCAAAACTATGAGAATGACTTAATTTTCGTGCTTACAACGCGCAGGTCATACAATTAAGCTCATGCTATGCCCAAGGTGCACCTCTCCACCTGTGCACCCCCTTCTGACCCCAACCAGATGCAACCCACCCTTGGTTGCTGAAAGCAACGCCCAGGCCATCAAGGACCCGCATCTGGACGCTTTGAGACGTCTCAAAACACTCCTTCTTTCAAGGACCCGCGTCTGGACGCTTTGAGACGTCTCAAAACACTCCTTCTTTCAAGGACCCGCGTCTGGACGCTTTGAGACGTCTCAAAACACTCGTTATTTCAAGGACCCGCGTCTGGACGCTTTGAGACGTCTCAAAACACTCCTTCTTTCAAGGACCCGCGTCTGGACGCTTTGAGACGTCTCAAAACACTCCTTCTTTCAAGGACCCGCGTCTGGACGCTTTGAGACGTCTCAAAACACTCCTTCTTTCAAGGACCCGCGTCTGGACGCTTTGAGACGTCTCAAAACACTCCTTCTTTCAAGGACCCGCGTCTGGACGCTTTGAGACGTCTCAAAACACTCCTTCTTTCAAGGACCCGCGTCTGGACGCTTTGAGACGTCTCAAAACACTCCTTCTTTCAAGGACCCGCGTCTGGACGCTTTGAGACGTCTCAAAACACTCCTTCTTTCAAGGACCCGCGTCTGGACGCTTTGAGACGTCTCAAAACACTCCTTCTTTCAAGGACCCGCGTCTGGACGCTTTGAGACGTCTCAAAACACTCCTTCTTTCAAGGACCCGCGTCTGGACGCTTTGAGACGTCTCAAAACACTCGTTATTTCAAGGACCCGCGTCTGGACGCTTTGAGACGTCTCAAAACACTCCTTCTTTCAAGGACCCGCGTCTGGACGCTTTGAGACGTCTCAAAACACTCCTTCTTTCAAGGACCCGCGTCTGGACGCTTTGAGACGTCTCAAAACACTCCTTCTTTCAAGGACCCGCGTCTGGACGCTTTGAGACGTCTCAAAACACTCCTTCTTTCAAGGACCCGCGTCTGGACGCTTTGAGACGTCTCAAAACACTCCTTCTTTCAAGGACCCGCGTCTGGACGCTTTGAGACGTCTCAAAACACTCCTTCTTTCAAGGACCCGCGTCTGGACGCTTTGAGACGTCTCAAAACACTCCTTCTTTCAAGGACCCGCGTCTGGACGCTTTGAGACGTCTCAAAACACTCCTTCTTTCAAGGACCCGCGTCTGGACGCTTTGAGACGTCTCAAAACACTCCTTCTTTCAAGGACCCGCGTCTGGACGCTTTGAGACGTCTCAAAACACTCCTTCTTTCAAGGACCCGCGTCTGGACGCTTTGAGACGTCTCAAAACACTCGTTATTTCAAGGACCCGCGTCTGGACGCTTTGAGACGTCTCAAAACACTCCTTCTTTCAAGGACCCGCGTCTGGACGCTTTGAGACGTCTCAAAACACTCCTTCTTTCAAGGACCCGCGTCTGGACGCTTTGAGACGTCTCAAAACACTCCTTCTTTCAAGGACCCGCGTCTGGACGCTTTGAGACGTCTCAAAACACTCCTTCTTTCAAGGACCCGCGTCTGGACGCTTTGAGACGTCTCAAAACACTCCTTCTTTCAAGGACCCGCGTCTGGACGCTTTGAGACGTCTCAAAACACTCCTTCTTTCAAGGACCCGCGTCTGGACGCTTTGAGACGTCTCAAAACACTCCTTCTTTCAAGGACCCGCGTCTGGACGCTTTGAGACGTCTCAAAACACTCCTTCTTTCAAGGACCCGCGTCTGGACGCTTTGAGACGTCTCAAAACACTCCTTCTTTCAAGGACTCGCGTCTGGACGCTTTGAGACGTCTCAAAACACTCCTTCTTTCAAGGACCCGCGTCTGGACGCTTTGAGACGTCTCAAAACACTCCTTCTTTCAAGGACCCGCGTCTGGACGCTTTGAGACGTCTCAAAACACTCCTTCTTTCAAGGACCCGCGTCTGGACGCTTTGAGACGTCTCAAAACACTCCTTCTTTCAAGGACCCGCGTCTGGACGCTTTGAGACGTCTCAAAACACTCCTTCTTTCAAGGACCCGCGTCTGGACGCTTTGAGACGTCTCAAAACACTCCTTCTTTCAAGGACCCGCGTCTGGACGCTTTGAGACGTCTCAAAACACTCGTTATTTCAAGGACCCGCGTCTGGACGCTTTGAGACGTCTCAAAACACTCCTTCTTTCAAGGACCCGCGTCTGGACGCTTTGAGACGTCTCAAAACACTCCTTCTTTCAAGGACCCGCGTCTGGACGCTTTGAGACGTCTCAAAACACTCCTTCTTTCAAGGACCCGCGTCTGGACGCTTTGAGACGTCTCAAAACACTCCTTCTTTCAAGGACCCGCGTCTGGACGCTTTGAGACGTCTCAAAACACTCGTTATTTCAAGGACCCGCGTCTGGACGCTTTGAGACGTCTCAAAACACTCCTTCTTTCAAGGACCCGCGTCTGGACGCTTTGAGACGTCTCAAAACACTCCTTCTTTCAAGGACCCGCGTCTGGACGCTTTGAGACGTCTCAAAACACTCCTTCTTTCAAGGACCCGCGTCTGGACGCTTTGAGACGTCTCAAAACACTCCTTCTTTCAAGGACCCGCGTCTGGACGCTTTGAGACGTCTCAAAACACTCCTTCTTTCAAGGACCCGCGTCTGGACGCTTTGAGACGTCTCAAAACACTCCTTCTTTCAAGGACCCGCGTCTGGACGCTTTGAGACGTCTCAAAACACTCCTTCTTTCAAGGACCCGCGTCTGGACGCTTTGAGACGTCTCAAAACACTCGTTATTTCAAGGACCCGCGTCTGGACGCTTTGAGACGTCTCAAAACACTCCTTCTTTCAAGGACCCGCGTCTGGACGCTTTGAGACGTCTCAAAACACTCCTTCTTTCAAGGACCCGCGTCTGGACGCTTTGAGACGTCTCAAAACACTCCTTCTTTCAAGGACCCGCGTCTGGACGCTTTGAGACGTCTCAAAACACTCCTTCTTTCAAGGACCCGCGTCTGGACGCTTTGAGACGTCTCAAAACACTCCTTCTTTCAAGGACCCGCGTCTGGACGCTTTGAGACGTCTCAAAACACTCCTTCTTTCAAGGACCCGCGTCTGGACGCTTTGAGACGTCTCAAAACACTCCTTCTTTCAAGGACCCGCGTCTGGACGCTTTGAGACGTCTCAAAACACTCCTTCTTTCAAGGACCCGCGTCTGGACGCTTTGAGACGTCTCAAAACACTCCTTCTTTCAAGGACCCGCGTCTGGACGCTTTGAGACGTCTCAAAACACTCCTTCTTTCAAGGACCCGCGTCTGGACGCTTTGAGACGTCTCAAAACACTCCTTCTTTCAAGGACCCGCGTCTGGACGCTTTGAGACGTCTCAAAACACTCGTTATTTCAAGGACCCGCGTCTGGACGCTTTGAGACGTCTCAAAACACTCCTTCTTTCAAGGACCCGCGTCTGGACGCTTTGAGACGTCTCAAAACACTCCTTCTTTCAAGGACCCGCGTCTGGACGCTTTGAGACGTCTCAAAACACTCCTTCTTTCAAGGACCCGCGTCTGGACGCTTTGAGACGTCTCAAAACACTCCTTCTTTCAAGGACCCGCGTCTGGACGCTTTGAGACGTCTCAAAACACTCGTTATTTCAAGGACCCGCGTCTGGACGCTTTGAGACGTCTCAAAACACTCCTTCTTTCAAGGACCCGCGTCTGGACGCTTTGAGACGTCTCAAAACACTCCTTCTTTCAAGGACCCGCGTCTGGACGCTTTGAGACGTCTCAAAACACTCCTTCTTTCAAGGACCCGCGTCTGGACGCTTTGAGACGTCTCAAAACACTCCTTCTTTCAAGGACCCGCGTCTGGACGCTTTGAGACGTCTCAAAACACTCCTTCTTTCAAGGACCCGCGTCTGGACGCTTTGAGACGTCTCAAAACACTCCTTCTTTCAAGGACCCGCGTCGGGACGCTTTGAGACGTCTCAAAACACTCCTTCTTTCAAGGACCCGCGTCTGGACGCTTTGAGACGTCTCAAAACACTCCTTCTTTCAAGGACCCGCGTCTGGACGCTTTGAGACGTCTCAAAACACTCGTTATTTCAAGGACCCGCGTCTGGACGCTTTGAGACGTCTCAAAACACTCCTTCTTTCAAGGACCCGCGTCTGGACGCTTTGAGACGTCTCAAAACACTCCTTCTTTCAAGGACCCGCGTCTGGACGCTTTGAGACGTCTCAAAACACTCCTTCTTTCAAGGACCCGCGTCTGGACGCTTTGAGACGTCTCAAAACACTCCTTCTTTCAAGGACTCGCGTCTGGACGCTTTGAGACGTCTCAAAACACTCCTTCTTTCAAGGACCCGCGTCAGGACGCTTTGAGACGTCTCAAAACACTCCTTCTTTCAAGGACTCGCGTCTGGACGCTTTGAGACGTCTCAAAACACTCCTTCTTTCAAGGACCCGCGTCTGGACGCTTTGAGACGTCTCAAAACACTCCTTCTTTCAAGGACCCGCGTCTGGACGCTTTGAGACGTCTCAAAACACTCCTTCTTTCAAGGACCCGCGTCTGGACGCTTTGAGACGTCTCAAAACACTCCTTCTTTCAAGGACCCGCGTCTGGACGCTTTGAGACGTCTCAAAACACTCCTTCTTTCAAGGACCCGCGTCTGGACGCTTTGAGACGTCTCAAAACACTCCTTCTTTCAAGGACCCGCGTCTGGACGCTTTGAGACGTCTCAAAACACTCCTTCTTTCAAGGACCCGCGTCTGGACGCTTTGAGACGTCTCAAAACACTCGTTATTTCAAGGACCCGCGTCTGGACGCTTTGAGACGTCTCAAAACACTCCTTCTTTCAAGGACCCGCGTCTGGACGCTTTGAGACGTCTCAAAACACTCCTTCTTTCAAGGACCCGCGTCTGGACGCTTTGAGACGTCTCAAAACACTCCTTCTTTCAAGGACCCGCGTCTGGACGCTTTGAGACGTCTCAAAACACTCCTTCTTTCAAGGACCCGCGTCTGGACGCTTTGAGACGTCTCAAAACACTCCTTTTTTCAAGGACCCGCGTCTGGACGCTTTGAGACGTCTCAAAACACTCCTTCTTTCAAGGACCCGCGTCTGGACGCTTTGAGACGTCTCAAAACACTCCTTCTTTCAAGGACCCGCGTCTGGACGCTTTGAGACGTCTCAAAACACTCCTTCTTTCAAGGACCCGCGTCTGGACGCTTTGAGACGTCTCAAAACACTCCTTCTTTCAAGGACTCGCGTCTGGACGCTTTGAGACGTCTCAAAACACTCCTTCTTTCAAGGACCCGCGTCAGGACGCTTTGAGACGTCTCAAAACACTCCTTCTTTCAAGGACTCGCGTCTGGACGCTTTGAGACGTCTCAAAACACTCCTTCTTTCAAGGACCCGCGTCTGGACGCTTTGAGACGTCTCAAAACACTCCTTCTTTCAAGGACCCGCGTCTGGACGCTTTGAGACGTCTCAAAACACTCCTTCTTTCAAGGACCCGCGTCTGGACGCTTTGAGACGTCTCAAAACACTCCTTTTTTCAAGGACCCGCGTCTGGACGCTTTGAGACGTCTCAAAACACTCCTTCTTTCAAGGACCCGCGTCTGGACGCTTTGAGACGTCTCAAAACACTCCTTCTTTCAAGGACCCGCGTCTGGACGCTTTGAGACGTCTCAAAACACTCCTTCTTTCAAGGGCCCGCGTCTGGACGCTTTGAGACGTCTCAAAACACTCCTTCTTTCAAGGACCCGCGTCTGGACGCTTTGAGACGTCTCAAAACACTCCTTCTTTCAAGGACTCGCGTCTGGACGCTTTGAGACGTCTCAAAACACTCCTTCTTTCAAGGACCCGCGTCTGGACGCTTTGAGACGTCTCAAAACACTCCTTCTTTCAAGGACCCGCGTCTGGACGCTTTGAGACGTCTCAAAACACTCCTTCTTTCAAGGACCCGCGTCTGGACGCTTTGAGACGTCTCAAAACACTCCTTCTTTCAAGGACCCGCGTCTGGACGCTTTGAGACGTCTCAAAACACTCCTTCTTTCAAGGACCCGCGTCTGGACGCTTTGAGACGTCTCAAAACACTCCTTCTTTCAAGGACCCGCGTCTGGACGCTTTGAGACGTCTCAAAACACTCCTTCTTTCAAGGACCCGCGTCTGGACGCTTTGAGACGTCTCAAAACACTCGTTATTTCAAGGACCCGCGTCTGGACGCTTTGAGACGTCTCAAAACACTCGTTATTTCAAGGACCCGCGTCTGGACGCTTTGAGACGTCTCAAAACACTCCTTCTTTCAAGGACCCGCGTCTGGACGCTTTGAGACGTCTCAAAACACTCCTTCTTTCAAGGACCCGCGTCTGGACGCTTTGAGACGTCTCAAAACACTCCTTCTTTCAAGGACCCGCGTCTGGACGCTTTGAGACGTCTCAAAACACTCCTTCTTTCAAGGACTCGCGTCTGGACGCTTTGAGACGTCTCAAAACACTCCTTCTTTCAAGGACCCGCGTCAGGACGCTTTGAGACGTCTCAAAACACTCCTTCTTTCAAGGACTCGCGTCTGGACGCTTTGAGACGTCTCAAAACACTCCTTCTTTCAAGGACCCGCGTCTGGACGCTTTGAGACGTCTCAAAACACTCCTTCTTTCAAGGACCCGCGTCTGGACGCTTTGAGACGTCTCAAAACACTCCTTCTTTCAAGGACCCGCGTCTGGACGCTTTGAGACGTCTCAAAACACTCCTTCTTTCAAGGACCCGCGTCTGGACGCTTTGAGACGTCTCAAAACACTCCTTCTTTCAAGGACCCGCGTCTGGACGCTTTGAGACGTCTCAAAACACTCCTTCTTTCAAGGACCCGCGTCTGGACGCTTTGAGACGTCTCAAAACACTCCTTCTTTCAAGGACCCGCGTCTGGACGCTTTGAGACGTCTCAAAACACTCGTTATTTCAAGGACCCGCGTCTGGACGCTTTGAGACGTCTCAAAACACTCCTTCTTTCAAGGACCCGCGTCTGGACGCTTTGAGACGTCTCAAAACACTCGTTATTTCAAGGACCCGCGTCTGGACGCTTTGAGACGTCTCAAAACACTCCTTCTTTCAAGGACCCGCGTCTGGACGCTTTGAGACGTCTCAAAACACTCCTTCTTTCAAGGACCCGCGTCTGGACGCTTTGAGACGTCTCAAAACACTCCTTTTTTCAAGGACCCGCGTCTGGACGCTTTGAGACGTCTCAAAACACTCCTTCTTTCAAGGACCCGCGTCTGGACGCTTTGAGACGTCTCAAAACACTCCTTCTTTCAAGGACCCGCGTCTGGACGCTTTGAGACGTCTCAAAACACTCCTTCTTTCAAGGACCCGCGTCTGGACGCTTTGAGACGTCTCAAAACACTCCTTCTTTCAAGGACCCGCGTCTGGACGCTTTGACACGTCTCAAAACACTCCTTCTTTCAAGGACCCGCGTCTGGACGCTTTGAGACGTCTCAAAACACTCCTTCTTTCAAGGACCCGCGTCTGGACGCTTTGAGACGTCTCAAAACACTCCTTCTTTCAAGGACCCGCGTCTGGACGCTTTGAGACGTCTCAAAACACTCCTTCTTTCAAGGACCCGCGTCTGGACGCTTTGAGACGTCTCAAAACACTCCTTCTTTCAAGGACCCGCGTCTGGACGCTTTGAGACGTCTCAAAACACTCCTTCTTTCAAGGACCCGCGTCTGGACGCTTTGAGACGTCTCAAAACACTCGTTATTTCAAGGACCCGCGTCTGGACACTTTGAGACGTCTCAAAACACTCCTTCTTTCAAGGACCCGCGTCTGGACGCTTTGAGACGTCTCAAAACACTCCTTCTTTCAAGGACCCGCGTCTGGACGCTTTGAGACGTCTCAAAACACTCCTTCTTTCAAGGACCCGCGTCTGGACGCTTTGAGACGTCTCAAAACACTCCTTCTTTCAAGGACCCGCGTCTGGACGCTTTGAGACGTCTCAAAACACTCCTTCTTTCAAGGACCCGCGTCTGGACGCTTTGAGACGTCTCAAAACACTCCTTCTTTCAAGGACCCGCGTCTGGACGCTTTGAGACGTCTCAAAACACTCCTTCTTTCAAGGACCCGCGTCTGGACGCTTTGAGACGTCTCAAAACACTCCTTCTTTCAAGGACCCGCGTCTGGACGCTTTGAGACGTCTCAAAACACTCCTTCTTTCAAGGACCCGCGTCTGGACGCTTTGAGACGTCTCAAAACACTCCTTCTTTCAAGGACCCGCGTCTGGACGCTTTGAGACGTCTCAAAACACTCCTTCTTTCAAGGACCCGCGTCTGGACGCTTTGAGACGTCTCAAAACACTCCTTCTTTCAAGGACCCGCGTCTGGACGCTTTGAGAAGTCTCAAAACACTCCTTCTTTCAAGGACCCGCATCTAGACGCCCCCAGCGATGTCATTTTCTCATGCCCATGCCGTGCCAATTGTTCTTGTATTTTCTCTCCACCTGTACACTCCTTCCCTTCCCCCCCCACCAGGTGCAACCCCTGGTTGCCGAGAACAACGCCCAGGCAATCAAGGACCCGCGTCTGGACGCTCCAAACGACCTCATCCTCAAGCTCACACGCTTCGCCCTCTCCTGCACCGCCACGCCCGTGGCCACCCGCCCCTCCATGGCGCGCATTCTCTCCGACCTCATCGCCATGAAGGAGGAGTTCCTAGGCCCGGACCCCGACCCCCTGGTGGTACGGATTGACAGCGATTTGGAGAACCGCCGCGGGCCGAGCTTTTCAAGGGAGATTCGGAGGGCGGAGGAGGTGGCTTCATGGGGTGGAGGGGCTTCGGAGTCGAGCGGTGCTATGGTGTCGAGTGGGGTGGTGGAGAGTGGGGCTATGGGATCATCAACCAGCTTTGATGTCTGAGGTTTGTTCTAATGTGTCGTGGTGGGTTCGATGTTGAGTGGCATTCACTTTGTTCAAGGATGTGTTGTATGGATTACCGTACTATGGGGATTCTTGCCTGTGAGATTGCCATAACTCGTCGGCAAAATCGCAAAGTTCATTATTCAGCACTATGTTAATTGAGCTTGCTGCAGGAGGGAGTGAATGATCTGAGGTGGTACAGTTTTAGCACCCTTTCAATACTATTTTTCATAACAGAGAAACAATAGCCAGCGGGATGGGCAGAAGGGTTAGCGAAGTGTGAGGGAGTTAAGGGAGTAGGATGGAGGGTTCTGTATTAGCACTTCGACAGACCAATAAAGAGTTAGCACTCCTAACAGCACATCCTATCACACAAGGACACACAAACAGACAGACCTTCCAATCCAAGCATCTCCAGACACAACTCGGAAAAGGCACACAGGTGGGTGGAGGCTCAACTCGGAACAGGATCCCAGGTGGTTGGCGGATCCTGAAAACCCGCAATGCAAGCTGTGAGGCGTCTCGAAACACGACTACACCAACGCATATGGATCGTCCTCAGGGTCGGCGGCAGGCGGAGCAGCAGCACCAATGGGCTCTTCCTCAGCCCTTGGAGGCAGGGCCCTAGATATCAGACTTTAAAGTCTGATTCAGAGTCCGTTCAGACTTCTTTTTTTTACCTAGTCTGAAGTCTAGGATTTTTTTTATGTACCTTGTCTGATTTTTCAGAGGTTTTTTTATTGAGTTGTCTGAAATTTCAGCCTAATTTTTTAAGCGTAGGCTGTGCCTCAGACTTGTATCGGGGGTACACTCTGCGCGCTTATCGAAGAGAAGTTTCTTGGAAGTTTCCTTTCAATATGCTCATGGAGTGCCAGGACGTGAGCAACGCACACTTCAACAGCTGGGACATCCGAATACACTCGTTCGTCGAGAATATCTTCCAGTTACGCTGAGGAAATGGTTGCGTGATTACAGGATTTTTAAGACAAATCTCGTCACATGTAAGTTATTGCTAATGTATTGTAAAGAATAGGAGACTTTGATGCTCACACGCCACGCCAAGCAACAGTTTCTGCCTGCTGACAGCTCAGCTGCGTGGCACTTGGCCCACCTGATACAGATCGGGTGAACGATGACATCGCTAGAAAGGCAAATCCAAAATTGACAAAATTGGCACACAGGCGAGAAAATGGGTACAGAACGGTAATCACACACACGACAAAACGAAATGAGATTAGCAGAAACAACCATGCGCTGCACGTGACAAAAACACCAGAACGCCGCTGACCTGAACAGTGGCGATGCACGAGCACGTTGCCTGATGTGTTGGCAGGCTGTAATCAGCTTCAATGCTATTATAGCTATGCTGTTATGAAACAATTGAAGTAACTCTGATAGTTCAGACAAAAAAAATTATGCTGGTCTGAATTTTCAGACTAAAAAAAATAGGTAACTCTGACAGCCAGACTAGGAAGAGGGGTGTACTCTGAGGCGTCAGACTACCTCAAAACGAATCTAGGGGCCTGCTTGGAGGGTTATCCAAGGCGTAGGGATCGTCCGCAACAGCCGGATCATGAGAAATTACAGCAGGTGGTGGCAGCGGTGCTGCTTCTGCTGCATCATCAGCAGATACAGCAGCAGCCGTATCAGCATTTGCTGTAGCAAAGGGCTCCACAGAGCCAGCTTTGAGCTCTTGCTGATCCACACCCCCCTTGAGGTCAGCTGCAGCATCCGGAGCAGCACCATTAGCACCAGCGACATCAGCAGCAGTAGACACAGCAGCAGCCGTATCAGCACCTGTTGCATCATCAGCAGCAGCCACACCATCCGTATCAGCACCTGCTTCAGGAAAAACTGCGTGCTCTTGCTGACCCGCAACGTCCTTGGGATCAGCTGCAGCATCAGGAGTAGCATCGGGAGCAGCATCGGGAGCAGCTTCGGGGGCAGCATCGGGAGCAGCATCGGGGGTAGTCTCGGGAGCAGCGTTGGGGGCAGCATCAGGAGCACCATTGGAAGCAGCATCGGGAGAAGCACCGGGAGCAGCATCGGGAGCAACTTCGGGAGCAGCATCGGGAGCAGCATCGGGAGCAGCATCGGGGGCAACATCGGGGGCAGCATCAGGAGAATCACCAGCAGCAACAGGAGGAAGATAATCAGCAGCAGGAGCAGGAGCAGGAGCAGGAGCAGGAGCAGGAGCAGGAGCAGGAGCAGGAGCAGGAGCAGGAGCAGGAGCAGGAGCAGGAGCAGGAGCAGGAGCAGGAGCAGGAGCAGGAGCAGGAGCAGGAGCAGCAGCGGCAGAATCAGCAGGAGCGGGAGCAGCAGCAGCAGGCAGCACTCGGGTTTGCCCCAAAGCAGGATGGAAGGCAGAGGCCTCCGAGGACGAGTGCAGTGGTGCAGCAGCAGTGAGGCCCACACCCAGGGGAAGCGATGCAGAGAAGAGAGGAGCAGCGCCCGGCAGGGAGTGTGGTTGTGGGAGAGCGTGTGTGGCAGCAGGGGCGATGACACACACGTCACCTGTCGCAGCAGGTGCAGCATCAGCAGTAGCAGCAGCTTCATGTGCAGCGGTAGCACCAGCAGAAGCAGCACCAGAAGCATCAGGTGAAGAGGCAGCAGCAGCACCAGCAGAAGCAGCACTGGCAGCATCAGGTGGAGCAGCAACAGCAGCATCAGGTGAAGGGCCACCAGTATCCGGAGCAGTTTCACTACTCACCACAACACCCTCCATGGGCTCAGCTGTAACAGCACCAGCAGGATCAGCTGTAGCCACACCTGTAGCATTAGCTGTAGCAGCATCTGCAGCTGCACCGCCCACGTCCATCATGTCTGTATCTCTAGAATCTAAAACCAAAGCATCCGCCACAGGCGTAACATCTGTAACTACATGCTGAATATCAACTGGAGTGTCTGTGGCATGTGCAGTGTCAGCCTCAGCAGCAGGAGCAGCAATAGCATCAACAGGGGCAGCAACAGCAGGAGCATCAACGGGAGCAGCAGGAGCAGTGACAGCTTCAGTAGCAGCATTGGCAGGAGCTGCTGCAGATTCATCAACAGCAACGTCAGTAGGTGCTGCAGATGCATCAGCAGCATCAGCAACAGCAACAGCAACAGTCATACTTTCGGGATGTGCAGAAGCATCAGGAGCAGCAGCAGCATCATCTGTTGGAACCGCAGTAGCATCAGCAACAGCAGCATCCATGGGAGCTGCCGCCGCGGCTTCAGTGACAGTAGCAGCAGCAGCCGCACCATCAGCAGTACCATCAGAAGCAGCAGTGGCACCAGCAGCAGAAGCATCAGCAGCAGAAGCATCAGGAGCAGAGGCAGCATCAGGAGCAGAGGCAGCATCAGGAGCAGAGGCAGCATCAGGAGCAGAGGCAGCATCAGGAGCAGAGGCAGCATCAGGAGCAGAGGCAGCATCAGGAGCAGAGGCAGCATCAGGAGCAGGGGCAGCATCAGGAGCAGGGGCAGCATCAGGAGCAGAGGCAGCATCTAAGCTGTCAGCCATAGCAGATGTGTCTGTATCCATCGCACCATCAGCAGCACCGTCAACAACAGCAGCTGCTGCTGCTGCGTCGGCACCATCAGCAGTGCCAACAGCAGCGGCACCTTCAGTCGCACCGGCAGTACCAACAGCCGGAGCAGACTCAGGCGCTGGTGCTGGTACTGCCTCGGGGCCAGCATCAGCGGCAGGGGTAAGGGCAGAGGCAGCATCAGCGTCAGCAGCAGGGGGAGGGGCAGGGGCAGAGGCAGTGTCAGCAGCAGTGGTAGGGGCAGGGGCAGAGGAAGCCTCAGGGGCAGGGGCAGCATCAGCAGCAGGGGTAGGGGCAGCGTCAGGGGCAGGGGCAGGAGGGGAAGGAGGCGCAGGTGGGGGAGGAGGGGCGGGAGGAGCAAAGGGAGACTCAACAGCTTTCACCGCTGCAGCAGCCCAGCTAGGAATCAACCCAGCCGACGCAGCCAACCCCATCATTCTACTCCCCCCAATGCTCCCCGCAATCCCCCCCACACCAGCGCTGCTGCTCCCCCCGCGCCTGCCTGCCCCCCTCCCTCCCCGCCCTCTCCCCCTACCGCCTCCCCTTCCTCTCCTTCCCCGGGTGCCATATCCTGGACCATACCCTGGGCCAGAGTTGAGACCGTACAGTGACGGTCCGTATCCCTGATGGTAACCGCTGTGGTTGTAGCCCTCTTGCCATCTGTGACCTTCAGGACCTCCTGCAGCAATTGCACCCACCCCTGGAGTTACATGGTGTAGTCCTGGGGTTGCTCCTGATGCTGCATACATTGCTGCTGAGGCTCGTGCAGGAGCCGAAGCTGGTGGTACGGCCGAAGCTGGGTTTACTGGTGTTACAGGTGTTACAGGTGTTACAGGTGTTACAGGTGTTGCAGGTGTTACAGGCGTTACAGTGGTTCCTGCTGAGGGTGGCGGAAGAGAAGAAGGTGCATGGCCTTCTGCTTGAGTATCAGGAGCAGCAGGCGTCTCTCCTGGAACTGAGTGGGTTGCAGCTGGTGCTGCTGCTGTTGCACTGCCTGGGACGGGCGTTTGCTCTGCCGATTTCTGTGACGCATCTGCTGCTGCTGCTGCTGTTTCAGCAGCCTTGGCAGGCTGAGATTGACCATCATCACCAGCAACTGGAGTGTCAGCTGCAGAAGCAGCAGCAGCACCAGCAGCAGCAGCACCACTACCAGCAGCAGGAGCCGCGTCATTATCAGCAGCAGGGTCCCCTGCAGTGGCAGGTGCTTCCTTGTCCCCAGCCTTCACCAGGTGAACCTCTCCCTCCACACCTTTCTCTCCGCTCTCTGCTTGCTTCTCGCCTTCCTCCCGCGCACCTGCCACCGTCCCATCCCCCTCACCAACTTCCATTTCCCCGCTACCACCAGCAGCATTTGCAGCATTTGCAGCAGCAGCAGCAGCAGCAGCAGAGCCAGCAGGGACAACAGCAGCATCAGCAGCAACTGCACCCTCCTCCCCTGAAGGGGCAACAGCAGAGGAAGCAGCGTCAGCATCGACCACAGGAGCTGCACCAGTTTCGCCAGCAGCGGTAGGCGCTGCACCTGTCTCCTCAGCAGCAGCAACACCCTCTTGTTTCTCGCCTCCTTCTGCCCCTGCCTGTTCCGGGCCCTTCACACTATCATTAGCAGCGAAGTTTGCATCAGCAGCAGCACCGGCAGCAGAACCAACAGTGGCAGCAGCACCAAGAGCAGGAGGCGCAGCAGCGGTAGTGGTGTCAGCAGCTGCTGGGTCAGCCACAGGAGCAGCTGTGACATCCTGTCTAGCAGTGAGTGCCTCTCCCTCTCTGAGATTCACATCACCCTCTGCTACTTCCATCCCAACCATCCCCTCCTCTGCTTTCACCTCTCCACCACTCCACACTCCCCCTTCCACTCCCCCCTGCCCCCCTCCTCCTTCTCCCTTCCCTGCCATCTCTGTTACCATCAAATCCCAGAAGTGCGACCTCGACCTATTATGCAATGCCACGTCACCAGGCCCGACCCCAAACCTCTTCCTCTTCCTCATCCCCCCAGCACCCCCGCCCGAAGCATACTCCCAAGCCGCGGCTGCAGCTTCGGCCGCAGCTGCAGCTTCGGGCGTGCGGATAATCCCAAGCCTAGCAGCAGGAACACCCACCGCAAATGGCACCTGCCCAGGTGTACCTCCCGAGCCTGTCTCCCCTCCTCCATACCCACCTCCCCCATACCCACCTCCCCCATACCCACCTCCCCCGTATCCCCCTCCCCCATACCCCCACCCGTACATCGCCTCCATTCTCGCCTGCTCAGCTGCCTGCCCATCCACGATACTCAACAACTCCTGTAACTCCCGATCCTCTCGCTCCTCCCTCCCCTCCTCGTCCCCATTCTCCCCCGCCTCCCCCTCCTCCCCGCCCCCATCACCCCCCATAGCACTCCCCCCAGAAGCCACCACCCCTAGAACCCCGCTCTTCAGATGCTTGCTGCCGAAGCCCCAGCGCTGCAAGAAGCGGCAGACCCACCCCTTGGAGTAGCGGAAGCCTGGTGCCACTCCTAGCAGAGGGCCTATGCGCTTGGCGTGGTCGAGAATCGACTGCACTGTTACCGTCCTTGCCACTGCTGGCGCTGCCGCTGCCGCTGCCACTGCTGCTGCTCCTGCTCCTTCTGCCCCCCCTTCTGCTCCTCCTCCTTCTCCACCTCCTCCCCCTTCACCACCTGCTGCTGCTGAAGTACCAGCAGCACCCTCCTCCCCGCCTTCTCCCCCCGCCCCCTCCGCTCCCTCACTCCCCTTCACACCCTCCCCTCCCTCACCACCGGCCTCGCCGCCCTCACTCCCTTTCACCCCCTCACCCGCCTCACCAGCAGCTCGGGCCAGCGCCCGTCTAACAGCCGCCGCCAGCACCTCTTCTAACTTGGAGTTCATACATGACCTTACCCGGCACGACGCCGCTGCCCCCGCCTGCTGCCACCGCTCGTCATACTTCAGAATCCTCGGCACAGCCGACGGGGGGAGGTCCACTCCGTATTTCACTCTCACTGCGTCGATGATCTCCCGGCTTGTGAGCTCAGGCCGCGCTCGTTTTAAGGCACAAACCGCCCGCTTCACCTTCACTTGCACCATCCGCCTCCTCCTGGTCCCATCCGCATCCACATCAAGTGCATCTCCTGCCCCCTCACCGCTCCCCATCCCTCCGAACACCCCCGCACCGTACCGCCGCTTCCTCTCCCCCCCGCCTTCCCCAATGTCTGTCTCGTCCCCGGTATCCTCCCCTTCAGAAGACCCGCCCTCTCCTCCTGCGCCTCCGCCCTCTCCTGCTGCTCCGCCCTCGCCCCCCTCAGCCCCTTCGCCCCACATGAGCGCAGCCCTGGCTGCCTTGCCGCCTGCCTTTTCAACCTCCGCAAGCTGCTCCTCCACCAGACGAAGGAAATTATCCTCGTCGCTGTCGGTCCCGGTAATGACAAAATCGTGAGAGGATACGATAAGGTCGCTGCCAGTGTCGTTCCCTGCCCCAGCAGCCCCAGAACCAGCACCAGCTGTAGCTCCTGCTGCCCCAGTCCCAGCCCCAGCAGCGGCCCCAGCAGCGGCCCCAGCAGCAGCATCAGCACCAGCAGAACCTGCTTCAGCCTCCCCTTCAGCATCAGCATCAGGTGGCATTAACGCCAGCGGACCTCCAGCTCCAGCACCCCCAGCATCCCCAGCAGCCGCCGCCCCGTCACCACCTCCTTCCCTCCTCGCCGCCTCCCTCTCCTCCTTCGTCTGCAGCCCCCACCGCCACAAAAACCGCGACAGCCACCCCCGGCTATACTTAAACCCCGGCTGAACCCCCAACCCGGGACCGATCCTCTTCGCATGGTCAATCATGTCGTCCCTGGTAACCATCGCCTCGCCATGCTTCGCCCGCATCTCCTTCACCCACTCCGCTAGGGTTTCCTCTAGTGCCGCGTTCTCAGGGTCCCGCACGCGCTTGACGGCGTTCGCGTTGGTCTGGGCGCGCATCCAACGGTCACTATCTTGCAGGATCCGCGAGACCTGGTGCGTGCCTAGGGAGATGCCCGTGCTCGCGCGCACGGCGTCTATAATCGCGGACGCGCGCAGGCGCGGCTTGGCGCGCTTCAGCACGCAGATGGCGCGCTTGAGCTTCACTGTGATGTTGCGCCGCCGCTGGGGGGGCGGCGGCGGGGGATGGGGCGCGTGGGGAGGCGCGGAAGAGAGCTGGGCGAGGGCAGAGGACGTGTATGGGCCTTGAGAGGCAGAGAAAGTCGCTCCGGAAGGCACAAGCATGTGTGAGCCAGGCGCGTACACACCACCACCACCACCACCACCACCACCACCACCAGAGGCACCAGCAGCAGCACCAGCAGCAGCGCCAGAAGCACCAGCAGGAGCCGGCGCCCGGGCTACAGATCCGTCCAGCCCCAGAAGCACTTCCTCCGCTACAGCCTGCAGCTGCCCCTCCCCAACGGACTCTCCCCCACCCCCCATTCCCCCCCCACCAGCCCCCCCAACCCCAGGAGTATACTGCCCACCAGGCCCCCCAATCCCCCCAGCACTGGGAGCATACTGCGCGCCCCTAGAGCCTGCCACAGCCGCCACAACGCTACTCCCCACTGCAGGAATGCTGGCTGCAGCGGCCAAGATATCCTCATCTGCCAGCTCAGCAAGCAGATCCGACGGCTCAGATGCGCGGCGGGCGGCTTCCTCCAGATCTAGCTGTTCGTCTGCGAGCTCCAGCAGGCTCCTGCTGTCGATGATGTGTGCGGCGCTGTCGGTGCCTCCCCCTCCGCCGTGCGAGGGGCCCGAGGAGGGGTCTAGGGGGTTGAAGTTGGCCTCCCTTGCTGCTTCCACTGCCTTGCGTGTGAGACCCCAGCGCCTGAGGAAGCGAGAGATCCACCCGCGGCTGTACCTGTTGGTTGCATGAAGGCACAGGGACGAGAAGGGGAAGAAACGGAACAGAAAGGAACGGATTAAACTACATGATCGCTCCAGGAGGCTCCTGCTGTATGTGATGTGTGGGGCGCTTTCAGTGGTCTCCAAGCTCCCCTCCCCTCCCCCGCCACCGCCGTGCGAGGGGCCCGAGGAGGGGTCTAGGGGGTTGAAGTTGGCCTCCCTTGCTGCTTCCACCGCCTTGCGTGTGAGACCCCAGCGCCTGAGGAAGCGAGAGATCCACCCGCAGCTGTACCTGTTGGTTGCAGCCAAAGGAACGAGAAGGGGAAGAAACGCAACAGAATATACGAAATACCATTAGGAAAGGCGACCAGAAAGAAGGAAAACAGATCCTAAAGAAACGATTGACCTGATGATCCATCTCAAGTACATAACCCCTATCCGCCGCGAAAAGCACCACCAACAGGCGAACCTGAAGGATGCGGGAACGCCTAGCGACGGTCCAATGTCTTTCGCATGCTCAAAGATGCGATCGCACGTCTATTGAACGTCTCAGGACTCACCTAAAAGATGCGGGAACGCCCAGCGATGGGCCAATGTCCTTCGCATGCTCCAAGATTCGATCGCACGTCACACGGAAGTCTCCTCGCGCCTTCATATCGCGCACCCACACCGCCAGAGCCTCCTCCAGCCGCACGTTGTGCGGCTGCCTCACGCGCTTGAAGTTCGCGGGCGCGCGGCCCCACTTGTGCTCGTCGCGCAGGATGCGCGGGATCTGCGACTCTCGCACGGTGGAGTTACCGTATTTCGCGCGCAACACCTGGCAGATCCCCGCCGCCGTGATCTTCGGCCGCGCGTTCTTGAGCGCGCAGATCTCCTGCTTGATTATCAGCTCCACAGCCTGCCGGTTCTTGCTGCGGCCGCGGAGCATGATAGTCTCCTCTTCGCCTTCCGACTCGCCTCCGGATATGTCCCCTTGACCGCCGCCGCCGGCGGCCATGGTGTCTCCGTGGGTTGCAACCAAGGCGAGATCTTCGTTATGGCCACCGTGATGTGCGGCGTGATCCCCGCTGTGGTATCCCCCGTGATGGGCTGAAGCGGTTTGATGCTCTGGCATGGACGCGTGACCTTCGTGGTGCTGCTGCTGTTGCTGCTGAATAGACTCCTGAACTGGATGTTGATGCTGCTGCTGGTGGTGCTGTTGGATTTGCTGCTGATGCTGTTGCTGCTGCTGCTGCTGCACGGCCTCATGTTCCGCCATGGCTGCATGGTGGTGGTGCTGGTGTAGGTGGTGCTGGTGCATGTGTTGCATCGACGCGTGCTGGTCCTCTCCCGCGTAGTGCTGCATCGGAGGCCGTTCTTGTAGCGAATGGTGCTGTCGCATAGCCGCCGCAGCAGCGGCGTGCTCTTGTAACGCCGCGTGGTGCATCGCCGCGGCGTGTTCTTGCATCGAGGCGTGGTGCATCGCGGCGGCGTGTTCTTGTATCGAGGCGTGCTCCAACGCGGATGCAGCGGCGACAAGCACTCCCTGATTGGTCAAAACGCTTCCGTCAACGGTCACCATTCTCCCATCCGCTGTCATCACGACTTGACCATGCGGGATGCCCCCGGCAGCCATAACCCCCTGTGTAGTCACAATCGCGCCAGGATGACCGTGGGCCGCGCCCGCTAATCCTCCGCTCGTTAGCATCACCTCGCCGCCGGCATTTCCGAGCATGGCGGCGACGGCGTCGGCTTCAGCTGGAATCATGACCGTTGATTCGTCAAGAGATTGCTGTACCAATCCGGGATGCGCGAGGTGGTGATGGTGCTGCTGTTGCTGCTGCTGGTGGTGGAGATGATGGTGATGATGTTGATGATGCGCGCCGTACGGGTCCATTGCAGATGCTGGAGCCATGACCATTCCGCCTGGTGTTTGCTGCATCAAGGTCAACTCGTCGACGCCTTGCTGCTGCGCCATGGTCTAGATTACTATACGGACCGAAGAAACAAAGGGAGGAAAAAACTAGTAATTTCAGACAGAAGGTAATGATAACTAACGAGGAGGTCTGAAAAGTTTGCGTTGAACGTACTACAGCTGAAGGCTAAGGATGGAAATAATTTCTGAGGTCGAACCGCGAATCGGAGGATTCGATATTGGAAGTGAATATTTTGGGGATACACACCTCTAAGAACAGACTCACTAGTGACGCGCTACTAGTGTTGCACAAGAGGAGATTCAAGATGCAGGGGATGAGAAGGATCTGTGAAATGGTTCTTTCCCTTACCGCGTCAAGAGCTCAATCTGCTGCTCCGATATGGTGCTGTATCGCTCTTCTCTGCGCTAGCTGTTGAGGATAAGGTGGATGGAAGAAACGGAACGGAAAGGTGATGGGAAAACGGAAGGTGGGAAATGGAAGTTGGCAAAACGAGGATGAAGCAGAACGAGGGTTTCGTTGGGCAACGGAGGAACATGATTGGTTGGAGGATTCCAGATGCTAGGGTTTCTACCTCAAACGGGTCCCCAACCAATATCGAAGACCTGTCATCGCCAGAACCAATTTTTCTGATGCGACGAAACTTTTCCTGATGGTCAGCGACGAGGGTTACACAGGTCGGGCAGAATGACAACTGGTGGGAAACACAGGAGTCTAATAACCGTCCGATAAGAAAAGAGCGGTTCGTTTGGTGCGCAGAACCGCGAGATTCGCTGTATCCGTCTTGTGGAAATGGAATCTTTTGGTGCCCGCAACCCTCCCATCCCACCAGCCAAAAGCACCCCAACATCCTTTCACCCAACAAACTTGAGTTGAGAGGCCAAGGCTTTCGACCGCAAACGAATTCCTGTCAGTATCGAAGTTGGACTTCGCGAGAGCCAATCCCCCAGCTGGGTTTGAGCGAGGAGTTACCATTTTGAATACAGAAAGACATGCTCTCTACCGTCCGATACGCCGGACCAAGAAGTGCGGTGAACCGCAAGATTGACCCAACACGCAGCTCGCCAAACAAATGTATAGAAGTATGTAGTAATCTAGTGTATTCTGATTTTCGCCTGCTGGAGTGTAGCTCGTCAGAACACAATTGTTCATCTGTCGGAGGAGAGCTCGTCAGAGCCTGCTCATTTCCCGCGGTGCTCTTGCAACATTGACCTCGCTTTCCTCCTAACGTTCTACAAATGAAATATTTGAAAGTTGTTCCTGCCTTCAGTAGTTAGCCTTCACATCTCCCCGTTCAGCTTCTGTTCCGTATTGGCGTCGCTCTGCCAAAGTTGCTGGTGTCCATGTTGCGTTTAACTCTCCCGTCGTCGAAACTACTCATACAGCAAAAGGAATAGTTATGGCTCAGCAGAACTCTAACACCTTTCATTTCTTTGGTTCGTCAGTCCCCACTGCTCCGTCCACCCAAACCGGCGCGTTTCAGCAGCCGGCTCTTACCGCTTATCAGCAGCAGCAGACTCAAACCTCTTATCAGCAGCAACCGGCGCAAACCGCTTATCAGCAACAGCCGGCTCAAACCGCTTATCAGCAGCAGCCGGCCCAAACCACTTATCAGGTCTCGCCGTCTCTTAACGCGTATCAAGTCCAGCAGCAAGCGATTCTAAACGCCTGGTCCGCTGCTCACGCCGGAACCGCCGCCGCAGCCCAAACTGTCGGCTCGCTCCTACCTGTCACAGGATTGGTACAGCCAGCAGCCGAATTTTACGCAAGTTCTCAGGCTGCGGACGGCGGCGGCGGCGGACACGTGGCACAGAATCAGACCCTGAATCAAGCCGCCGCCACGTGGTACGATTCGGCAGGGTTAAGCGGTGGTGCTACTGCTTCGACTGCAGCAGCTGTTACTGATTACAACGCCCAGGGGGTGTTTGGTGGAAATGAATCCACACGCGCGGCTCAGTACCAGTCCAGGCAGGTGGAGCCTGTGCGACAGTCGCAAGCCGTGCGACAGCAAGCGACTACCGTGCGACAAACGACGGCTGGGCAACGGCAGCAGCGAGCGCACGCGGAACGGCAGTTGCAGGTGGAAGGACGAGTGCTGCCCGTGCGACAAGTGCAGCAGCCTGAACGACAAACGCAAGCGGCGCGACATGCGACACAGGCGGAGGAACAGTCGCAGAGGCAGGCCCTGCGGCAGGGTCAGCGACAGGAGCAGCGGCAGGAGCAGCGGCAGGAGCAGCCTGTGCGACAGACGCAGCGAGAGTGGTGGCTGGATGCGCTAGAGGGGCAAGTTGCAAGTGCGAATGTTGCCAGTGCGAATTTTGCGAGCGCGAATGTTGCGAGTCAGGAGCAATCTCATACCCAAGAGTGGAATCGCACCATTGCTGCTGTAGTTAACGCTCACACCCACGTGGAGAGTTTCGACCAGGGGAGTTTGCTGCCGGTGGGTGGTGGTAGTAACGCTGGTTACAACAGCGATACTGTAACGACAGCCGGGCTGCAGGGTTACCATGGGTACGAGGCTGCTGCTACTGCTGCCACTGCTGCTGCTGTTGCGCCGGCAGTGGTTACCACAGCAGCTGTTACAACGCCTGCGAGTCTCGCATACCAGCAAGCCCAGGGGCATGCTCAAGGGGGAGGTTACGATTCGGGGGTAGTGGCAGGGGGGGGTCACGGTCAGGGTTATGGAGCTGGGCAGGGTTATCAGCAGACGAATCAGCAGGGGCAGGTTTACGGACAAGCACAGGGTTACCACCAGACTGCAGAGTATGGTGATCAGGAGTATGGCCAGCAGCAGCAGCAGCAGCGTCAGAGTATGAGTATTCGCGCTCCTGCAGCCACGGCTACAGCTGCTGCTACAGTTGTTGCGAGTACTGTTCCTGCTACAGTCGCTACTACAGCTGCTGCTGGTGCTACAGATGTTGCGACCGGGGCTGGAAGGCAGGGAACGGGCGCGGGGAGAGGGGTGGCGAGGGGGAGGCGCGCGGGGGGTGGGGCAGGGGGGCAGGGAAGGGGGAAGGGGTCCCGGCAAGGGCGACGGGCAGCAGTAGGGGCAGCAGCAGTAGGAGCTAGGGGACAAGAAGCAGCAGCAGCGTCAGATGGGAGGGCAGGAGGAGAAGAGCTGCAGGTAGTGAGACTGCAGGAGCAGGCAGTTGCTGTTCCAGACCCTGTGCAGGCGATAATGGGGGGTGTTTCTGCACTTCAGATTCCTCTTCAAGAGGTGGGTGGACAGGAGGCGGTTGGGGGCGAAGTTGGGGGGGATGGTGATATGTCTGCGATCTACGCTGCTGGGTATGCTGCAGGACTGGCAGCCGCCCGGGCTGCTGCTGCCAGAGCAGCAGGCGCTGCCGCTGCTGGTGCTGCTGCTGGTGTTGCGGATGGGGTTGGAGCAGAGGGGGGAGTGGCGGTGGGGGGAGAAGCAGGGGGCATGGAGGGGGGGCTTGGTGTAGGGGGTTTCGATCTTGATGCCACAGGCTTTGCAGATGGCGAGATGGGGATGGGTGGTGGGATGGAGGGAGAAGAGTATGGAGCTGAGGCGGTGCCAGCAGGAGGGGAAGGAGAGGAAGGAGGGGAAACAGGAGGATTTGGAGGAGGGGAAGAGGAAATGTTGCCAGCAGGAGCAGGAGGAGGAGAAGCAGGTGCGGCTGCCCCTGGGCCAGGCACAGCAGCGGCAGCCGCAGCAATAGCAGCAGCAGAAGCAGCAGCGGCGGCGGCAGCAGCAACAGACGGGTCGGATACCGACGTGGATGGGGAGTTCCGGCCGGTGCGACTGAGGGACCCTGAGAGAAAACGCCGCCATTTCATCCCAGTGACGCTAAAGGCCGAGATTTGTGAGCTTCGGCGCGACCGGCCGGGAATCACACTAGTGAAGATTGTTCAAGTGCTTAAAACGAAGTATCCGGGGATCAGGATTTACTCGACTCGGGTGGCGGATATTATTCAGAAGCCGCATAAGTGGGCGGCGATGCTGGGCGGGAAAGGGCACAACCGAACCAACCAGCCGCCGGACCAGTCTGGTATGGAGGGAGCCTTGGCGCGGTGGTTCGGGGAGGAGCAGCAGAGGGTCGGTGGTGTGCCGAGCGAGCAGGTGATTGAGAAGGCCAAGGAGCTGGGGTATTCTTTCGGGTTTCCCCCAACTTTCAAGTACACAAGGGCGTGGGTGTACCGCGTGTTGTCGCACTTGGGATTTTCCCAGGAGGCTATAGATGCGGCGTGTGAGGACTACCCTAACGAGGATGACTCTGCTGGGCCTTCCTTGATTGAGTTAGCGGATCAGATGTTTGGGCAGGAGCTGTTTAAGTCCCGGGCGAACCAGAAGGGACGGAAGCCCAGAGACTGGTGGGCGGAGAACCTGCTGGGGAGGAAGTCGGGGACTGGGACAGGGAGAGGGAGGGGGAGGGGGAGAGGGGCGGGGAGGGGCGATGGGGGGGTTTTGGGGGAAGGGGCGGAGTGGGAGCAGCAGCAGCAGCAGCAGCAGCAGCGGCAGCAGGGGGATGTGTATGGGCAGGTTGGGGGAGGGATGCATGGGCAGGAGCTAGGAGGAGGGGGATATGCGCAGCAAGGGGGGTATGCACAGGGAACTGGACAGGGGTACGGGCAGGAGATAGGGCAGGGACACGGGCAGATGACAGGGCAGGCGAACGGGCAGGGCCAGGGGTACGGGCAGGGGACAGGGCAGGGGTATGGGCAGGAGAGTGGTTTGGGGTATGGGCAGGAAGGGGGGCAGGCGAGAGTGGGAGAGGGGGATCAAGATGATGTTATCCCAGGTGACTTGTTTGAGGAGCTGGAGGGAGGAGAGATGGTGGTGGTTCGGACAGCTGACAGTGTTGCTGGTGATGGTGGTGATGGTGGTGGTGGTGCCGGGGGTGCCGGGGGTGCTGGTCCTTCTTCCAACCAGCCTCTCGACTCGGCCGCTTTTGCAGCGAGCTCCTTGAACGAATCAGCCCCATTCACTGCTGCAAACAGCATGATCGGAGGAACCGCCAACACTGCAAACACTACAAACACTGCCAACTCGCTAGACTATGGGGATGACGGTGAAGACTCGGAGGGTTACCAGCCCGATCCGAAGCTAGTAGAGCTCGCCATGGCTGAAGCCAGAGCTGCGGCGGAGGCTCGGAGGGTGATCACCGAGGCTGACCTCGCAAATGCGGCGCAGATCGAGGTTCTGCCCCGGAATCCGATCACGGGCAGGGTGATTAGTAAAGAGGAGCTGCAGACTAACCCGGTATATACGGAATATTACCGGCTTCTGGAGGAGCAGAAGGAGTTTAAGGAAAAGAACAAGAAAATCACAACGTGTGTGCGAACCATCAAGATGCGAAAGGCAATCTGTCTACTCAAGGAAGCTCGTCCGTCTCTCACAAACCAAGAGATCATCCACATTATACTGGAGTCCTGCGGTCCTGTGATTGCAGCGAGTATTTCCCCTGCAGCCCTCCGGTATACCCTCCGCAAGAGCTACCAGTACTTGAACGCCGACCTGAACAAGCCGAAAAAGCCTGTCCCGAGGCGGGTTGAGTTCCCGGAATTCGAAGAGGCACTCGCGGCGTGGGTACGGGAGATGCGGGCGAAGTATGGGAAGGAGAATTTGCTGTACGAGGATATTCTGGCATATGCGCAGAAGCTGGCTCCGAGTTTCGGGATCGCGGAAAAGAATCCCAAGTTCAAGTTCCACATGTCGTGGATTCTGAACTTTGCGGGGAGGCACGGGTTGAAGTGGCGAACGAAAGAGGACCTGCGTGCGAACCGCAAGGGTGGTGGTGCGACTGGGGATGGTGGTGCTGGTGGTGGTGGTGGTGGTGGTGATGGTGGCGGTGGTGGTGGTGGTGGTGGTGATGGTGCTGGAAGGAGCAGTGGGAGAGGGAGAGGAGGGAATACGTCTGGGGTAGGAGAGAGTGATGGTACAGAGAGTGACAATGGCGGGCGGGAGGGGTACGGTGAGGGCGGCGGGACAACGGACGGTGGCGATGGGATCACAACGGACGGTGGAGAGGGGAACACCACGGATGGGGGAGGAGAAGGGACGGACGTGGAAGGGGAAGGGGAGGGGGAAGGGGTAGGGGAAGGGGGTGGGTTTCTAGGCATGGATGTGAATATGCATCTAGGGAATATAGTGACAGGGCTGGTGCGAAAGCAACGGGATGAGAAGACGGTGAGGCGGAACAAGATTTGGAACACTGCAGCTGATAAGCTTCTGAAGGTGGTGGCTCAGTTTGTGGCGGAAAGGGAGGCACGGGTGCGGAGAGGGGAGGAGGAGGAGGGAGAGGGGGACGAGCGGTGGGACGGGGAAATGGGAGTTGAAGGGTTGTTAAAGAAGAGGTGGAAGAGGAAGAAGACCGGGCGGCCGAGGAGGAGGGTAGGGGTTGTAGGGGCGGGTAGTGGTGGAGCAAAGACGGCGGCGCAGGGCACTGGGAAGAAGAGAGGAAGGAAGAAGAAGCAGAGCGGGGAAGCGGATGGGGGCGCGGGAGGAGGAGGGGATGGAGGTGGCGGGGAGGGTGGTGGGGAGGGTGGTGGGGAAAGCGGCAGGGAAACTGGACTGGAGAGTGGAAGGGAGAGTGGGAGGGAGAGTGGGAGGGAGAGTGGGAGGGAGGGAGGGAAGAAGAAGCAGCAGCGCAAGCAGTACCAGGAGGTGCTGGTGACGTGGAAGCTTGCCCTCATCTCCCTCGCCCGCGCCAGGCAGGACCTTCCGCACTCTGCTGTCAAACGGGCCGTTCAAGCCAGGTATGCCTTGAGACGCCGCCTGCCACGCGTTGCTGGCAAACGGGCCGTCCAAGCCAGGATTCTTGAAACAACTGCCAGACGCTGCTGTCAAATGGGCCGTTCAAGCCAGGTGCGTCTTGAATCACCTGCTGGCGCTGCCGTCAAACGGGCCGTTCGCAGGTATGCCTTGAAACGCCTGCCACGCGTTGCTGTCAAACGTGTCATTCGAGTCCGGTACGTCTTGATACACCTGCCACACTCTGCTGTCAAACGGGCCGTTCAAGGCAGGTACATCTTGAATGAACGGTGATAGCAGACCTGTTGGGCGGGGAGAGGTAAAGGTCAGGTGGCAGGCAGTGTTAATGCTCCTCCTCCGCACCACCACTCTTCCCCCCACCCCACCTTTACCACTGCCGTCCCCTCTGCCCTCCCCTTTTGTGTGGTGCAGATCCGGCGTTGATACAAGCTGCACGGTGATAGCAGATTACATGGCGCGGACAAGGTGCGGTGTCAGGCGCAGGTGATGCTCTCCTCTCCCTTTGCCACTAATGTCCCCTCTGCTCTCCCCTTTTGTGTGGTGCAGGTACGGCGTCGATACAAGCCGCACGGGAGAACAAGGTGCGGTGGCAGGCGCAGGTGATGCGAATTTCACCCCTCATGCTCTCCCTACCGTGCTTCCTCTTCTCCCCCTTTGTTGCCCAGGTACGGTGTCGATACAAGCCGCACAGTCAAGGTGCGGACTATATGGCGCGGGAGGTCAAGGTGCAGTGGCAGGAGGCGGAGCAGAGGTGAAACTCGTCCCTCCCCCACTCTTCCCCCCACCTTCCCCCTCCGTTTCCAGGTATGGCGTGGACACAAGCCGCACAGTCATCGCGGACTAAATGTCACGGGGGGACAAGGTGCGGTGACACTCGTCTCTCTCCCACGTCTCTCATCCCCCTCTCACCGCCCTCCTGTTGTCTCCTGTTCTGCCTGTCATGGCTCTCTGTCCTGTGCAGGTATGGCGTGGACACAAGTCGCACAGTCATCGCGGACTACATGGCGCGGGAGGACAAGGTGCGGTGGCAGGCAAAAGTAATGAGAGACGCGTACAGGGAGGGGCGTGAAGTGCTGCCGAAGATGAAGCAGGTGAGTGGTGGGTGGGTGTGGGAAGATGGGAGGAGTGGGTTGGGTTGGGAGGGAGCATAGGCACTGCGCATTGGGCACTGGGCACTACACCAGTCGCAGGTGATGCGAGATGCGTACAGGGAGGGGCGCGAAGTGCTACCCAAGATGAAGCAGGTCAGTGGTGTGTCAGAGGGAGTAGTGAGCAGGTGCGAGGGACCGATGAGGTTTCGGGAAAGGCACTGACAAACGCAGTGAGGGAACCTGGCGACTGTGAACGCCCTTCTTGCACATGCATGCATACATGCATACATGCATGCATACATGCATACATCCGTACATGCATGCGTGCATGCATACATCTGTACATCCATACATGCATACATGCATACATGCATACATGCATACATGCATACATCCATACATGCATACATGCATACATCCATACATGTATTCACACACCCATTTCCTCTGCCCCTCCCCCCTCACCCTGCCCAGTACACCAAGTTCATGCGGCTGGAAAAGGTAGTTTCAGACACAATGAAGAAGGCCCTGGCGGATTTATCGACACTTCCCCTTTCTTTCCCTTTCGGGCCTTGCCTCTGCCCTCTTCTGTGTTCCCCCCTACCGCCTGTCACCCCCCTGCCCTACCCAGTACACCAAGTTCATGCGGCTGGAAAAGGCAGTTTCAGACGCAATGAAGAAGGCCCTGGCGGATCTGGACAAAGGGGAGGCGCAGGGCAGCGGGAGAGGCGCAGCAGCTCAACCGGGCGTGCTGGGCGGAGGAGTGAGGATGGGCTTTCAGGGCGCAGGGGAGGAAAGGGATGAGGAGGAAGAAGAGGAGGCAGGGTTGCCGCGGCAGATAATGGTGCATCCTGAGGCTGTGGTGGATTATGCCAACAAGGTGGCACCGCTCTTTGGCTTCCCCCCTTCCAAGTGAGCATGCAGTGGGATAGGGGTAGGCTTTGTTCCGTTGCAAGTTGGTAGTAGGGGGGTGTGCTTGTTGATGCAAGGCGCTCAAGGAGGGTTGTCGCAGCACGGCAGATAATGGTGCATCCTGAGGCGGTGGTGGATTATGCCAACAAGGTGGCACCGCTCTTTGGCTTCCCCCCTTCCAAGTGAGCATGCAGTGGGGGTTGTGATTTGCTTAATTGCGAGTTGATAGTAGTGGGGGTGTGCTTGCTGTTATGAGGCGTTTAAAGGGTTGCTGTGGCAGCTTAGATCAGATCATGGTGCATTTTGAGGCGGTGGTGCAGTATGCCAACATGGTGGCACCGCTGTGTTTGAGATTGATTTTGAGAATTCTCAAAATCAATCTCAAACATTATGCCAACAAGGTGGCACCGCTGATTGGCTTCCCTCCCTCCAGGTGAGTATGCGGTGGGGTGGTGGGAGCTAACCTGACAGCATCCAATCCCTCACACTCCCCGTTTCCCACCTTTTGAGTCGACTCAAAAGACACCTCGTTACCATGGCACATGACACAAAAGTCACCTTTTGAGTCGAATCAAAAGTCCCCTCCAGGTGAGCATGCGGTGGGGTGGTGGGAGCTAACCTGACAGCATCCAATCCCTCACCTTCGTTTGGGTGGCCGGCCTGATGCATCGCTGGGGCTTCATGAACCACCGGCCGTGTGATAAAAGAGATGTTTTGAGACGTCTCAAAACATCTCTTTATCATTTGGTGGCCGGTCTGATGCATCGCTGGGGCTTCATGAACCACCGGCCGTGCGGGCGTGTGTCTGTCCGGTGGAGGAAACATTGCAAGACTTCCATACCAGAATCTGACAGAATCCACTCCCTTCAACCTTTCCTAACCCCTCTATACCCCCCACAGTTCAATCACCTTCGCGTGGGTGGCGGGTCTCATGCATCGCTGGGGCTTCATGAATGGACCACTGGGCCGTAAAGGCGTCTCCCAGGTGGAGTAAGCACTGAGAGGCTCCCTCATTCTCCCCTACTCCTCTTCCCCTACCCCCACAGGTCGATCACCTTTGCGTGGGTGGCGGGTCTCATGCACCGGTGGGGATTCATGGACCACTGGCCTGTGAAGGCGTCTCCCAGGTGGAGTAAGCACTGAGAGGCTCCCTCATTCTTCCCTACTCCTCTTCCCTTACCCCCACAGGAGTATCACCTTTGCCTGGGTGGCGGGTCTCATGCACCGGTGGGGATTCATGGACCACTGGGCTGTAAAGGCGTCTCCCAGGTGGAAGAAATGGGCTCCTCTGTTTGAGGGTCAGGGGGATAAGGAGGGTGGGGATGGGGGAAGGAGTGGGGGAGAGGGGGGGCAGACTGGGGGGGAAGGGGGCGAAGGGGAGGGAGCAAGGGGGGAGGCAGGAGCGGGAGGAGGAGGAGGAGGAGGAGAAGGAGAAGGAGCAGGCGCGCCTGCTTCTGCTGCTGGTGGTACTGCTGCTGGCGCTGGCGCTGCCACTGCTGCTGGCGCTGCTGCTGCTGCTGCTGGCGCTGCTGCTGCTGCTGCTGGCGCTGCTGCTGCTGCTGCTGGCGCTGCTGCTGGTGCTGCTGGCGCTGCTGCTGGTGCTGCTCCTGCTTCTGCTGCCACTGGGGACGCTGCTGCTGCTGCAGCTGGTGACGCAGCAGCAGCAGCAGCAGCAGCAGCAGCAGCAGCAGCAGCAGCAGCAGGAGCAGGGGAGGCACTCGTGCCAGCAGAGCTGTCGTGGGACCTGTTCGACGAGGGCTTTAACCTAATACCAGGGGAGATCGAGGCGCTGGGGAAGGTAGCAGAAGAGTTGGAGCTGCAGCGGCAGCAGCGCTTTCGGGAGGTGGTGCTGGCTGGGGCGTTTAACAAGAGGAAGAAGAAGATGATGGAGATGCAGGAGAGAGCGGGAGGAGCGGGAGGAGGAGCGGGAGGAGGTGGGGAAAGGGCAGGAGCAGGAGGAGGAGAGGAAGGAGGAGAGGGAGGAGGAGAGGGAGGAGGAGGGGGAGGAGGAGGGGGAGGGGAAGGTGAGGGGGTTCGATTGGTTTGGGAGAGGGAGCGGGGCGAGGGAGGGGAGAGAGGGGAGGAAGGGGAAGGTGCAGGAGGCTTGGGAGCGAATGATTCTGATGATGATGGGGGTGGTGATGGTGGTGGTGGTGATAGTGATGATGATGGGGGTGGTTGTTTTGGCCTGAGTGTTGGGGCAGGGAGGGAGGGCGGGCTAGGGGAGGGAGAGAGAGCAGCAGCAGAAAGAGGGGTAGGGGGAGCAGCAGGGGGAGCGGCAGGGGCAGCTGCAGGGGGAGTGGCAGGGGGAGTGGCAGGAGGGAGTGTAGCAGCCTCGCTTCTAAACTCGCTCAACCTAGCCAACTTGCCTGGACCAATCCCAGCGTATCTTCAAGATATTGTTGCTGAGCTGGCAGGAATCCGGGTCGGCGGAGCCTCGGACGTTCTTCCGAACCTGCAGGCAGCGTGGGGAAACCTCGACAAGGCGTCTCCCGAGCCTGTTTCAACGGGTTTTGAAGTCGGTTCGGGCACGGGTTTGGATAAGGACAAGGGCAGGAAGAGGAAGAGGGGGGAAGGGGAGGGGGGAGAGGAGGGGAGAGGGGAGGAAGAGGAAGCAGATGGAGGAGAGGGAGAGGCGGGAGGGAGGGAGGAGAGGGATGCAGCAGTTGCAGCTGTTATGGCAGCCGGGAAGATCAAAACGCCTGAGGAGTTTTGGCGGTGGTGGCAGTTTTCAGGGCTTGTAGGGGTGAGAGGCATGCGGGACGCGTGGAGTGTGCTGGAAGATGCTTCTGTGGTTGCTGTAGAGGAGGAGGAAGAGGAGGAAGAAGAGGAAGAGGAGGTGGAGATGGAGGAGGTGGAGGAAGGGTATGAGGAGGAGGAAGAGGAGGTAGAGGGGGATGAGGAGGATGAGGTGGTGGAGGTGGAGGAGGAGGAGGAGGAGGAGGAGGATGCAGAGGTTGAAGAGTGGGGGGGTGGTGGAGGGAGGGGAGGGAAAGCGAGGGGAGGAGGGACAACAGGGGGCGAGACGGAGACAGGTGGGGAAACGGAGGGAGAAGCAGCAGAGTGGGGCGATCATACAAAAGAGGAGGCGAGGGAGAGGAGGAGGCAGCAAAGGAAGGAGAGGAAGGAAAGGAAGAAGAGGAAGAGGGAGAAGAAGAAGGAGAAAGAGAAGAAAAGGAAGAGGGAGAAGGGGAAGGAGAGGGAGAAGAGGGGAAAGAAGAAGGGAAAGGAGAAGATGGGTGTAAGGGGGGATGCGCTTGCAGCGTTCACCAGTATGCTGCAGCAGACGACTTTTGAGGCGCCTCAAAAGGCGTTCACCAGTATGCTGCAGCAGCAGGCACCAGGAGTAATGCCGATGCATCCTGCCTTCCCCCAATCCGCCTTCCCCCAATCCGCCTTCCCCCAATCCTCCTTCCCTCAACCTCCTTTCCCTGCCGCCGCTGCTGCTGCTGCTGGTGCTGCCCCTGCCTCTGGTGCTCCCCAGGCCCAGGTGACCACGATCCAGTTTGGGGCGCAGCAGGAAACGCCGTTCGGCACACGCTTTGCCACAGTGACACAGCACACGTACAACAGTGCACCACCATCAACAGCATACCCGCAGCAGCAGCACATGAACACCAACAACAGCATTCAAGCTCAGCCACAGCAGCAGCAGGGTCTGATGGGTGGGCAGGCTCCTTTAGGGCTGCCCCCTCTCCTCGCACAGTTTTTGTTCCCAAACTCCCAAGTGCCACCCACCACTGGTGCCCCTCTGCCTGACCCTGGTTCTTCCAACGATCCTTTCAGCAGCACCGCTCTCTTTTCCCACCCTACCGCTCCGCACGCCACTGGTACCCGTCTCAGTCTCACTGAGATTGGTGACGCTACAGATCCTGCTGCTGCCACTGGTGCTCCTGCTATAGGTGCTGCTGCTGCTACAGGTGCTGCTCCTGCTACATGTGCTGCTGCTGCTACAGGTGCTGCTGCTGCTACAGGTGCTGCTGCTGCTACAGGTGCTGCTGCTGCTACAGGTGCTGCTGCTGGTACAGGTGCTGCTGCTGCTACAGGTGCTGCTGCTGCTACAGATGATGCTGCTGCCACAGGTGCTGCTTCTGCAGTAGCAGCAGGTGCAACTACTGCTACTGATACTGTCGCTGCTGCTTCTCCTGCTGCTACTACTGCTGCTGCCACTGCTGCTGCTGCCCCAGTCGCCCCTACTGCTCCTGCTCCTGCTCCTGCTCCTGCTCCTGCTCCTGCTCCTGCTCCTGCTCCTGCTCCTGCTCCCGCTCCTGCTCCTGCTCCCGCTCCTGCTCCTGCTCCCGCTCCCGCTCCTGCTCCTGTTCCTGCTCCTGCTCCTGCTTCTGTTCCTGCTCCTGCTTCTGTTCCTGCTCCTGCTCCTGTTCCTGCTCCTGCTCCTGTTCCTGCTCCTGCTCCTGCTGCTCCCGGTTCTGCTCCTGCTCCTCCTGCCGCTGCTTCTGCTTCTGCAGCCAAACAAACAGCAGCGAATCAAGCAGCAGCACTCTCTCCAGGAGCAGGAGAAAGAGATGCTGCAGCTCTCCTTACCCACCTTCTCACAACCCAACTCGCAGCCTCCTCGGGCCCCAATTCAGAATTGCTGTCCCTCGCATGCAACGTCACCCAGTCCTTTGGTCCCGATTTCGCACTCGCTCTGGGGTCACTGTTGGTGCAGCATCATCAGCAGCAGCAGCAGCAGCAGCAGCAGCAGCAACCGCAGCAGCAACAAACACAGCAGCAACCGCGCCCTACCGCTGCTGCCTCTTTTCTCCCTAACCTCTTGCAGCAGATCGCCTCGTTAACCTCACAGGCGACTGCTCATTCCCCTCAGCTGCAAAATCCCACTGCTGCTGCTGCTGCTGCTGCTGCGCTTCTACCAGCCCTGCTGCAGCAGATTGCTTCGGGGGCTAATCATTCCCAGCAGCAGCCAATGCAGCTCCCGCGCTCCACTGCTGCTGCGGCAGGTGGCCGTGCTGCTGCTGGTGCGTCTATGCCCACAAACTTATGGGAGCAGATTTCGGCTATGGCAGCTTCCCAGCTGCCACTGCAGCGCACTGGTGGCACTGCTGCTGGTAATTCTGCTGCTGCTGCTGCTGCTGCTGCTGGTAATTCTGCTGCAGGTGCTGGTGCTGCAGCCCTGCCGGGCCAACTGCAGCAGCTGATTGCCTCGCTCGCCACCCAGCCTACTCACTCCACGCGCGTGCAGCCTCCCCGCCCCTCTGCTGTTGCTCCTGCTTCTGCTCCTCTTGCTGCCACTGCTCGCCTCATTGCCGCAACTGCCACTGGTGCTCCTTCAGCCGCCCGCCCTTCACTTGCGCGGATTCCTGCTGCAGGGGGGTCTCATCACCCTTCCTATGCACCTTCTCCTCTCCTCTGCACCTCCACACCTCTCCCCACCTCACCTCCCTCCTCACCTCCCCATTCCTCTGCACCTCCCCGCTCCTCTGCACCTCCGCTCCCCTCCCGCAACTCCCTCCTAAGCTTCCTGCACGGGCCTAGAGGCCCTCTCTCAAACTTCTCTTCCAGAAACTCTTTTGCTGCTGGTGCTGGTACCGCTGCCACTGCCAATGCTGCCAGTCCTGCCACTCCTGCTGCTGCTACTGTTCGTCCTGCTCCTGCAGCCACTCCTGCTGCTGCTACTGTTCGTCCTGCTCCTGCAGCCACTCCTGCTGCTGCTGTTCGTTCTATTGCACCTTCTTCATTGGGTCATACCAGAGCCTTTCAGGAGAATCATTGGGAACCACCTTACGGTCTCAGGGTACTCCGGCGACGCCCTAACTACAACGCCCCTTCTTCTGCTGCTGCTGGTTCTGCTGCCGGTTCTGCTCCCCGCCTGCCAGCCAATCCGCCTTCCACTGATGCTGATCGATACACCCCAACTGCTAACCAATCCACTCTGCCTGCTGGCCGTCACTCTTTAACTGCTAGCCGGCACAATCTGCCTACTGACCCATACACTCCAAGTGCCAACCGGCACACTCTGCATGCTTCTCTGCTTGCATCAGCAGCAGGAGCACCAGGAGCAAGGGCAACAGGAATAGTAGCAGCAGAAGGGTTGCATTCCCCCTTGTCCCAGAGGTCTGGAGTGATTCTCGCCCTCCCAGCCGCATCGTCCCCCACCTTTGCCTTCCGTGCACCTGCTGCTGCACCCACCACTTCACCCACAGCTGCGCCCACTGCTGCGCCCACCGCTGCACCCACCGCTGCTCCTGCTCTTGTGATCAGTACTGCTCCTGCTCCTCCAACCACTGTTCAGCTTCTCACTCCTGATGATACTGCTGCTACAGCTGCACCTACTGCTCTGCCCGCTGCTATAGCTGCGCTTGCTGCTACAGCTGTCTCTGCCCCTACAGCTGATCCTGCTGCTACAGCTGTGCCTGCTGCTACAGCTGTAGGTGTGTGGACACGCGCTGCTGCAGCAGCAACTGCGAGTGCTACTGCGGATGTTGACACACGTTCTGCTACAGCCGTGACTGGACGAACCCGTGCTGCTGTCAAGGCAGGATTTTGTGCTACAGCCGTGACTGGCCGAACCCGTGCTCCTTTGAAGGTTGGGTTCTATGCTACAGCTTTGACTGGAAAGGCGGGATTCCGTGCTACAGCCGTGACTGGACGAACACGTGCTGCCGTCAAGGCAGGATTTTACGCTACAGCTGTCACTGGAAAGGCTGGGTTTCGTGTTGCAGCCGTGACTGGACGAACCGGTGCTGCTGTGAAGACGGGATTTCATGGTACAGCATCAGTGGCAAGCACCCATGCTTTGCCTGCTGCTACAGCTGCTCCTACAGGTATTGCCACCAGAACCCGTGCTGCTGCTGCTGCTGCGGCTGTTAGAGCTGCTATGGCTAGGAGGCACCGCACTGCCGCTGTTGCTGCCGCTGCTGCTTCTTCTGCTGCCGCTGCCGCTGCTGGGTTAAGTGTTGGTGATGGTGGTGGTGGTGGTGGTGGTGCCACTGCTCCTGCTGCTGGTGCTGCTGCTGAGCCGTCAGCAGTCAGGCAGGTGCCAGGCAGACGGCGGGAGGGGAGAGTAGCGATTGGTTACCACGGGAGAGTTCTGAGGAGCCAAAGTCTAAGTGTGGGTCAAAGCAAGCGGGAACGGCGTATGAGGGCGCTGCGCAGGGCGAGGAAGAAGGACGTGCAACCGCCATGGGCACACAGTATGATTGCGCAAAGCATTGCGGCACAAGCTGCGATGGCGCAGAGTGCTATAACGGAGAGTGCTATAGGGGAGAGTGCTATAGCGGAGATTCCAGTGGGGCAGGGTACGCAAGGAGAGGAGGAGCAGTCGCTCAGAGATGGAGGGGAGCAGGCCTTGAGATGCGGTGAAGAGGAATTGTCGGAAGGTCACAATAGCCCCTCAAATAGCCCCTCAGGTCAGCCCCATATCGCCACTGCCATACCCGAAAGCACCCCCTCAACACAGCCTCCTGCTCGTCCATCTACACAAGTTAGCCCCGATGGACCGCTGTCGCAGGATAGCCCTGCGACTCGCGCCGCAACGCGCCATGCGATGCCACTCACACCGTCCATGTGCACGCTGCTGGCACTTCAGCAGGACACCACGAGCTCGGCTGCTGCTTCTGCTGCTGGTGGTTCTGTTGCTGTGGCTGGTGCTGCTGCAGGGCCAAGTGCAACAGGTGGGTTGGGTGATCCGCCTGCCCCAAGCTCCATGTCAAAACTGCTGGCACTTCAGCAGGATACGACGAGCATGGCTGCTGCTGCTGGTGCTAGTGCTGCTTCTGTTGCTGCCACTGGTGCTGCTGCGGGGCCAAGTGGGGCACGTCCGTTGAGTGATCCTCCTGCCCCGAGCTCCATGTCAAAACTGCTGCTCGGACAGTTTGCGTCCTCATCTCCGCTTGGTCGATCTGCGGCTGCTGCTTCTGGTGCGGCTGGTGGTGATCTTGATGATGATGATGATGATGATGATGTCGTGGAAGTCGACGGCGGTGATAATAATGATGGTAATGTTTCTGCTGCTGCTGGTGGGTCCAAGGATGACGATGTGCTAGTTGTAGCTGATTGATGTTAGCCATGCTTGCATCATGCCGGTTCCTTAGGGTGCTTTGTCTAGTGTGATAACTAAATTTTAATTAGTTTTTCTCTTCTGGGCTTTTAGGCTCCATTAGTGTAAATGTGCAACTAACGATAAGTTGTGAGGTGACTTGAATTTTGGTCTTCCGTCTCGAATTCTTTCTGAATGCTTTCTTCTGACTCTCTGGCGCTGGTTCACCCAAAGGTCACCCCCCTAAAAAACACCGCCTCGAAAACCCAATTTTTCTGAATATTCTCAAAATCCATTCACGGTTTCCATCGCATGGATGCCGTCGATCACATCAGCAGCAGTCCTCGAGTACCTTTCGATTAACCGTCGATTACATACACTACACAGGTCCCGAAAATGTTTCGACTTTCGCCTAGAGCGACGAAAATATCGATGTTTAGCACCTCACCCTGCGAATGATGAGGTTTGTTTTTCTGCGGCGAAGCAGGAGTTTATCTCTCCACCTTGGTGCTTCTTTACCGTCAACTTCATCCGCCTGTCATCAGAGAGGTCATGTCAACCGTCGATCTTCTTTTCCGTCTTGTGCGACGGAATTATGGAGAGATCAGTCAACCCTGCATCCGAAGGCAACTACTTTTCCTGCATTCTTGCTGAAGAGCTAGTATTCCATATGTGTCTCCAGTTCTGCCTGATAATGAGCCCAACGTAAGGTTTCTTCTCTATTTCTTGTTCCTCAGCTGCTTATCTCCCCTCTCAATGTTCCCGCCAAACCCATGGTTGTTTGAATCTTTCTCAAGTCGCTCCCAGTCAGCTGCAATTCTGACACAACGCCGAGCTTACCTTGATATATTAGAAGTGGCAAGCTCGTTCGTTTATTCTAGGCTCGTCGTCGTGATTCTAGTCGAGTCGTAGATTCAGTTATGTCGTAGGTCTAGGCTCGTCCCTATTTTAGCTAGGCTCGTCCTTATTGTAGTTAGGTTCGTTAGCATTTCAGGCTCGGTCGTGACATCGTCGTGATTTACATATCGTCGTGACAGCTTGCCGGAGTGCTATGGTTGCGTCTAAGTTGTTATACTCGTGAGAAGAGCCACGCGATTCATCGTAGTCCAGCAGCTACGATTGCGGAGCTGATGGGTGTTTTTTTCTCTCTCTCTTTATCTCCCTTGGTAGTCTCGTGACAACCTCATTTGACTGGCTTTCGTTCGCTTTAAGATGCGACAGCAGGAGCCATCAGGTTTCGATCAGAATGGTGGGTCTGGTGGAGGCGAAATGCAGACTGATCCTGCTGCGCCTTCGTCAGCCAATCAGCAGCAGCCAGCAGCCACGTCTGCAGCAGCGACAGGCTCGGCAGGGCGTTCCGAACCGCCGTCCGAACCTGTGGCTTCTGGATCCGAACCTCGTCCGTGGAAGCGGAAGAACAAACGAATCGTGGTGGACCAGAAAATTGAGCGGGAAATCTTGGCTCTCAAAAAAGCCCACCCCTTTCTCACCAGCGAGCAGATCGCACGTGCAGTCGCGAAGCACTTCGGAGTGACGCTGAGGGAGGCAAAGGTGGAGATGATTATCGTTCGCGCCAAAACCGACCCGTCCGATAAAAGCAAGTGGCACAATTTTTGGCGCAAGCGTTACGAGAACCCGGAAATGGAAGCAGATCTGCTGCAGTGGATACGCGAAAGGAGGCGCCGTGAGTCGCTGAAACCGCAGAATATTCTAAACCGAGTTAAGAGGTTCGTGACAATGAAAGAAATGGTGGATTATGCGATGGCTATAGGGCCTTCGTATGGCGTCCCGGCAGAGCATATTTACAGCACGGATTGGATGCTCCGGCTTTTAAAGGACCACGGGTTGAATTCGAGAGGGGAGGAGGTTAATCTGGCCGGAGGTGCAGGCTCGGGGACTGATGCCGGCCCTGATGGAGCAGGTTCGGGGGAAGAGGGTCCTGCTGGTGGTGGTGCTCAGGGTGGGGACTCAGGCTCGGGGCGTGTTCCTTGGAACGAGGTTCCGTTTGATATCCGGATTCGGTACGAGATTTCTGTGGTGAAACGTGCACGGCCTAACTTAGACAACAAGGTGGTTGCTGCAGCGATTACAGCTAAGTACGGAAACGAAACGGGGATGAACTTTCGGTCGCTGGACAGAATAAGTACGTTTTACGACAAGTGGTTCGGGATTGTTACCGCAGCGGTGCCAGATCCGAACCTGTTACGAATGGAGGAGGCATTGGCTGAGTGGGTGATTAAAGAAGAGGAGCGGGAGAAGAGGGAGGTGACTCGAGAGGAGATTATAGCGAAGGCGAAGGAGATAGGTCCGGGATATAATGTGCGGCCGGGTTTCAGGTATGGCAGGTCGTGGGCTACGAGGTTTATGAAAAGGTTCGGGCTGCTGCTGCTATCAGAGACTAGTAACGAGGATGCTGATAGCGAGGATGGGGGAGGCGCGCGAGGAGAGGGAGGAGCGGGAGAGGATGGGATGGAGAAAGGAGACGAAGAGGAGGGAGAGGTGGAGGGATGGGATGGTGGGTTGATCAGTTTTGTGAACATGCAGATTCGGACTGCTGAATGGGCTGCCTGGCAGGTGTTGCATAAGTCGGCAGGGGGTACAGCAGCGGGACGCTCAATATCGAGTACAGGGGTAGGAAGGGAAGGAGATGAAGGAGGTGAAGGAGTAGGAGGGGGCGTTGTGAGTATCCCTGAACCTGATCGAGGAAATGTAGGAGAAGGGGATTATTCAAGGGTAAATAACCCTTGGTGTGCGGATCCCTTGACTGAGTTACTAGAAGAAGAGGAGGGGGTGGATTTAGTTTACAGAACAGGGTCTGGGAGGGATGGAGGAGGGGCGTTGCACACAATTGGGTATGGAGATGGGGAGAGCGCAGGAGGGGCCTTGGGGGTAGAGGAACGGACGAGTAATGGTGATCCTGATAGTGGTGCTGATGACGATGATGATGCTCATGCTGATGATGATGATGACGATGATGCTGATTCTGATGCTGATGATGCCTGTGGTTTTAGCGGTGCTGGTGCTGCTGAGGGTGTTCATGCTGCTGTAGCTGCAGCAGGAATGAGGAAGAGAGGAAGCAAGCGGGTTAGGTGGGAGGACGATGCTGGTGACGATGGTGGTGGCGTTGGTGGTGGCGATGGTGGTGGCGATGGTGATGGTGGTGATGGTGTGAAGAAGCGAAGGCTTGGACAACTCACTTCCGGAACAGAGGCTGTTGCTCTAGGCACATGCGCTGCGTCCCCAGCCACGGGTGCAGCCACCCCAGCCATGGGTGTGGCCCCACCAGCCACAGGTGCAGCCACCCCAGCCATGGGTGTGGCCCCACCAGCCACAGGTGCAGCCACTCCAGCCATGGGTGTGGCCCCACCAGCCACGGGTGCAGCCCCCAGCACACCCACTGGCATCTCTTCCCGTTTGCCCATTGTCATCGGCCTTGCTGCTCCCAACCGCCCCGATACCCCCACCGCCCCCCACACCACCACCCTCCTCCACCTCCCCTCCCAAGCGCCGCCAGCCACAGGTGCAGCCCCCAGCACACCCACCGGCGTCTCTTCCCGCATGCCCATTGTCATCGGCCTTGCTTCTCCCAGTGATCCCAATACCCCCGCCGCCCGCCACACCACCACGCTCCTCCACCTCCCCTCCCAAGCCGCTCCGGCTTCCCGAACCACAGATCCTTTGCACTCCTTTCAGGGCCGCCTAGCCGCCCAAGCCGCCCAAGCCGTCCAAGCCCAAGCCGCCCGAGCCCAAGCTGTCCGAGCCGCCCAGACCACGCCTCCCCCACATCCCTCCAAAACGCCGCCCAAGGAGGGGAAGGAGCGTCGGCCCCGCCATTCCGTGCTGAACCCGGGGCAAAGGCGAGCCTTCTGCCTCGTGCAACGGGCCCTGCCGAACCTGCGCCAAGCCTACCTCGCCAGAGCTGCGCTGCCGGCTTGGGGCGTGCAGATATACAGCGCCACTATATCGTACATAGTAAGAGATAGGTGGTGGTGGATGACTATTCCCCGGGGGAAAGAGCAGGAGATGAGCAGAGTGCCGGGGAAGGCGTGGAGGAATATGGGGAAGAAGAAGAAGAGGAAGAGGAGGAGGAAGAAGAAGCGGGTGGTTGGAGCGGGGGTGGGGAGGTGGGCGAGGTTGGAAGAGGCGTTGGGGCGGTGGTTTGAGGAGATGGGGGCGGAGGAGTTGGTTTGCCGGGGGAGGATTAGAGAGCGGAGATTGGTGCTGGAGGAGCAGGGGGAGGATGGGGGGAAGGATGGGGGGAAGGCAGCTCAGAAGCGCCCGTTTCCTGTGTTTCTGACGCTGGAAATGGTTTCTGACATGGGGAGGAAGCTTGGGCCTGCTTTAGGCGTTTCGAGTAACTTTAAGTACGGAATTGGGTGGGCAGAAGCGGTGGTGGCGCGATATAGGGTGAAGAAGACCGGGGTTGTTGGGGGAATTGAGGGAGCAGGAGGAGAGGGGGCAGGGGGAGAGGGGGCAGGGGGAAGGGGGACTGAGGTGGGAGAATGGAGAGGGAGGGGAGGGGGAGCGGGGGGGGGGAATGAGGAGGCGGAGGAGGAGGAGGAGGAGGAGGAGGACGAGTCAGATGGGGAAGGAGGAGGATGATGGAAGCGACGAGGAAGAGGGAGAGGGGGATGAAGAGGGGGGCGAGCAGGAGGGAAACGAGGAAGGAGGGAACGAGGGGAACGAGGGGGAATGTTGGGATCCGGTTGTGTTGCAGAGGCGGTTCGAGGAGACCCTACGTTCAGCTGCATACAGCAGTCGAGAAGAGGACCCGTACGCTCTAGACCAGTGGGTGGATGATCCAGATGTATCAAGCCTTATGAGGGCAATTTTGGGGCCGGATTGGCTTAGTAAGTACCACGGCGGTGCCACTGGCTGCGGCATTTACCTCGATGCTGCTGGTGCCAGCAGTGCTGCCCCTGCCGCTGCTGCTGCTGCTGCTGCCACTGCTGGTGCTGCTGCTGGTTTCAGCAGTCCTGCTGCTGGTTTTGCTATGGGTGGGCATGGGCATGGCAGTGGGTTTGTCAGGGGGAGCCTGTCGTCCCTTGCGTCGCCTCTCATGCACTGCATGCCCCTCTCGGCAGTGCCCATGGTGCAGCAGATGCAGCAGAAGTATGCGCAGCAGCAGAAGCAGAAGCAGCAGCAGCTGCTGCAGGCACAGCAGCAGCAGCAGCAGCAGCAGCAGCCAGTCAATGCATCCCAGCAGTCACTAACCAGTCCATCACTTCAGCAGCAGAACAGTTCAAGCTCCATTCCCCTGCTGCGATTGCCTGACTTTCTCTGTACCCGTCCCACGTCCCAACCGGCATCTGCACAGCAAACACCTGAAACTGTACCAGCACCTGAAAGTGTCCCAGCACCTGAAACTGTCCCAGCACCTGAAAGTGTACCTGTACCTTTACCTGAAACCGCACCGACTCCTGAAACTGTACCAACACCTGGAACCGTACCTGTACCACCTGAAGCCTTACTAACACATGAAACTTGTCAGAAGAACAAGAAGAACCTCCTTCCCCCACCTCCACCTCACCCGCCTCGCATCCCCCCGCCCTATCTATCGTCCTTGCCCTCCCCGCCGCAAATACCCCTGCCATTATCACCCCCGACAACCACTCCTCACCCCCCACGCACCCCTCTCAACCCAGCGAAACCACCCCAACTCCCGGTGTGCGCAAGCGGATACATGGCCCCCCCCTGCCCGTGCCGCTCCGCCGCTCCTTCCAAATGACCACGCACCAAAAGCGGGCGCTTTGCCTCGTCATACACTCCGTTCCGAACCTCTCCAGCTTGTTCCTTGCCAAGGCTCTGCTCCAGGCTTGGGGAACGCCCGTGTTCGAGTCCATGATTCGGAAAATCAGGCAGCACGGCGATTGGTGGATGAATATTCCAAGAGGGAAGGAGGAGGAGTTTAGAGTGAGAGGAAAGCGGTGGGATTGGAAGAAGAAGAAGTATTATGCGGTGGAGGGTGGTGTGGATGGGCGGGTGCAGTGTGTGAGGCTGGAAGCGGCGCTGTTGAAGTGGATTGAGGGGATAGGAGCGGGGAGTTGGTGAGGAAAGGGAGGATAAAGGACGGGATTTTTGTGATGGAGGGGGAAGAGGGGGGTGGGGAAGAGGAGGCAGGGACGGGAGGAGGGGAGGGGGGAGGAGAGAGAGAGGGGGGAGGAAGGGGGAAGGTAGGAGAGGGAGAAGAAGTGGAAGCAATTGCACAGGGTGAGACACCAGTGAGCTTATCAGTGGAGGTTGTGACAGATGGGGCAGGAAAGAGGGTGGTGGGGGAGGATAACTGAAAACCTCTGGGCGTTTAACGGTGCAGATGCTGCTGGATAGGGCAGAGATGATAGGGTGGAAACTAGATGCCCCCTCTGACTTTGAATACACAGAGGAATGGGTTCTGGGGGGTTCTAGAGCGGTATAAAGGAGGGAAGAAGGCAGGGGGGGCGGGGGAGTGAGGGTGATGGCGCCGGGACGGGGGGAGGAGGCCGGGAAGGGGAGGGAGGAAGGGAGGGGGGAGAGGAAGGGGAGGGGGTAAACAAGAAGTCTGACGGACATTCTGACCGACAGTGTGACCGACAGTCTAACAGACAGTCTGACCGACAGTCTGGTCGACGGTGTGACCCATACAACCTACAGAAGCGGTCAGCACCTTGCTGGACCGCTTTCCACACGACCGGCAGTCAGACCCGTATGATTTGGAGAAGTGGGCAGACGATACGCATGTGAAATCGCTTATGCAGTCAATCTACGGGCTGAACTGGCTCCGTAAGTATGCGTACCTGCGCTCTGTCAGGGAGGCTTCTGCTGCTGCTGTTGCCGCTTCTGCTGCTCGGGCTGATGCTGCTGCTGGTGGTGCCGCTGGTGGTGCTGGTGCCGCTGGTGCTAGTCGTGGTGATGCTTATCCCGAACACACTGCAAGGCCGCCGGCAAGCTCGCGCACACTGCTGGTGCTGCTGCTGCAGCTGGTAGTGGTGGTGCTGCTGCTGGTAGTGGTGGTGCTGCAGCAGGCAATGCTGCCCCGCTGCTGCCAACACCCTGGGCCAGTAAAGCCAAACTCCGGGCGTTTCAGGAGCAGGAGGAGTTGCAGAAGCAGCAGAGGTTTCAGGGGCAGCAGAGGTTTCACGGGCAGCAGAGGTTTCACGGGCAGCAGAGGTTTCACGGGCAGCAGACCCCATGGGGTGGCGATGATGAGCTCCCAGACAACCGCCCTGATGTCTCCTGACTCCCTCAATGCTGTTGACTCTGTTGACTCTGCTGAAGCGCTTGACGCTCTTGAAGCTATTGACTCTCGCGGCTTCCCTTCCTTGCCGCTGCCGCCTCAAAGCAAGCCCTCCTCCTCCTCCTCCTCTGCACATGTCTATGCAGCGCCAGCAAGGGGCATGGGGCAGGGATGGGTCCTGGCCTGGTGCCTTTGGCCGTACTTCTCCCATGACTGCTGTGAACGCCACAGCACAAGCAGAGGGAGGGGTTTTCGGGCAAGGATGGTTCATGGGCAGCGGGTCTTCCTGCACCTCGTGCTACTGGCTTCTCTGGTTCTCAAGCCGCTGGTATCTTAGGGCTCCGTTGTCCCCCCGGTTTCCCTGGCTCCCGTGCTGCAGACCCTCTTGCCCCTCGTGCTGGCTTCCCTGGTGCACATGCAGCTGACCCTCTTGCTCCTCGTGCTCCTGAATTTCGAGGCACACGTACCGCTGCTGACCCCTCTTGCTCCTCGTGCTCCTGTCATGGGTTCGGAGGAGTGGCAGCAGAGGCTGCCAGGGGCAGCACAGGTCGACTTTTGAGTCGACTCAAAATTCAACAATTGACTCTCGTGCTGCTGTCATGGGCTCGGAGCACTGGCAGCAGAGGCTGCAAGAGACCATTAGGCGGGGTTGGTTCTTGGGGCAGGTGGTTTCACTGCCGCACCATCCCTTGGTAACGGTCTCAACCGCTCTCCACCCATGCCTGGAACACGGCTTTCTCTGGTCCCCAAGCAGCTGGTCTCACTCCCAATGCAGGCCCTGCTGGTCCCACCACGCGTGGCAAGCGCTTGCCAAAGTGTGCGGTGGAGACAGGATCAGAGAGGAGGAGGTGGTGGTGGAGAGTGGATGGGAGGGCTGCCTGGCGGCACTGGTGCTTTTCTTACTCCTCTCGGAACGCATCTGGGTACTTGTATGAGCGGGGAGAGAGGGCATTTGGTGGTAGTGAGTGGGGGGAAGGAGCGGGAGGAGGGGGAGGAGCAGTGGGATGGGGAGGGGAAGGAGGAGGGGAAGATAGAGGACCTGAAGTATGGGGTTAGAGGATTGGGTAATGAGAAAAGGCAGGGAAAGAAGAGGAGGGTGGTAGAGGAGGAGAGAGTGAGAGAGGAGAGATTGGGGAGGAAGGAGATGGTGAGAGAGGAGATGGCACGAGAGGAGAGGGTGAGAGAGAAGGTGAGAAGGTCAGAGGGCGGTCGAAGTCTGGAAACATCTCAGTCGAAAAAAGCACTTCAAAAGAAGGGAAGGAGCGGGGCAAAGACGGGTATTGATTCAGCTGGTACACAGGCTTTGAGACGCCTCAAAAGCAGGCTGAAAAAGCGGTCTAAGAAACGAAAACGCTTCCTTTCCACACTGCATGGGCCATGCTGGTTGGTGGGGGCGCTGCTGGGGAGACGAAAAAAAAAATGCTGAGGGTGGAGTTGAGACGACTGGAAACACCATGCAGGCTGGTGGGGATGCAGGAGGGGAGACGGATGGTGTGGGGAGAGAAACAGGGGGACAGGCTGGAGGGGGATGGGGGCGAGATGGGCGGCAGTGACGGGGAGCGGGGGCGGCGGTGACGAGGATAGGGGCGGCGGTAGCAGGGAGAGGGGCGGCAGTGACGGGGAGAGGGGCGGCAGTGACGGGGAGAGGGGCGGCAGTGACGGGGAGAGGGGCGGCAGTGACGGGGAGAGGGGCGGCAGTGACGGGGAGAGGGGCGGCATTGGAAGGGAGAGGGGCGGGCGGTGACCCTGTCTTGATGACTCACAATGGCGGGGGAAAATGGAAATGAAGGGGAGAGAGGCGGTGGGGAAGGGGAGGGTGATTGTGGGAGAGGGGACAAGGATGGTGGGAGAAAGGAGCGTAGCCGTGCGGGAGGGGAAAATTGATAGCAGGGGAGGGGATAAAGATGCAACTGGGGGTTTAAAGAGTGGGAAGAGGAATGGGGGAGAACGGGTGGTAATAGGCAGGACAACGGCGGGAATGGGCAGGAGAGCGGTGGGAATGGGCAGGAGAGCGGTGAGAATGGCAGGAGAGCGGTGAGAATGGGCGGGAGAGCGGTGGGAATGGGCGGTCGAGGGGTGGGAAGGTAGAGGTGAATGAGATATTGGTGAAGGAAGAGGATTTGAGTGGTGGTTCTAGCAAGAGGAGTGAGAGTGAGAGTGAGGAGAATTCTAGAGAAAAAGTGGAGGTGAGGAGAAGGAGAGTGAGAGGCAGGAAGAAGAAAGGAAAGAAGGGCGCGAGTGAGAGTGAGGAGGATTCAGATGATGAGGAGTTAAGAAGAGGGGGGAGAAAGGGGAGGAGGCGAGGGAAGAGAAGAGGAAAGAGGAAAGGTAGCAAGGGTGAGGGTGAGGATGAGAGCGGGAGTGAGAGTGAGGAGGATTCAGAGGATGTATTGGAGGCGAAGAGAGGAGAGAGAGGAGGGAAAGGAGGGAGGAGGAAGGATAGGAAGGGCGAGAGTGAGAGTGAGAGTGGGAATGAGGGTGAGAGTGAGAGCGGGAGTGAGGATGATTCAGAAGATGTAGTGGAGGTGAGACAAAGAGTGAGGAGACAAGGGAGTAGGAAAGGAAGAAAGGGGAGGAAGAGGGATGGGAAGAGAGGAGGGAAGAAGAGGCGGGAGAGCGCGGGAGAGAGGGAGAGACGATAGGCGAAGGGGAAGGAAAGGGAGAACCAGAAACTCAAGTGATGAGGATGGTGATGGTGATAGTGATGACGGCGATAGTGATAGTGATGACGGCAGTGCTAGTGAGAGTGATGATAGTGAAAGTGGAAGCGATGATAGTGATAGTTCTAGTGACGATAGTGATAGCAGTGAGAGTTACAATACTGATTCAAACAAAGAGGAGGAGGAGGGAGAGGGTGGATGATGATAGAAAAAAGGAGGAGGAAGTATCCCGGACAAGGCAGCAGCACAGGAGTAGCAGCATCCTCTGCAGTGGTCGAGGCTCTGGTGGCGCAGGCAGCAGCGCAGGCTGCATCTGGGGCAGGCTTACCTCTTCCAACCTCAGTCACACCTGAAAAGGCTGCTGCTCTGCTCTCGCTGCTGCCATTGCGGCTGCCACTGCAGTCGCGAGTGGTGGGATCAGTGCTCCTGCTCCCGGTGTTGTTGGTACTCCTGCTTCTGGAGTGGTTTCAACCGGTGCTGCTGGGTTGGGAGGTGCCGGTCTAGGCCAGTTTCCTGAGTGCACTAAGTGCTGGTGGGAGCGCTTAACGCTGGTGGGATGCTAAGTGCTGGTGGAACATCAAATGCTGGAGGAGGAAGAAACAAGGGTGCTGCTGGTACTGGTGCTTCTAATGCAGTGGGTGATCGATTAGCCACCCAGGTAGGCCAGTTTTTGCTGCAGCCACAGCAGCGACAACAACAACAGCAATTCTTGCGGCAGCGGCAAGCAGCAGCAGCAATTCCCTCAGCAGCAAGAGCAGCAGAATCAGCGAGTTTCTTCTGGTGTCCGAGCGTCACTGGGGCAGAATTTTGGGTCGACTCAGAGGTCTGTCCGAGTGTCACTGGAGCAGCAGCTGAAGCAATTGCAGCTGGAGCAGGCACAGCAAAGGCAGCATGTGCAACAGTTGCAATGGCAGCTGCGGCAGCTAGAGAGGGAGGAGGAGCAGCTTCATGTACCCAACCCAGCAGCAGCAGTGGCAGCGGCAGCGCCTGGAGCAGCAGTTGGAGCAGGCGCAGCGGTTTGCAGTGCAGCAGGAGACGCAGATACAGCAAGATCAAGAGGCAGTTAGGGTGATAGGCAGCAGATTCAGCAAGGCCCTTCTGGTGTCCGAGCGTCACTTGAGCAGCAGCTGGAAGCGGAGAATCAAGAGGCAGTTAGGGCGATAGCAGCAGGCGCTGTGGCTTGCAGCACAGCCAGAGGAGCAAATAGCGGTACAGTGAATGAGCAGACAAGTGGAGTAATACCGTAGCAGCAGGTGCAACTACTAGAAAATGCCTGCACTGTATCCTGACGTATAACTTGTTCAGTCTACTCAAATGTCAAATGTCACCTTGTACAGTACAACTTGTACAGTACAAGGTTTTTCCCTGCAGCGAATGCGGTCCCCTCAAACAGCAGGTTCAAGTAGTGTTGGGCCTGCAGGGGAAGTCGGGCTTGTATGGAAGAGCAAGTTATACAATTTGGTTATGTTATGATACAGTGCATTGTGTCATACGGTAATATTACAGCTTAATAGCAGTTACAATAGCTGCACTCACTTTGAATTTATTTGACGTCTCTTACATGCATCAATCACACACCACAAAACAAATATGGTACGGTATGGTATCTTGCAAGCAAGTACGGTACCATGTTAGCTGAACGGATAGAATGTTTAACACATTCAGTGATAAGTGTGTGTCCTGTGTGCCTTGTATCTAAACCGCCCGCCCCCACCATCTGAAGCCCCACCATCAACTGTGCAGCGGTGCAGCACCATCGCCTGCAGCACCGCCGTCTGTAGCACCGCCGTCTGTAGCACCATCAGCAGTGCCATCACCTCTAGCGCCATCACCTGTAGCGCCATCACCTGTAGCCACATGGCCTGTAGCGCCATTGCCTGTAGCCCCATCGCCTGTAGCGCCTACTACACCTCCATCCACAGCACTGGCACTTTTCACCCCATCTTCTGTGGCACCGTTGTCTGTAGCACCAGCGCCTGTAAGCACCAGCGCCTATAGCGCCGTCAGATGTAGCCCCAGCAGTCTCAGTGCATCGCTGTAGCCCATTCATCTCTACCACATCACCTGTAGCGTCGTCAGCCATATCAACATCATCTGTAGCGCCATCCTGCTGTAGCCCCATCTGCTGTAGCCGCATCGGCTGTAGCCCATCGGCT